CTGGAAGTGGTCTAAATCGTTTTACATGTATCATTATTAAGTTTAGTATATGACTAAACTTAGTAAGATTTGGCTTAGAATTACTCTATTTTTGGATGGTGTATGGGAGAGAATTGATATTCTTTGATTTGTTTGAGTGAATAATAATACACAATTATTTTTTTCAAGATTGGCTTCTGATGTGGTTCCATATGCCTTAACAGATTTGTAGATAAGATCTTAAGTTCCTAACATGACTAACATGCAAAAACAGAGAAAGAGGAAGATCTGATCTCTCTGACACTTTCTGTTTAAAGAAAGAACAACAATGGGTACTGTTTCTGTCTCTGCCTGATAAATTTACATTGTCTGGTCTATTATGCTTTATCGATTGATATCTTATTTTTATTTGGTTTTACCAACAGATCATCTTGTAAATCTGATATATATAGAAATCCTGTTACTCTGTTCTCTTTAAGAAATAATGCTGTATTTGGTCTTGTTTCATTGCAAAATTGTTGGATTCTTGATTCTTGAAGAGATCAAAATGAGGATCCATTGATTTGTGATGCAGATAAGAGCGAGGGATGTTGTTCTGTACAGCTTATAGACGGAGATGGTGTATACAATGTCTCTGGCATCGACCATTTCATTAAAGAGGTGAAACTTGGAGAGTGTGGCCTCTCTTATGCTGTTGTCTCCATCATGGGTCCTCAAAGCAGCGGTATGTATTCTTTTTTTTTTTTTTAAAGAAAGAGAGAGTTCTGTTATATACAGAACATTTTGTGGTTTTGACAGGGAAGAGTACACTACTGAATAGTTTGTTTGGAACAAACTTTATGGAGATGGATGCATTTAAGGGAAGGTATGAATGATATCATTTCATAGTATTTGCTTGTGTAAAAACTTGTGGCCTGATTTGGGAACTGTGTATAGGTCTCAGACCACTAAGGGTATCTGGCTTGCAAGATGCGCTGGTATAGAGCCATGCACCCTTGTAATGGACTTGGAAGGCACAGATGGAAGGGAGAGAGGAGAGGTTATCTTTGTCTCATTACAGTGTGTGACACTGGTTGAATTTCTCTGTAAATCGTGTCCTGTTTTTTTTTTCCAACTAGGATGATACTGCATTTGAGAAACAAAGTGCTCTTTTCGCTCTTGCTATCTCGGATATCGTCTTGATCAACATGTAAGATTATAGCAGAAACTTTCTTAGTTATATTTTGCATTACATTCTCAACGCTTGTGTTTTGTAGGTGGTGTCACGATATTGGCCGTGAACAAGCTGCTAATAAACCTCTCTTGAAAACTGTCTTTCAGGTACTTGTTTTGTGAATCAGAAAGTTATAAAACTCTTTTATGTATATCATCTTCTTTTGATTTGTGTGTGTGACAGGTTATGATGAGATTGTTTAGTCCACGTAAAACAACAATGCTGTTTGTAATAAGAGATAAAACCAGGGTACACTCTCTTCTCTTTTCTTTATCATTACTATTACATCATCATTACAGTTTTGTTAACGTGATTTTGGCTGCAGACGCCATTGGAGAACTTAGAGCCTGTCTTAAGAGAAGATATTCAGAAGGTAGAAAAGAGTGACTTTCCAGCTAACTCCAAATTGATATATTCATATAAAAGGTAGCTGATCAACGATTTGTTCTGCATTGTGGCAGATATGGGACTCTGTTCCAAAGCCTGAAGCACACAAAGAAACTCCTATGAGTGACTTCTTCAATGTATGTTATGCTATAGAATGGTTGCCATATTTCAAATATTTCATTATTTTTTACCTCTTTTGATGGTTAGGTTGAAGTTGTTGCACTTTCCAGTTACGAGGAGAAGGAAGAACAGTTTAAAGAGCAGGTTTGTGTGTGGTAAGAGGCCAAGTTTTTAATTTATAGATGAGTGTTGACAGGTTAATTTTTTTTTTTTGAAACTTAGGTTGCTAGTTTGAGACAAAGGTTCATGCATTCTATTGCACCGGGTGGTCTCGCTGGAGATAGAAGAGGAGTGATTCCTGCCTCAGGTTTTGCATTTAGTGCAGATCAAATCTGGAGAGTCATCAAAGAGAATAAAGATCTTGACCTTCCTGCCCACAAGGTAAGCTTATAGTGATAGCTTTAGACTTTGTTTTATACTTCATATGAGCTCATTCTTCTTGCAGGTCATGGTAGCTACCGTGAGGTGTGAAGAAATTGCAAATGAGAAGTTTTCTCATTTCATTTCTAACGAGGTAATGTTCAATGTTTGAAGAGTCTTTGTGTCTCCATGGTCACTAACTAACCCTTTTTTTTTCCTTTTGTTTACAGGACTGGCGCAAACTTGATGAGGAAGTTCAAGCTGGTGCAGTTTCTGGTTTTGGAAAGAGGCTTACTTCTATTCTTGGTTCTTGCTTATCAGAGTAAGCACATATATTCTAACAAAGCTACCCACATCAACTTTATATATATATATATTCTTAAGCTTATTTGTTTTATAAGATATGATGGGGAGGCTACATTCTTTGATGAAGGTGTCAGATCTTCAAAGAGACATCAACTTCAAGAAAAACTTCTCCAAGTAAATATCTCTTGAACATGTTGTTCAAGCTTGTTTATGTAACACTCAGAGACCTATATTATATACTTTCCTCACTGCTATTATAACCTTTACAGCTAGTGAATCCAGCATTTCAAGATGTGTTAGGACACATAAGATTTGGAATGCTTGAAAAGTTCAAGGCTTCTTTTGACAAAGCTTTAGAGATTGGTGAAGGCTTTTCATCAGCTTCAAGTACTTGGATCAAGTCTTGCATGGCCCAATTCGACGAAGAGTGTGCAGGTGCCATCATTGAACAAGCCAACTGGGACACAGCTAAAGTAAGGGAGAAGCTAGTCCGTGACATAGAGGCTCACATTTCCTCTGTCCGGACTTCCAAGCTATCTGAACTTACAAGCCAATACGAGGTTAAACATAAAAGAACCAAAAACGCTTTGGAACATTGAGTTGTGTTACTGATTTAGCGTCTAACTTGCAGTCCAAGTTACATGAAGCATTGTCAGAACCAGTGGAAGCTTTGTTGGAAGGAGCTAATGATGAAACGTGGACAGCAGTCAAGAAGCTTCATAGACGTGAAACTGAATCTGCTGTGTCTGGATTCAGTAGTGCATTAGCTTGTTTTGACATTGAAGAAGAGATGAGAGACAAAATGGTAAAGAGTCTTCAGGAGTATTCAAGAGGTGTTATAGAATCTAAGGCAAAGGAAGAAGCTGGAAGGGTCTTGATGCGTATGAAGGAAAAGTATATATATATAGAGAGAGAAATCCCTTACAAGATCAGTTTAAAACAATACTCTGATGTTCTTGTTCTTTCCTTCAGGTTTGGTACAATCTTCAGCCATGATTCTGATTCAATGCCACGTGTTTGGACCGGGAAAGAAGATCTTAGAGCTATTACTAAAGCAGCTAGATCAGCTGTAATAATTTTTATCCCTCTTTAACGTTTTGTTTTGTTAAGTCTTGAACAAAGTCTAAAACACCTTGTTGTGGTTTCTTGTTTTAGTCTTTGAAGTTGCTCTCAGTAATGGTTGTAATCCGGTTGGGTGATGAAACTGATAACATCGAGAAGACACTAGCTCTTGCTCTTTTGGATCCAACAACGTCTAAAAAGAGCATTACAACATCTGATCCATTGGCTTCAAGTACTTGGGATGAGGTATGTATGACTCTGCTCCATTCTCTTTTCACTTCATTTGATTCTTGATTATTTTTGTAGGTTCCATCATCAAGAACGTTGATCACACCGGTACAGTGTAAATCTATATGGAGACAGTTCAAGACAGAAACAGAATATACAGTGACTCAAGCCATATCAGCACAGGCATGATTACTTTACTCACAAGTTAGGTCTATGCTCTGTTTCCATGAATATTTTTTAAAAAGTGTGTTTACTATACTAATTCAGGAAGCGAATAAGCGTGGTAGTAACTGGTTACCCCCTCCATGGGCTATTCTTGCATTGATCATACTTGGATTCAACGAGTTCATGACTCTTCTAAGGTCCATCAAAGCTAGTACTGATTGTTTCATATGGATGAAAATGTTATGTAACATTTTGATAATGATATCTCTTTTCTTATTACTGTAACAGAAACCCTCTTTATCTTGGTTTCTTGTTTGTCGGTTACCTTCTCTTGAAAGCACTTTGGACACAACTAGATATCCCTGGCGAGTTCCGAAATGGTGCAGTAAGTGTTTTTTTCTCAAACAGTAATAGATAGTTTTTTGCATGGAGTCTTGATCAAGAATCAAGACTTGAGAATTATTGATAATGGTATTCATATGATGTTATTACCTTATGTGGTTTCTTCAGCTTCCAGGGCTCATATCGATATCAGCAAAGTTTGTTCCCACGGTCATGAACCTTCTCAAGAACCTTGCTGCGGAAGGCCAAGCTCCTCCCGCAGCTAATCCAGAGAACCTTCGTCCAAGCAACAACACTTCTTCAAGTGTTTCCTTGTCAGAAAATCCAACAGAGCATAAAGGTGCATCAAAGACAGATTAATTTTGTTACACTCCAAAGGTTTAGTTTGATTTTTCCAATACTTTGGGTGTTTGTTCTACTTGTTCACTGACTTTACTCATGCGTGAAAAACGCTGCGCTTTAGATCCTTTTGTTTTGTTTTTGAACCTTTCTTTCTACACAAGTGTGACTTGAGAGTGTGATATCTAATTCATTGAAATATAGATCAGATTGTCTGATGAATTGTGTAACCCTAGTTAGGGCAATCGGCTTTGTTTTCTTGCGTGAAAAGTTAATCATGATTTCTGTCTTATAATATCTTGCTATTTTACCTGACGATTATTCAGACTATAGTTTTGATATTCTATCCAAACAGAGGGAAAAACAAATTTCTGAATAAAATTTGAACATTCCGGGAAACAACAAACAAAAAAAAAGAGAACATAGAAAACTTGATAATCACGAAAACGTGAACATGTGTTTTATAAGGCTAGCCTAAATGTTTTGGATCAGAGATTCCTTACTTCTCAAGTTTCAACTTCCTGATCTGTTCAAGCATTTGAATCTCTTGATTTTGTTGTTCCAAAAGATCTCCTTCACGCGAAATATTTTGCTGACCTAGAGAATGATACATAATAAGTTGTTGATGAGCTAAGTTAAGATCAGCCTGCAAACAATGGATCTTGCACCTGAGATCAGACATGATGTTGTAAACCCCACTTAATGGATCAAAGGTACAAGATCTAGCACGGAAGATACGGTTATGCAATTCTATGTCACGTTGACATTCTTCAACTGCTTTGATCATCATTGTGATGTCGTAGTCCATAATGTTAGGAGCATTTAGAACCTGCTCTTGTTGTTCTTGTTCTTCTTGTGGGAAGAAAGGAGCTAGAGGGCAGCTTTTTGTGCACTTTCTCCCCTCGTATTTGCAAGCAGCACAAGCCTTGTCAAAGGAGCAGGCGTCATCGGGGATGGTGGTTAGGGTTTCAAAGAAATTTCTTGATAGTCTCTTTTTAATAGATTGAGAAAGTTATCGAGAGATGTATGCAGGAGAGGTGACTTGTGAACTCTGAGACAGTTTATGTAGAGAGGAATATGTTTGATTATAAGAAAAAAAGATTTAGTTAGTTAAAATATTGTACCAACATTATAGATATTTTCTATATTGATCCGAATTTAAAACTAATTTTTAAATGTTATCAGTAAAAATTCCTGATTAGTTTTTATATGACATAATAGCTTTTTTTTGTTTGTGTAATTGTTTTTATTTTGTTTGGCCTACATCTCAAGATATATAAAGATCGAGTTCGGTATGTATTTACCTAATGTTTGATTTATATGGATAATAATAACTTCAAACAACAATTCTATACCTATCTTAGGAGGATTCACGCACGCCTGACTGCATCACCTGACCGCCCTATCGGATCCACGCTTGACGATACTTTTTTGCGCCATGCTGCAGATCTCTTGTAAGTCTTTTCTCCATTAATTTGCATAACTCATCTTCTCTGGGATTTGAACCCCATACCTGCTGGTGTAGAAGTATTAATGAACCCTTAGTTAAACCACTGGACCAATGGGGCTTCCACAAAATATATGTATGATTTATCTGATCATAAATTTATGTGTAATTTTCTAAAAAAAATATGTAAGTAGATTACTTGGAGTACAGATTTGAGAAGATTTGTTTTCTCTATAAATACATTAGCTTTCATCAATGTTAGTGAATAGTTTTCATTAACCTTCACTGTCAAGATTGATAGTAATTTTACAGTCCATATATACGACCAGTACAATATGGGATAAGCTATAGGAAAGAGATTTACCAGCCAATATCTTCTGATGTTGAATTTATTGACGGATAAACTGCTCTGAGCCGTTGATCTTTTTCTTGCTAAAGAACGGGTAAAATGGTGAATAAACAGCTTTGAGCAGTTGAGATACTCGAAGTTCTAGACGAAGATCACGGTTAAGAAATTACCGGTCGACACATACATGGGTTAACATGAAGATTTATTGATTTTGGCAGTTGTGAGAAGATTTCTTGAAACAATGAAGAAAACGAATACAAATATCTTTATTAGTTATGACCAGTTATGACAACAAACATGAAGAATATCCTTGTCAAATGATTTGAGGTACGGTTCTGTATTTGGAAACTTGGGACCGCACCGCATGCCTCACAGGTATAGTCTATTCTTTTTAAACGTGGGACGTCAAGGCGCACGTGGCGTCTATAAATTCACCAGAAGGTAACAGTTACATTTACACCTAACTATTTTCAAAGATTATACAAAATAACATGTGACACAAGAGCGGAATACATTCCATACTTCTTATTTTTTTCTTCCATAATATATAGTGTTTCGACTTAAGTTTATGCGGTTTAATTCGAAAATATATATATCAACCAGTTAGGCACTGGTTAAAACAAAAATTACAATCATAGAATCATACAACTTCATCATCACATCGTACTTGGGATAAAGTCCAATATTCTTGGAATACTAGGAGAAGAAGAGGAGTCACCACAGATACTAATCTTCTTCTTCTTCCTACAATATATCAAAAACATATCTAACCAGACTGAGAAACTCCAAGAGCACGAGGCATTATTGGCTCATGATGAACATTAATCCCGACAGAGATCGTCTGAATCTTGCAAATATTCTCCGCATTAGTCAAAATCTTCTTCTCCTTTTCTTCCTCCAAGATAATCTCTTCTATAGTTCCCATTAGTATCTTCTCCAAGCTTTCACCATCGGTCCATTCTCTAATCGATGCTTTAACCATCAACGGATTTTGACTAATCAGATCCCAAACCGGGAAATTCTTACGTGGCATCACGTAATCTTCAGTTTTTAGTTTTAAACTAGGACAGTAATCACCAGCTCCATCTCCTAAATAAATCATCTTCTTCCCTTCTTTAGCTAGAGAATCTTGAATCCTCTCAATAACCAAACCCTAAATAAATGCAAACATATATATAATGATTAAAAACCATTGTTTAATATTTATAAACAACCAAAATGGGACCATAGACATGTTTTGACTAATGTGGTCAAAACCTGACCAAAACATTGTATATAAATTTATATATAAGTGTACTTTTTGGTGAAACGAACTAATGATACCTCTAATTTAAATAAAAATAAAATGTTGAATGTACCTTGCACATGTTAGGAGGGCAAGTAACATGAGTGCAACCATGAGAGGAGTTAGTGAATTCATGGTAAGGAGAAATCCTCAACGTGTTATGTTCATCGACAAATCCTGGGTTCGAGTTGATCTCAGAGAAGAGTTCACTAATCCCAAGATGCTCAACCATTGTCTCGATGAAGAACATGTTTGCGTCGCTCACTATCCTAAGCTCGCACCTGGAAACAGAACCGTATATGATCTGATAGTCAGAAACGGTGGGGTTTGTCTAATATTAGACAATTCATAATTAACATAAAAAACAAAAAAAAAGTCAAAATAATAATAATGTGATATGAGTTACCCTAATGCATGTGCAGCTTTGATGGCAGGGACGATCCGTGGATGGATAGGGATTGTTCTTAGGGCTTGTTTGATCTCTTCAATGGTTTTGCCTTGATCATGAAGCTCTTTCATCATACGATCCTGTTATGTAACAAAAAAAATAAAAGAATGATATATGAACAAAGGTGCAAATTAACAAAATTAAATTTGTGTTTTTCATAAGAAAAAGAAGCAGAGGAGGGAAGGTCAAGGTTACAAACCATGACTGTGTTCCAAGGCATGGTGGGAAGAAGTTGATTGAACAAATCAGTGAAGCCAAGTTCATCGATAACCCAATTATCGCTATCAACGTCGATGATGGTCTTGTCGAAGTCAAACACAACGACAATGTTGTTCTTGTTGTTGTTGCAAGCCATGTCTTAAGAAATTTGTGTGTTTAGATTTGAATTGGATCTTTGAGTTTGTGGATGGAGGAGAAGAGAAATATGGTTTGGTATTTATACAAAACAATGGAGGATTTTCAAGGAGATGCCATTGGAATCCTATTTCGTTTGTGAACCGTTGGATTGGATGATGTTTAGAGGTCAAACATGTGTCTTGATTTGTGATCCAACGGTTATTAAGAGCTCTTTGGTTGATTTTGTTTTATTTTTTGCCTTTTTAGAAGTTTCCGGGTGGGTTTTTCCATAACTCTTTCCATAAAGGTTAGGAGGTAACGCGGGAATAAGAGAAGAATATTCGGTCATGAAAATATTAGTTGATAACTAAAATTAAAGATAAAGTTATGTATATGATTATTTTTTTTATGATATATGATTTTAAAAGATAAATGTTAAATAATATTGACATATCATATGAAATTCTAGATTAATGCATTTACATTAAGCTCTGGTAAATTACTTTTCTTGTCATCTTACACTTGATATTATCATATACTATATTATCTTAATTAATATTTGTAAGATTATACTAAATTAATTCACTATCGTATACAATATTCATACCAACACATTAGACGAAAACATAACTCTAGTATTTAAATTATGATTATTTTTTTGAGAAAAGACTTAAATTATGGTATTTTGAGTAATTATTTGACAAACTGGGTATAGCTAGGAAGCCACATGCAAAGAATTTAGAAAGAGAGGGAATCGTGAGGGACAAAGATTTAACAAAAATAGATATCTTAATTAAGTAATTAAACAGCCTTATTCGGTGGCTACAATTTGTTGTATTCATCTAGCTTTCTTCGTAATCAACAATCATTTTTCTATTAGGTTGTATTTCTACGAAAATCCGACGGAGCAAACTTTATCAAAAATAGACCACGGCCACAGTTTAAGACTTAAGTTACATATACATATTTAGCTGCAATCATTTGACTGAACTTAAACACAGCCCTTTTACAAAAAAAAAAAAAAAAACTTATAGACACAAAATTGTTTAAGATTGAGAAGCATTTCAACGTGTGTCGAATACTTTGCTTTTCTTTGTACGTTTTCGGAAGTAATATATAACTAACAGAGATAAGGTAGAACATAAAACAAAAAATGTGATCAATTATCAAAAATGCATAAAAAATAATAATAAATAAACAAGTATAAGGTTGAATCCGTCACACTACAGCAATGGATCAAACGTAGAAGCTGCCACTCAAATAAGATCTCTTGGAAACACGTTGCCTTGTAATAGCAATGTGTGATTTACGAGACGCGTCAGCAGGGCCGATAGAGATTTATAAGTCATAGACGATTTTTGAAAGAATAGAACTAATTCTTTTAAAAAAAAAAAAAAAATTTGGGGCAAAAAAGTTTTAAAAAATCTTTATACATGTAAATTTTTTTTCAAAATTTTTAGAGATCTAAAACGAATGTTTCATTTAGGCTTGGTTCATAGTCGATCATGCGCTTCAACGATATATTAACTAGTTCAGATATTTTCACGTTTTGGCCAAACAATTTTTTGTAGTTTTTTTTGAGTTTTTTGTTTTTGAAGTTATAAACAACAGAAATTAAAATAAAAGAAAATACAAAGAAAAAAATTGAAAAAAATTGGATCAGTAAAATAAATATTGATAAAATAGATAAAATAAAAAGTGAAAGCACAAAATTAAGAGACCGAGTATATTTTATTTTGCCTGATTTGATATGTGAGAAGTACTCTATCTTGCGATGATTTCTATGTTGAAGAGTTTCCTTTACATTAGATCAGTATCTCCACATATACATACTTATTCCGTAACCAAACAACACTAACGAATCCACGAATCAGCATCACTAGAAAACTCGTGAAATTTCTTGTGTCCGTTGATAATTATGGAAAAATAAATCATAAGATGGTGGTGTAGTGATAGGCGAGATTCGGGACAATCCGGATTCACAAATACCTCATTACATTTTACTTTGTAGCCACATGGATATGGGTTATTGCTTTCACCCATTTGAATGTCTAAGAGAGAGTTTATCCGTGGACTGTACCTCTTTTCGGAGGTTAGGTATGTGTCTCTAATAGACTCGCATTTAATTCTTTCTAATTTCAAAAAAAAAAATTGAAAAATTCTGAAGTTTGATAGATGTTATCATTTTAGTGCGATTAGTATCATGTGCTGTTGTTCGTAAATGAATATGCTTCACCGGTAGATTTCTGAATCTTGATCTTCAGTGAGATCTCCATTTAAAAAACTGATGGAGTTACAATATTAATATATAGTAAATTCGTTGTCCAATAATCAAAACAGTCAAAGAGAAGTGTTAATAATAAGATTCGTCCTTTTCTGTGTTGTGTTGACATGTCATGCGTGTACCATTAAAAACCTGAATCCCACTTAACAAAGCTGATAAAGCTCCTAAAGTTCGTGCAGTCCAACAATATAGGTCTAGTAATTAATAATTAAATACTAGTTACATCTCACGTACACGACACTCGACAAATCTCTTTGGAGAACTTCGAGTACTTCTCTAGAGATGAACGACATTACACTGACGCATATTTTTTTGAATTTGAATTATTTAACTTTCAATAAGTTAAGATAGTAGTAGTGAACTGAAAATTCTATAGAAAACTGCATTAGAAATTTGAAAAATCCATTTTTAGTGTAAAATGAAAATGAATCTACTTTGATATATAGATAGATAGTGTTGTCAAATACTTTATGTAATTGGTCGTTTTTATAACATTTGAGAAACCAAGTGCATGCATAGGGCCACGACCTTGTGTCTTCAATACATAACGAAAAACCAATTAGTGCCCATGATAATTATTGCATCTTTTTTTTTATATCTGTTGTTGCTTTACCTTCATTTGTTAATAGGGAACATTACTTTCTTGAAACTTTGGACCAGTTTGCGTCTCTTTCATATGTTTTCCTGTTGCTTACTATTTCCACAAATTTGATTAAAGAAATCAAATGATTATTTGGTGGGATTTCTAAATAACTTTATGTTTATATTGTTCACTAAATAACTTTATGGTTATATTTTTCAAAAAACTTTATGTTTATATTGTTCAAAGCACTTTATGTTATAAAGGCTTACCATAAATTTAGTAAATAAATGACAAAAAGAAAAAAAAACTTGTATAAACTTTGTGGCATTTTTGAATTTTGATGCCACTTATTTAATATGATAGGTTATTTTTATAGCAAGGGTCTAGGGGTGGGCACTTTATTCGATACCCGAACTCATACCCGAATCCGACCCGAAATATCCGAATCGAAATCCGAATCGAAGTACCAAAATATCCGAACGGGTATTGAGTTAGGAGAGTTTGGATATCCGAATCCGAACGGGTAATACCCGAACCCGAACGGGTATCCGAAGATAACTGAACATATGTATATATACCTATTTATTCCTAGTTTATTTTGTCTCATTTTACTAAAACTATTTATATTAATGTTATAAATAGTTTAATATCAGATAATATACATATAATTGTAAAAAAGTGATTTGTTACTTATTTAAAATACATATTAAGCTTCTTATTTCATACTTTAAACAAAATTTGCATCCAAAATTCGAAAATAACAACCAAAATAATGATTTTTATTTTCAATAATTTATTTTCAAACTTATTAATTGTCTAACTTATTGAACATTTTAAAAACAGTTAAGTTAATAGTTAAATTTTAAATACATAAAACTTAAGTAATAAAGAATTTGCATTTTTTCTTCCAAAATCTAAATATCCGAACCCGACCCGAAATAACCGAATCCGAACCCGAACGGGTACCCGAACGTCCACCCCTAGGAAGGGGCAGTACATAAAAGTGTTTATTTTCTAGCGTCATAAATAAACCCGTTGAAACTACAATCAGAGACGCATTTGATACTCTGATTAGGTGAAAAAATATCACAAACCTTACCACTCAAAAAGGATTGCCCACTAATCCAACAAAGAAGAAATTGACAAGAACAGGAAAATCATCTTTAAATGAAAAGAACAAACCATATCTTTGACCCAAAAGAGAAAATAATTGTTCTAATAATTTCATCTTTAAGAGAATTGATCAAAAATGAGAAACTTTCCTAATTATACTACTGCAAGTATGCAACCATTCATGGAGTCCACATATGTTAATACGTCAGATGTTCAAAGTAATAAAATTACAGGACAACCTTTGATGTTGATGATAAGAAACATAAACATTCAAAATATTATGTCTATGTTCTTCTCTAGAACTCAACCCATGATTATAACATAATTGTAAAACTGATTTCCTCATTAGTCCAACGTATTACAAACAAAATAGGAGAGACCTGTCTATACAAGACTCCAAGATATCACATAATATCTTATGGACAAAAAGAACGAAAAAGATCTAACTATTGCACACACAAAAAAAAACGCTTTGCTAGTACTTTGATTCTATACTTTCATGTCTCGACTGCTCCTTCTTGTTGAGATTTAGCCATGGATGAAAATTCACCAGAAATGCTTCTCAAGAGCTGTTTACAGTACATGTCTTGCGCTTGTGTCACATTCTTCATACGGTTGGCTCTAACCCAAGCAGGCTCTTCAGGGACAAGACGAGAGAGTCCAAATTTGAGAAGCAAGAGTATATGTTCCATGATGAGAATTGCAGCGAGTCCTGGTTCGATCTTCCATTTTCCTTCTTGGTCGTATAAGCATACCAAGAGCGCAGAGTTTGTGCATATAGACATTACTACTAGAAACTGAAATACACAAGAAAGAAACTAGTCAGTGCAGTAAGGTGGAGTGAACATTATAATATGTTAAAAGTTTTATTTGATGCTATCCAAGTCACCTGCCATATGTTTAACCAAGCTCCAATTGTTGCAGCAGCACGAGGAAGAGGTCTTCGCAATGTGACCAATAGCTTTAAAGCATTTGTTCTCATCTCCATTACATTGCTCTGTGTACATCACGTTTCATGTTTTTTAAGAAACAAAAATCCAAAAGCTAAAGATGAACACTGACATAACTCTTACCACTGCAGCAAGGGTAAAAGCAAGAGGGAAGGCACAAGCAAACATCATGATCATTCCAAATTGCAAAGCTAGCTCAAGGAAATCTGCAAAAGCAAAATGCAATCTCACATTTGATTTTTTTAAGCTGAGACATTTGCAAGCTACATCTATAAACATAATCAATCACCAAAGATTATTGATTTTATAAGTTAAATTACCATCAAAAAGTCCATCTTCAAGCTCTACACCAATACTTGCTGAATATGTAGGCTTGAAATATTCCTTCTCAACTCTTGATGCTATTAGTATCTTTCCTGTTGATGGTCCACCTTCACTTTTCTTCTTCTTCCTGGAAAAAGACAAAGCCAGTTTTTGACATAGCTCAAGATTTCTAATTTGCATGAATAAAATAAAGAGCTTACCTAGCTCTAAATTTTCTGTAGCTATACTTAAGATAAGGCAAAGAACCATCCATCAAAGTCCAGAAAACCTGCAGAAAGCTCAAACATATGTAAAATGTTAAAAACTTCAAAGAAGAGTTTCTAAAGAAAGCATCATGTTACTTCTTTACCTGTGAGATGATCAACCTTTGGATCAATACTTGTCGAAGTGTCATGAAGTTTCGGTGTAAAAGCACATGGTAGAATATCCCAATGTATGTCTGCATGAAGTAGAGCCCAAAAACCTGCAGTGGAAACGGTTCCCATGGCAAATGGTTAGAGAGGAGGAACAATGAACTCAGTAAAACAATGATGTAGTTACTTTGTAAATCAAGCTGTTAGCTCGATATTCCACACTCTCGTTGATCTCTCGATTTATCAGCTTGACAGATACTTTCCCTCCCAACCGTGTGAGGTACTGAATGATTAGAAGGTATATAGCTGTCAACAGAAACCTGAAACAATCATAAAAAGTTGTCATGGTTCTAACCAAATTGTATTTGAGTAAGCTCTCTCACTTGTAAAGCTTGTAAAGAAAAGAAAACGAGTAAGCTCTCACTTGATTGTATCAGATGTGATAATCTCGTAGATGTGAGCATAGGCCAGCTCAAATGGAAGTTGGAGGCAGATAATGGTCATGATAACGAGAACATCATTCCTAAATCTCTTGCGGTAAGCAAACCATTCATATCTTTGATAAGCTTCCTTCTCTTTGAACTTCTCGTTTCCGAGATTCTTTATAAGCTCCTTTGGAAAAGGAAGTGAGCTCCATTCCATTCCTATAAATCTATATCCTTGACTGGGACCAACTAAATAATTTATCTGCCATCTAAGAAAACAGAAAGAAATTGGTAGATAAATAGATAATCAACACAAAAATAAATCTAAATTGTTGCACAACTCTGCATCAGTGTAGGGGAAGCCTACCTAGCTAACAACGCTGCGTTTTTACGTTTCCAGAACTGAAGAAACAAGGCAGCCCAGAGTATTGTGCTGACAAAGAAACTTGGGAGAACAAGAAACTGCAAGGACCTGACCATAGAAAAATTGCAAACAAGGTATGATGTATGTACCAGCATGAAGGCATGGCTATTAGTCTTTGCTTTAGTTTAAGAGCTTACAACAGAATTGAGAACTTACCCGAAATCAATCATCTGCACTATAATCCCCAGTAAGGCTGGAAATAGTAACCATTTTGTATACATTCCCAAAAAGGAAAAGTAGACTCCAATCTGTGATTTTTATATTTAATGAGTTTCCATACAAAAAACTTTCTGCTATAACATGTATAGTAAGTTTAGTTTCTCTATGTGTGTACCTTTGCACCAAAGTAAGAGTATATCTGATCAATTGGCTGGTTTGTGAAGTTCCACCAATTTAATGCCCAACTTTGGAGAAGTTCCTTCCTCTTGAGTTCATCTACATTTAGATGTTTTTTTTTGTGTGAGAATTTTAACCCATTCTGGAGTGTAGACTGTCTGTAAACCCAAGATGTATTAAAAAGCTTACCATGGAGAGGAAACATTTGTTTGATGACGCCTTCAGATTCCAACCTTCTAACTAGTGATTCTCCTGCTGCCCAACAAATCTCTCTGTCGTCAAGTTTCAGTGTAACGTCGTAACCATCACTGTTAACCTGTATTTTAAAAAAGTTAATCTGTTGTGCAAGGGAGGCTATGAACTGAGACGTTTAAGCAAGGGAAGACAAGTAACAGGGGATAAATAATAACTATAGTGAGGAGTTGGAGAGACAGAGAGCTTACAATTCCGTAAAGAAGATGTTGATAGCAATGAAAACGTTCAAACCAGCTGAACAGTGACCCATCAGGTTGCCTGAAGAAAGCCTCAGAGCCTTGCATCTCAAAGGGTAGATCAATTCCTGTAAATGAGAGATTACCATCAACAATTCAAACTTATGAAGAACATAAAACGAGGAAAGATCTGTGATGCTGCTACTACTTAGCAGATGTTCATTAACAGTTTGAAGATAATAGTACAAGGAAGTAGTAGTTACCAAGACGAGTAGGTTTACGTATATGAAGCTCTGCTGCTGCACTCCCCAAAGTCTCCCAAGGAGCAGCTACCTGAATTGTTGTAGTTATTTCAAACGTTACTCTCTTCATAACAAAAATCCTACCAAAAATATTCTACAGAACTAGAGCTAAGTAAGTCATCATCAATCTGTTGAATCATATACACCACTAGACATAATTAGAAACTTTATCAAACAACTTGTTTTTCTCTGCAAAAATTCACTCTTCCAGGGACACTCTTCAACTTCCAGACCAGTAATTTTGTCTGAACAGAGGACGAATTGAGATAATACCCATGAAGAATTGTAAGAAATATACCGACCTTAAGAAACTCATCGGCGAGACCAACGACTCTATCAACAACCAACCCTCTCTTCTTCAGCTCACTCACCAAAACCTCAACACAGTCTCCTTCCTCTTCTTCTCGAACCCTCTTGGCAACCACAAGAGCAACCTCGTGAACGACAACACGCTCCTCCCCATTGCTCCCACTCATCGCCAAACTCAAACCACACAAGAAAAGACGAAGAATTGCTTCGAGATTCCTTTGATTTGCTTGCTAAAGTTTCCACCTTTCTTCTCAAGATCTGATTCTCACATGCCTTAATGAGTAGTATTCACCAAAGGTTCCTCCTTTTTCTCTCACTTTTTTTAATTAATTTTTCGAATTTTCTGGTGACCGTAAAAGGGGATCAAGGGTTAACTCGGAACACTACAAAACTAAGATACAAAATTTTCCACGACAAAATCTCTCTCTCTCCTTACCTCCTTCCAATGAGTTTGGCTCCAGCTTCTTGAATTGTTTCCTTTAATTCAAAAACAAAAAAAATACGTATCTGGAAATGGGAAAAGACAGAGCTTTTTAGTTTGGTCTGAAATTTGGATTGAATTTGAAAAGAGTTACCATGCAACATTCCAAATGAATCTCCTTCTGAGTTGGCACTCAGATTGATGCGCGGACACATCGGACGGTGCTTAGTCATTATTGACACGTGTGCCTCTTCCTTTTTCCTCTGTTCATGCGCGCGTGTGACTGAAAAATATTAAACCGGGCACTACCGACAATCACTAACCGTGGTTCAGATTAAACCGGTAAAGCCTGATCATAATTACGTAAACCAAAGCTGACTTTTAACATTAAGGGCCCCACTTTATACGATTCCTCTCTCCTTTCTTCTTCTACCAAAGAAAAATTCCCAAATTCGAAAAAAACCCTAAAATTCACAACCGCTTGATCGTAATCGAATTCTGAAGGTGTAGAGGAAACCGATCAAGATGGGAAACACGGACAAGCTGATGAATCAGATATTCGATCTGAAATTCACGTCGAAGTCTCTTCAACGGCAGTCAAGGAAGTGCGAGAAGGAAGAGAAGGCGGAGAAACTCAAGGTGAAGAAGGCGATCGAGAAGGGGAACATGGATGGTGCTCGGATCTACGCCGAGAACGCGATTCGTAAGCGTAGCGAGCAGATGAATTATCTTCGTCTCGCTTCTCGCCTTGACGCTGTTGTTGCTCGCTTAGACACTCAGGCTAAGATGGCTACCATCACCAAGTCCATGACTAACATCGTTAAATCGCTTGAGTCTTCGCTCGCCACAGGTGTTGTATAAATGATGTGTTTTGATTGAAAGTTTGAGTTTTTTTTTAAGTATTTGTTCTGATTGTTGATGTGCTTGTGATCGTTGATTAGGGTTTAGTTTATGCGTGCTGGTTAAGATTTAGTTATTTCATGTTAGGCTCGTGTAGACTTTACTGGGTAGTCATAAAGGTTTGATTTTTATGGAAACAGAAGAAGGGTTGCATGAAGGGTAGAGAGCGAATAGCACGAGCAGACAAGTCTTAAGTAGATTATGTAATTCAACTTGGGGTTCTTATCTGTTCTGTTTCTTTGAATAGGGAATCTACAGAAGATGTCAGAGACGATGGATTCATTTGAGAAGCAGTTTGTGAACATGGAGGTCCAAGCTGAGTTCATGGAGAACGCCATGGCTGGTTCTACATCATTGTCCACTCCTGAAGGCGATGTTAACAACCTGATGCAGCAGGTAGCAGATGACTATGGTCTTGAAGTCTCTGTTGGACTACCTCAGGCTGCTGGTCATACCATACCTACTGCAACAGAGGAGAAAGTCGATGAGGATGATCTGTCCAGGAGGCTTGCTGAGCTGAAGGCCAGAGGTTGATTCAGCGAACCAACAAACCATGCTTGCTTGGACTATTACACTTGGGACGAGTTCCTTATCGAACTGTTACAGCTATTATCTGCGAACACTGACGCTTTTGTGTATATTGCTCACTTTGAGATATGCTTTGTTTATCAACTTATATTAAAGAACCTTCGTGTGTTTCTAGTTTTTAAACCGTTTCAATGATATGCTTCTGAGTTGTGCAACGAAACCATTCTTTTTGAGACACGTTTGGTTTCATTGACTAAGATACATCTAACTTGAGGATAATAGGTCTATGTTTGATCCAGAAATCTTCAAGGAGAAACGTTTACATGGAATATATTCAAAGAGTGTTCACAGTGCCAAATGTATAAAGCTTGAAACTTCACTATAACAGCTACTCTGAGCAAGAACTCACTGAACTCAGCTTACACGAATTAACTGAAGGAATCCAATGAAAGAAATGAACAATGAATAGACTAACTGCAGAAGCACCTAACATAGAGTTATAGGTGTGAACATACAGCAAAAGAATCAGTAAGCTAATCCAGAAAATTATCAAGATCACCTTGTATCTCACTTGTATCTCATTCTCTCTCTCAGCATCTGCAGCCCCATGTACCTGCAATTATATTCATATGGAAAATTGGATTTTACTCTGACCAAAAAGCATTGGTAATGTATCAAAGCGTGTAATCTGTAGACATTTTATTTTACCTTCCAAGCATCATCAAGGTAGCTTGTGGATTAGTCCCTGGAGAGATACTGAAGGTTGATCCATCCACGATCCTAAGAGAATCAACACCATTGACTTTGAGATCAGAGTTCACTACTTTCCCCACAACGCAACCACCATGGTAATGCCAGATTGTGCTCACAGTTCGTCTACAAAAATCTGCCATCACCAGATCATTTGATTGGTCTAAAGGTAATGGCACCCCAACGAACCTGAACCTTCGGCTCCCAAACCATTCCCTGAACATAAAATCCTGCATAGCTCTGCTCCTGAGTATTTCACCAATCTTCCTAGTCCCATTAACACACCTCTCCAGATCCTGTGGGTCACTAAAGTAGTTAAACCTCACAACTGGGTTTATCCTCACATCCGTTGAAGCCAACCTCAGCGAACCAACAGAGACTGGACCAAGAATCTTCTCCATTATAGTTGTCACAGGGACGTACAAAGGAGAAGCTGGTGCTCTAATGAAAACAGAACGTAGAGGCGAGGCAAAAGGGATAACAGTGGACGCAGCCTCAAGAAAAGCACCTTCCTCAGTAATACCCACTACTTGTATCAACGAGTTCTCCATTGGAACGGGAGGAACAATGGATATACCATTCCTCGGGTTATCATACACAAAGTCTCCAACATTAGGCAAGTCAAGAGCCACAGGAATCCCCCAAGTCGAAAGATAACTCCTCGGACCAATCCCACTAAGAAGCATCAGCTGCGGAGTCCCAAGCGAGCCAGCAGACAGTATCACCTCTCCTCTGTCCCGTATCATCGCGTGATGGTAACGTCCCATCTGATCACAGTACACAACTCCAATAGCGGAGACTTTAGAGCCAGAATCACTCGGAGCAGAAGCTAGCAACACTCTCTCCACAGTAGCGTAAACCGCAACTCTAATGTTGGAGTTTCTTGCAAACCTAAGAAGATCCGCAGAGATGTGCCTCCTCCCAGTACGATCAAACGTCGAGCCACCAATCTTAGTCCCAACTTTATGCTCCAACGTGAAGCCATTAAACGGATGCACACCAATCTCAAGCAACGCGTCTCTAATCGCAGATTGCCACGTCCTCAGCTGAGGTCTAAAGACAATAGCTCTCTCCACCCACTCATAAGACTGATTCACAGTCGTTAAATCCCAATCAAGACCTGAGTTATCGAAAAACTGTTTATCAGCTCTGCTATAGAACCCAGCGTTGATCGCACTGCTTCCACCAAGAACACGGCCTCTTGCGTTGGGAACACCTTCCTCGGAGACGAAGGACTGAGCCGGGGAGTCGAAGCTGTTGACTTCCGTTAGAGTCGTCAAGAAACCGTCGTGTGACATCACGTTAGGTCTGTTGTAAGGAACGCCGCCGCGTTCGAGGAGGAGGACGCGGAAGGATTGGGAGAGCGTGGCGGCGAGTGGACATCCCGCGGTTCCTCCGCCGACGATTATGTAGTCGTAGTAATCCTCTGATGCGAAGTCGGTTGCGTTTGTTACGAATCGCATGAAGTTGGGAGCTGCAATCAAGATTCTTGAAAAGTTAAGATCGTCGCTTTCTTGCGAGTCACGGAAGAATCTAACTATTTTTTTTTTTGTATAAAGTTTAACGAAGAAACTTTAACAAAAGTGAGAAAGAGTTTAGTGTTGAAACTTACGGCGATTAGCGCGTGGTCTTGCGTTAGAGAGAGAAGCTGCTCCGAGAAGAAGAAGGAGAAGCACCGTGTAGAGAAGATAACAATCCATTCGCTTACTCATCGTCGTTTTTTTCAGAAGAAAGAAAATTAATTTTTCCCGGGAAAGAGAATAGAAACAGAGTGGAAGAAGTTAGTTAGTTATTAAAGAAGACTCGAAACTCATCGATGGCTATAAGTGCTTTTTTATCGAAGATCAAACGGTTATCAATAGAAGTTATCATGAGCCCAACCGCAGCTGATAATAACTTTCACGGCCGTTATCACATCTTCTAATATTAGTAAAACGTCGTCGTATTGTATGCCGGTTCGACGGTCACTAATTAAAATACCCGGTTCAATCCGGTTATGTAAGATAACAGGATGTAGCCACGTGTCATGAATTGCGGATTAGACTCATCACTGACACTTAAACCATAGAGAGATAGAGAGAGAGATCAAAAAAATGGCGATGGCGATGTTACCGGCGCTCATCTCTTCTCCCTCGATTCTACCCAGAAGAATCAGATGCGGAGCCACCGCGAAAACTGGCGGCGCACTCTCGTCTACACCTGACTCCGACCCTAGGAGAGGCGTCTCCGTTTATAAACCCAAGTCATACGAAGTTCTAGTCTCAGACGCGGCAAACTCTCTCGCCTTCGCTCTCCAGGAATCAAAATCTCGATTAGAAATCGATTTCCCGTAACTTATCCTCCGAATTGTTCAATTTTCGTGTTCATTAGCTCGTTTTTTTTTCTGATAATCTGTTTCTTTGTGTAGGCCTTTGCCGAGTAGCATTTCTTCGTATAAGGTCTGATTCTGTGTTATTAATGAGACTGTTTCGTATTTTTTCTAGGTTTGTTTTTGATTTGTGTAAAATGTGTAGGGCTCTTCGGATGATTTCATTGATGCTAATATACAATTGGCTTTGTCTGTTGTACGGAAGCTTCAGGAGAAAGTAGAGACTAGAGCTTGCATTGTAATCTATCTATTTTCTCTTTTGATTTCTTTATTTTGATTATTCTTTGCTTTTTTTTTTTTTTATCTATGTTGTATCGATCTTGCTTCAGGTTTTTCCTGATAAGCCTGAGAAACGTAGAGCTTCGCAGCTCTTCAAAGCGGCGTTTGATTCGGTATAGCAAAGGAGCTTCCTGCATTGTTTGAGATATTGAACACTTGATGATTAACAAGGGGTTGATTTCTTTTGTGTGTTTCTCATCAGATTGAAGGCATAAGTATCCGTTCTCTAGATGATATACCTGGCACTTCTGTCACCAATTTCTTTAGGTCTATCAGGGCTACCTTGGACTTTGATTTTGAAGATGAAAACGAAGGTATATCTACAGTTCTTTCATTTAATAGATTTATGTTTCCGTATGCTTATGGAAACAGATGGTTTATTGCATTTTTTTCTCATGGGGATTATGTGTTCCCACAGGTACTTGGGAACCTAAGGAGCCACCGACCCTTTATATGTTTATCAATTGCAGCACTCGAGAACTCTCTGTTATAGAGCAGTTTGTGGTAAATCTTATCCTTGCTTATTTTAACTTCAAACTTGGTCTAGATGCGTTCAGTAGCTGTAGTAATTTTGATTTTTTTTTCCTGTTTGCTTTCTTCTTCAATTGTAATCTGTAAGTTGTTGGTGTATACTTGCAGGAAAACTTTGCCAGCTCAACCCCAGCTCTTCTCTTTAATCTTGAGCTAGATACCTTACGGTATTACCTCCATTGAGACCTCGTTTTCATGCGTAACTCAATTTCTTTTGCTTTCCTCATTTTGTGGTAACAACTGAACTTTAGTGCAGTGCTGACCTAGGGCTACTTGGCTTTCCCCCTAAAGATCTACACTACCGGTTTCTTTCTCAGTTTGTTCCTGTCTTTTATATCCGAATCAGAGAGTATTCAAAGGTACTTGCCAATTAGGATGATGATTTCTCAGGAGATCTTTCTTGACTGGTTGCATAAATGAAGCATCATAATAGTTGTTTGTGTGTTTGCTTGACTAAGACAGTGGCAGTGGCACCATATGTGTTGAACTACAACGGAGCACTTTTTCGACAATATCCTGGTAAATGCTAAACTATTATTTCTCTGGACTAAAAGTATACAGTGTTACGATCTGTGTTGAATCTATTTGTACTGACTTGTGAGGCTTGTCTTAGTCACACTATTAGATATGCGGAACCATACTTAATACTAGTGACTTGAACTTAGAGAGGACTGACTCTATTCATGTCTGATATGAAAAGATTTAATGCAGGGCCATGGCAGGTGATGCTTAAGCAATCTGATGGTTCATTTGCGTGTGTTGCAGAAAGTCCAACTCGTTTCACCTTGGGTGAAGTATGTGCATTAATCTTTTGTGTTTAGTCGTTTTAACCCAACCTTTGGAAAAAAGTAACAAGCTCTTGTTGATGTGGATGCAAAACAGACCAAGGAAGAGCTGTTGCAGGTTCTAGGACTACAAGAAGAGAAAGGAAGCTCACTTGAGTTCCTGCGCAGGGGCTACAAGGTTTTTGCACATTGATCTAGATTGTGTTTTTGTCTTTCTTAAATGTGAATAGAGTATCTTAAACTTGTCTGGAACCGATGAATTCACAGGCAGCAACTTGGTGGGAAGAAGATGTGGAACTTGAGTATTCATCTAATTGGCGTAGCTAAATGGTGGCCAAGCATGGATGTGAACCTTTTGTAAGTCTCAAATAGCTCCCAAGATTGCGATGTTTACACCTGTATATCTGCAGCATTGATGAGAACAATATAAATGATAGTTTGGGAATGTTTTATTCAGTCTAATCCAATCGAAACCTTTTAATAATCAAAGGAAATTACAAAGAGTATATAAATATATATCTACAATTTAGGTAAAAATATATATAATTATTTCCCTTCTATCCGTAATTTATTGCACGACGATGATTCTTCTTAGTTAAAAAGCTGTCATAAATCCAGTCCAATCATTTCTGATTTTCTTCTAAAAATGGCATTGATCAAATCTCGTAATATTAGTGAATTCCCAACAATCAGATTCTATCCTTTTAGTCCTCTTATCATTATCCTCTTGTCCTCCATTTTGGTGAGAGCTTTATGTTTCAATACTGGTTGTTGATACTTGGCATGTTTCTTGTTCTTAAAGTCTAAGATGAAGAATCTTGTGTTGTTTAAAACTCTTTTTCTTTTCTGTCTCGTTGTCTCGATCCGCATAGTGTCTATCTCCTGTCTAAATTCAGATGGGTTAACTCTCCTCTCTCTCCGGAAGCATTTGGACAAAGTGCCACCAGAATTAACCTCGACATGGAAGATAAACCCATCTGAAGCCACTCCATGTAAATGGTTTGGTATCACCTGTGATGGTTCCAAGAAGGTTACATCTCTCAACTTCACCGGCTCTGGGGTTTCAGGCCAATTGGGTCCTGAGATTGGGCAGCTCAAAAGCTTAGAGATATTGGATGTGAGTTCAAACAGTCTCTCGGGGAACATACCTTCCAGCTTAGGTGACTGTAAATCACTCGTCTACATTGATGTGTCTGAGAATAGGTTCTCTGGCGAGATCCCAGATACTCTAGGTAGCTTGAAGAGCTTGACTGATTTGTATCTTTACAGCAACTCCCTAACCGGTGAGTTGCCTAAATCCTTGTTTCAAATTCCTGCCTTGAATTTTCTGCATGTTGAGCATAACAACCTGACCGGTTCAATCCCTCAAAACGTTGGTGAGGCTAAGGAGATTCTGGAGCTTCGTCTGTTCGACAATCAGTTCTCCGGTACAATCCCTGAGTCCATTGGGAACTGTAGTAAGCTAGAGGTTCTGTATTTGCACAAGAACAAGTTGGTTGGTTCATTACCTGAAACTCTCAACCTTCTGGAGAATCTCACTGACCTCTTTGTTGCCAACAACAGCCTCACTGGAACAGTTCGATTTGGTTCAGCCAACTGCAGGAAGCTAGTGACTCTAGACTTATCATACAATCAATTCGAAGGTGGTGTCCCTCCTGAGTTGGGCAATTGCAGTAGCCTTGACGCCTTAGTCATTATAAAATGCAACTTGTCAGGTACAATCCCTTCATCATTGGGTATGTTGAAGAATCTCACGGTTCTCAACCTTTCCGAGAATCTTCTCTCCGAAAGCGTCCCAGCGGAGATCGGAGACTGCAGCAGCTTAAGCACCTTGAAGCTCAACAATAACCAGCTCGGAGGTGAGCTACCAAGCGCATTAGGTAAGCTACAGAAGCTAGAAAGCCTGGAGCTATTCGAAAACCGGTTTTCTGGTGAGATTCCTATTGAGATATGGAAGATCCAGAGTCTCACTCAGTTGCTAGTCTATAAAAACAATCTCAGAGGAGAGCTCCCTGTGGAAATAACCAAGCTCAAGAATCTAAGGATCGTTACGATCTTCAACAATAGCTTCAGTGGAGTAATACCACCTGGTTTAGGTCTAAACAGCAGCTTAGAGATTCTGGATTTCATCGGTAACAAGCTCACTGGAGAGATACCTCCAAATCTCTGCCATGGAAATAAGTTGACAGTGTTTAACTTAGGATCAAACCAGCTTCACGGTAACATACCAGCATCTGTTACTCAGTGCAAGACACTGAGCAGACTCATCCTTAGAGACAGCAACCTTTCAGGTCCTCTTCCTGACTTTTCTCAGAACCAAGATCTCTCGTTTCTCGATCTCAATAGCAACAACTTCGAAGGACCAATTCCTAGTGGCCTCGGAAGCTGTAGGAAACTCAATACCATCAATCTGTCACGAAACAAGCTCACGGGTGCTATTCCTCCAGTACTTGTGAATCTACAGAACCTTAGATACTTGAACCTTGGGGTTAACTCATTAACCGGTTTGGTTCCTCCAAAGTTTAGTAACTGGAAAGAGTTAACCACTTTGATTCTCTCTGGTAACCGGTTTTCAGGCTTCGTACCGCCGGACCGCGGTTCTTAGAGAAAACAATTTTCTCCGAATTTTATAATAAAACAAAAATTAGACTTTGCACACATTATAGTATAATTGTCGTCTATAACATTATCCAATTCTATCAAAAGAATCTTTGGTTAATTTATTGCATTTTCATTTTTTTCTTATTCTTTATTTCAAGGTGTTACCAATCGCAAATAATCAAATTATTCTGCTTAAACCTAACAAAACGAATCTTATGATGCTTATTATACACGATAATAACGTTTACAAACTATTATTTAATGTTTAGTACTAGATTTTCACCCGCACATCCGTGCGGGTATATTTTTATTTTATAAATATATAATTAATTTTTTTAAATATATGATTTATATTTTAGTTTTAATAAAAATTAATTTATAATCATATCTAATAACAAATATAAAAATACTTACTTTATAAAAAAAATATTTAAATTTTTTGGTAAGATCTTGTTAGATTTTTTCAAAAGATTTTGTTATATTTAAATTGATTTATTATTAATATCCTTATTAATTATTAAGATATTTTTAAAATAATATATATTTGATTGGTTGGTTAATGTAACAATCTAATATGTCATATTAATATGTCTTATTAAATAATTAATGACATGGTCTAACATGACTTTTAAATAGTAGATAAATTTGGTACTTCTCTTTTAATAGAGAAGATGAGTGTAGTAGGACCAAATCAGTTATTAGTACTGAAATAATTTCACGTCTCTCAAAGACAGAATCAAACAAACAGAGTACAACACAATTGTCCAAAAATGTGAAAACGGCGTTCAAACAGAAACGCGTTGACTGTTAGTTACGCAAATCACCACCTCTTGATTAGCGGATACAGACCAAACATCTCAATCAAGTTCTGTTATTCTCCTTCTCACTCTAATTCACTCTCACACTTCTTGATCTTAGATGAAGAACTTTGTGTTGTTCAAAACTCTTCTGCTTTTCTGTCTCGTTGTCTCCTCCACCCACATAGTTTCCGTGTCTTGTCTTAACTCAGACGGGTTAACTCTACTCTCACTTCTGAAGCATTTGGAGAAAGTACCAAAAGAAGTAACGTCAACATGGAAGCTAAACCCATCTGAAGCCACTCCATGTAAATGGTTCGGTGTCACTTGTGACGATTCCAAGAACGTTGCGTCTCTCAACTTCACCCGTTCTAACGTTACAGGCAAGTTAGGTCAAGAGATTGGGGAGCTCAAAAGATTGCAGAGATTGGATCTGAGTACTAATAAATTCTCCGGGACAATACCTTCCAGTTTAGGAAACTGTACTCAACTCGTTTATCTTGATCTCTCTGAAAACGAGTTTACTAGTGAGATCCCTGACACTCTTGGAAACTTGAGGAACGTGACAGAGCTCTATCTTTACTCAAACTACCTCACTGGTGAGTTACCTGAGTCTATTGGGAACTGTAGTAAGCTGAAGGATTTGTATTTGCACAAGAACAAGTTAACTGGCTCCTTGCCTGAAACTTTCAACATGCTGAAGAATCTCACTCACTTGTTTGTTGGTAACAACACCTTAACCGGGCCAATTCGTCTCGGTTCAGTCCATTGCAAGAACTTGCTGACTCTAGACTTGTCATACAATCAATTCCAAGGCGGTGTTGCTCCTGAGTTAGCGAACTGCAGCAGCCTTGAAGTTTTAGCCATCGTGAAAAGCAACTTGTCAGGTACTATCCCTTCATCACTAGGTATGTTAAAGAAGCTTAGAGTCATTAATCTTTCAGAGAATCATCTCTCTGGGAGTATCCCTTCTGAGCTAGGGAGCTGCAGTAGCTTGAAGTTGTTGAAACTCAACAATAACCAGCTTGGAGGTGAGATACCTAGTGAATTAGGTAAGCTCAAGAAGCTAGAGAGTCTAGAGCTATTCGAGAACCCGTTCTCGGGTGAGATCCCTATCGATATTTGGAAGATTCAGAGTCTTGAACAGCTCCTGGTTTATCAAAACAATCTCACAGGTGAACTACCTGTGGAAATGACTGAGCTGAAGCATCTTAAGATCATTACCCTCTTCAACAATAGCTTCTATGGAGAGATACCATTTGGTTTAGGTGTGAACAGCAGCTTAGTAAAGATTGATTTCATCAGTAACAAACTCACAGGAGAGATACCACCGAATCTTTGCCATGGGAAGACGTTGATAGTACTAAACTTGGGTTCTAATCAGCTTCACGGTAAGATACCAACATCTATTGGTCAATGTAAGAGCCTCCAGAGATTCATACTTAGAGAGAACAACTTTTCAGGTCTTCTCCCTGAGTTTTCTCAAGATCATAGCCTTATGTATCTTGACTTCAACAGCAACAACTTTGAAGGACCAATCCCTCAAAGCTTTGGAAGCTGTAGGAATCTCTCTACCATTAACCTGTCTCGAAACAAACTTAAAGGACAGATACCTCCAGAGCTTGGGAACTTACTAAGCCTTGGATACTTGAATCTTTCACATAATCTTCTTGAAGGCTCTCTACCACCTCAGCTCTCTAACTGTGTAAACCTTGAGCGTTTTGACGTTGGGTTCAACTCGTTAAACGGTTCTATTCCTTCAAGCTTCAGTTCCTGGAAAGGCTTGGCCACTTTGGTTCTCAGCGAAAACCGGTTTTCAGGAGGGGTTCCTCTGTTCTTTCCTGAGCTAGTGAAGCTCTCTGATCTGCAGATTGGTGGAAATGTGTTTGGTGGTGAGATTCCTTCTTCTCTAGGGTTGATAAAGGATCTGAGATATGGTTTGGACCTAAGCGGAAACGGATTAACTGGTGAGATTCCAGACAGGTTGAAGGATCTTGACAAGCTAACAAGTCTCAACTTATCTAACAACAACTTGACAGGCTCTTTATCAGTTCTTGAAGATCTTGAATCATTGCTACACGCTGATGTCTCCAACAATCACTTCACAGGTTCAATACCTCAAAAGTTGAAGGTTCAGTTTAGCTCTGACAGTTCGTCTTTTTCAGGAAACCCTAACCTCTGCATCCCACGCTCCTTCCCTATTAGCAACAACAGCGAGTTGCATCACTGTGATGATCAATCTAGATACGGCATAAGTGGAAAGATCGCCTTTATAGCAGTATTCTCCTCTTTATTCGTCTTGGTTTTGGTTCTTGCTCTTGTTTTCATTTGCCTACGCCGACACAAAGAAAGACCAAGACCACAGAAAGAAGCCTATGTCATTACCGAGACAGGCCCCTCATTGCTGCTGAGCAAAGTTCTCGCAGCAACTGATAACCTCAATGAAAAGTACATCATCGGAAGAGGAGCACACGGCGTTGTGTACAGAGCATCTTTACGCTCATCAGGCAAAGACTACGCAGTGAAGAGACTCGTCTTCACGTCTCACAACCGTGCGAACCAGAGTATGATGAGGGAGATCGATACAATAGGGCAAGTCAGACACAGGAATCTGATCAAGTTAGAGGGGGTTTGGCTGAGGAAAGAAGATGGCTTGATGCTATATAGATACATGAGCAAAGGAAGCTTATACGATCTTCTTCACGGTGTTAACCCTAAAGAAAACGAGCTAGAGTGGTCTGCACGGTACAATATAGCCCTAGGGGTTGCTCATGGTCTAGCTTATCTACATTATGACTGTCATCCTCCGATTATTCACCGTGACATTAAACCGGAGAACATACTCATGGACTCAGATTTAGAGCCTCACATTGGTGATTTCGGTTTGGCTCGCCTTCTTGATGGCTCAACGGTCTCAACTGCTACTGTTACAGGTACCACCGGGTACATTGCACCAGGTAAAACATATCATCTCATTATACATATTAGACTTGGTTTAGTCTGGTTTAGAGTTTACCGAGTTAGTTATCGGTTTATAATCTGTTAGGTTTTGGTTTAGGAGTGGGCATTCGGATACCCGTTCGGGTTCGGAACAGGTATTTCGAATTAACAGGGTTCAGATATTTTCAGTTTGGGTTCAGATATTTTCATCGAGTTTCGGATATTTAGATAATTTCACTGTTCAAGTTTTATGTATTTAAATTATTTTATTAATTTAAATAATGTTTAATAGATTAGACAATTAATAAATATGAAATAAATTATTTAAATAGAAAATCATTTTTTTACACTAGTTAATTATATATTACAAATTATGAGAAATATTACATAGACAATTAAATAGAAAATCATTAATCCAGATGATAAAACTATGTAGATATTTCGGTTTAAATAGGATACTTCGGTTCGGATTTCGATTTAGATATTTCGGTAAGTTTGGGTATCGTATAAAATGTCCACCCTATTATTTGTTTCTTGTTTCTCACGTATGAAACTGTTAGGCCTTGGGTTTGTTATTATATTATTTGTTTCTTGTTTCTCACGTATGATAAAACTGTGCAGAAAACGCTTTTAAAACAGTAAGGGAAAGAGAATCAGATGTTTACAGTTACGGAGTTGTGTTGCTGGAGCTGGTTACTAGGAAGAGAGTGGTGGACAAGTCCTTCCCGGACAGTACTGATATAGTCGGCTGGGTGAGATCTGTGTTGAGCAGCGACAGTGTGGACGACATGGTGATGACAGCAATCGTGGATCCGATTCTCGTTGACGAGCTTCTTGATTCGAATGTTCGGGAGCAAGTGATTCAGGTAACGGAGTTAGCACTGAATTGTACGGAGAAAGATCCGGCGAAGAGACCGACGATGAGAGATGTGGTGAAAGTGTTGTGCAATGCGCAAGATCTTGTAAGATGCTTCTCTGATATTCAGTTCGGTAATGAGACACAAACTGTATGAATGTAATGGTTTACTAGAAAAAATGTCACTCGGCCCGTAATGTAAATATGGGCCTAACTAAGGCCAAAGTTATGAGGCTTGTTATATGTAACCATGTTTTGTAAAATAGAGTTGTTAGATAAAAAAATATATCAATTACAATTTGAAGAACACTGTTTACTTTATTACCGAAGTTTGGACCGGTCCAAGGTCAAACCGGATGAAACATTGGCGTCTCCAAATTTTTTCAATTAAATTATTTGTATAATGAAATCTTTATAAATAAATAATGTTAGGACTTATATCAAAATTTATAATTTATTAATTTAGAGATATATTAATTTATCGATATATTAATCGAACCAAAACTTCAATTTGGTACTATAAAATTATATTATTTTATAGAGATATTTAGTGTATATTAATTTAGAGAATATTAATTTATAGAAGTTCTACTGTACATAGACCTCAAAAAAAAAATTCAGATCTTCAAATCTTTAAAATAAAAAAATAGGTGAAACCATTTAAAAACCGTCTTAGTTCCCTAATTCTCAGAGTTGGCCTTGGTTAGGATAATTTTATTTTAGGTCTAAACCATCTGAACACTCTACATATAAACATGTTTTTGCAGTGTAATAAAATCTATTTAGATGATATTTAGATATCTGATATCTGCATAGTCGATAAATTGAATATGAGTGAAATGTTTTTTTTTAACTATTTTTTTTTTAAATCAGTTTAAGCTTTAATAAAAAACCTGACTAGCCAGTAATCTTCTATAAAACGTCTATCCATCACCTAGCGATTTTTAGTTATTGGTTTTGTATGTTGATGTTTTTTGTTCTTGACAGGAACTAACACTATTTTTATTATTGTTAAGGTCCAGTAATCATATATTGGATAAATTCTTTCAAGATGGTAAGTCCGACTTATATTATGTCCATGCCACTTTCATTTCGTAGCATCTTATCCTTCACTATCATTTTGACAGAGTTTATATGCTCCTTGTAAGCTGTATTTGTGATAAGTCCTTATCTAACTAACAAAATACAGATTCGATTAATCCGAATTTGGAGTAAGTATTTCTTTTTTATTACATGGCTCAATTTTTTTAACATCAAATAAAATACAGATTTCGAATAATCCGAATTTGGAGTAAATATGTATTTTTTATTAGTGGAAACTATTTTGTTGCTAAAAAAACAGTAGAAACTATTTTGAGAAAAAAAAGAATCAGATTTTTATTAGAATACTTTTTATTATATGGATTCTTGTGCCATCTTTTTTTTTTTTTTTTTATCAGTGCCATCTTTCTTACATTGGTGGATAGAAATGGCGACGACGGTAACAACACGAAGAAAGAAATAAAAGGTAAAGGGGTAAAGGGATAATAGGTTGTGTAAGAAAAAAGGAGTTTCTTTTTCAACGCTCTAAACTTTTTTGGACGGTAAAGATGACGCAAACGCAGATCTAACGGACTAAATTATCCGTAACACCAACGTCTTGTTCAACTTATTTAATCTGAGCAGATAGTACTTGGCTTCTTTTTGTTTTCACTTACTGTCGTCAAAATTCTTCTCATCTCTTTCACCATCATCAATCCTCTGTTCGATTTTTCTTTTCTCCTTTTTTTTATTCGTAACTCTTATATTTATTTTCTCATCGTTCTTGTGGTTAGTGACAATCTGATTTCTTGTTTATTATTTTCTTCTTCTTGTATTATGTTGAAATCTGGAATATGAAAAGGGCTTAACTGTAGATAATGTTTCGTTTTTTTTATGAATCTGATAATTATTATGTTTTTGGTGTTCGCTTAAAGGTTGGTGTAGTTGCTTCTTTAGATTTCGTTTTATTCCTTCCAGATCTTGATGTACAAAAAAAAAAGACTTTTTTACTTATTTGTACATTTTGTACGAAAGATCTGTAGGTTTAGGTTTCTTTTCTAAATAGACCCTTTTACGTTTTACATTCTTGGTAGCAAAGTTTACATTATGGGAGTTCACAGCTTAGTAGCAAAGTTTGTATATTGAGTATGGATTGTTACAGCTTTATTGAAGCTAAACTGATTGCTTTTAGTGGGAGAAAACGCTGTAATGTTAATACTTTTCATGATATTCTAAGCTAAGTTAATGCACTTAGTCCAAACGTGAGTTCTTTACTCTCATATTGTTTTTATATTTGAACAGGAGTTTAGCAATGGAAGGAGTTCCAGGGATCAACACTGTTCCAAATCCTAACTATTATGACAAGTCAATAGTGCTAGATGTAAAGCCACTGCGAAGTTTGAAACCTGTATTTCCAAATGGTAATCAAGGTCCACCATTTGTTGGTTGTCCACCTTTTGGCCCTTCTTCTTCTACTGAGCATTCACCTTTCTACCCTTTTGGAGCACAACAACCAACGCATGATACTCCAGATCTCAACCAAACACAGGACACGCCTCCTCCATCGTTTGTTACGCCTCTTCAATCATATAGAGAACCTACTGTATCAAATGGCCCTAGCAGCTCAAGTGGGACTAAGAAAAGAGTTGGCCGTCCTAAGAAAACTACTGTATCTAATGATCCTAGTAGCTCAAGTGGGATTAAAAGAGGACCTGGCCGTCCTAAGGGAGTTAGTAATGCGAAGAAAAAAGAGAAGACTGTGTCCAACGAGACTAATTTGGATGTTCAGGTAGTGAAAAGATTCATTACAGATTTTAACAGCGGGATCAGTGTACCAGAGCGAGAAGATGGGACTGGGGACTTAGTGAGTAGCGTATTGATGCGTTTTGATGCTGTTAGGAGGCGGTTAATCCAAGTAGAGTATGGTAAGGCAGGGACTTCGAAAGCAGCTGGTGTTTTGATGAGCAATGGGGTGAGGACAAACATGAAGAAGAGAGTTGGGACTGTTCCTGGAATCGAGGTTGGGGATATCTTCTTTTCAAGGATAGAGATGTGTTTAGTGGGTCTTCACATGCAGACTATGGCTGGCATTGACTATATAACAAGTAAGGTCGGTGCAGATGAAGAGCCTTTAGCTACTAGTATTGTTTCGTCTGGACGTTATGATGGTGAAGCACAGGATCCTGAGTCTTTAATCTATAGTGGACAAGGAGGGAATGCAGACAAGAACGGACAAGCATCTGATCAGAAACTTGAGAGGGGTAATCTGGCGTTAGAGAAAAGCTTGAGGAAGGGGAATGGAGTAAGAGTGATAAGAGGAGAAGAGGATCCAGCTAGTAAAACAGGAAAGATCTATATTTATGATGGACTTTATTCAATCTCAGAGTCATGGGTAGAGAAAGGGAAATCTGGTTGCAACACTTTTAAATATAAACTGGTGAGACTACCTGGTCAGCCACCTGCTTTTGGCGTCTGGAAAGCTATTCATAAGTGGAAGGAAGGTGTGAGTGCAAGAACAGGTCTTATCCTTCCAGATCTCACTTCAGGAGTTGAAAGCAAACCTGTTTCGCTTGTGAATGACGTTGATGATGAGAAGGGGCCATCTTATTTTACCTACATTTCCACTCTCAAACACTCTGAGACCTTTAAACAAACTCAGCCAACAATTGGTTGTTCCTGTCATGGCTCATGTGCACCTGGAAACCTTGACTGCTCTTGCATCCGAAAGAATGGTGGTGACCTCCCTTACCTCAATGGTGTTATGCTTGTTTCTCGGAGACCAATGGTATATGAATGTGGCACAACCTGTCCATGTCATGCCAGTTGCAAAAACAAAGTGATTCAGACAGGACTGAAGTTCCGCCTGGAAGTGTTTAAGACAGCCAATCGTGGTTGGGGTTTACGTTCTTGGGATCCCATCCGCGCTGGTTCTTTCATATGTGAATATGCTGGTGAGGTCAAAGACAAGCTTAGAATGGACCAAGAAGATGATGAGTTTGTCTTTGACACGTCACGTGTTTATAACTCGTTTAAGTGGAACTATGAGCCTGCATTAGTAGATGAGGACCCTGCAGATGAAATCCCGGAGGAGTTTAATCTCCCATCACCACTCCTGATCAATGCCAAGAGTTTTGGAAATGTAGCTCGGTTCATGAACCATAGTTGCTCCCCTAACGTTCTGTGGCAACCAGTTATTTGTGAAGGAAGCGGTGAATCTGTTGTCCACATTGCTTTCTTTGCTATTCGTCACATTCCACCAATGACTGAGTTGACTTATGACTATGGAGTCTCCCTTACATCGGAGGCCAGAGATGGGAGCCTTTTACATGGAAAGAGGAAATGCTTATGTGGTTCTGTGAAATGCCGTGGCTCATTTGGATAGTCTGATAAATGTAAACACTTGACATCCACCTTTCTCTTTTCTTTGTACTTTTCTTACACAATATGTCTGAAGCCGTCTCTGTTGTCACAGGGCAGAAGATCTCAACGTACGTAGCAAAGTACAAAGAAGGCGCTTTGGCAAACTATGTATGCATTTGCATGTTCTGTGGCGATACTTACACATGTAATGTATTGACATCACATTGACTTTAGGTTCCATGCTCACGGGTTTGGTCAAAATAAACTCTATAGAGTGATTGAGTTATGTTTCAAGCTTTGTCTGACAACTTATCAGTAGACTTTAACAATGAGAAAACCAAAAATATAATCGATGTTTGTTTGTTTGTTTGGTATTTAATCGTCAATGTTCTTCATGTACTCCTTGGAAAGCTTTGTTTCGTTGATGAGTTTTTGTTCCTTAATGAGAGAGTAACCTGACTCCAGCAACGCCTCCACCGTTTGCTGTTCACATCATCATCATGAAACAAACCTTTCATATGATCTCAAAATGGAACAAAAGCATGAAATTTTTGTAAGAGAAAGGTTGATGTCAAGTGTGAAGCCTGTAAAGGCAGTTACCTCAGGGGGAATGAATTGAGGAATCTCTTGGGTCTTTTTACGCCTGAGAAGAGTTTTCTCTAGAGTCTCTATTCCTCCAACTTCATCTACCCACTGTTTACAACAAAGAGATTAGCCATTTTCACTGCAGAAGTGTTATCTGCCTGTCATGGCTGAAGTTAAGTTACCTTGAGGATAGATCTATCATATGTACGTGACCTCAGAGCCCCATAAAAGTCAAGTGCTGCCATAAACAATGAAGAGTAAGGTAAAGTGAGGAAGATTCACACTGCAACTTCGTGTTCCTCATTGAGATGGTATATATATTACCTTGATTTGGAAACTTATCAACAATGCTTACAACATCTTTCCGTGATATACCATCTTTCTCATACATTCTGCTAACAATGTTAACTATATCTTCACGAGTTGGCTGCCTGTTTTAAAAAAACACCAAACACTTAAAGCTTTTTGTCTGAATGAAGAAAGATTCCATAGTTCCAGGATCATTTTACCAATAGAACTTCTCCATTCTTCCTTCACGGATCAGTGGAGCATATAGCGTGGAGAAATCATTTCCTGTGACAATGAGAGGAACTCTGTTTACAGTGTCAGCTTCTCTCCAGTCTTGTCCCACACTTACCCTTGTAGGATTATCCGCAAGGTTCATCAGAGTACCAACGACTATCTGGTTGTTCACTGTCATTTGTGTTTCCCCTGGACATAGAAAAGAAACTCGATTAAAATCACCTCAAGGGAATAAGAGCAGAGGTGTCACAAGATAACTTTAAACTATATGGGATTTGACTATAAGACTATTTACCAAATCTACCAAGGCCAGCATCAATATCATTGATCATGAGAACACTCATCTTCCCCTGCATTACATGTCATCATAATCATCAAAGTTCATGCCAATCTTTGTATAAATAAAGAGATGTTAACAAGACTTGGGAATGATAAGAATAGCTTCTAACTTGATTCTGAATGACTTGTGAAGCTGTTCGATAACGGTCACGTATGAGTTTTCCCGGTTCCCCTGTCAGGAATATCACAATGATAAGCAGGTTGTTAGCTAGTGCTTTTACTACATAAGACCCAAGTAAACAAATATTTAAATCAGAGTTGGAGAAAATCACCAGCTCTATCAGACTCCAACTCTCCAGCAGACATTATAACAGGTTCGACTCCCATGGTTTTGAATATAAGTTCGGTCTGAAACGTTTTCCCTTGTCCTTTACCTCCCCAGATACCTAGCCACCCCAAAAAAACAAGCGCAATGTTCAAGAAATGGTAACAAAGTTTCAATCACTGAATCTAAACAGAGAACCAGGAGGGGCATTCACATTACCTAAGATCAATGGGATTTTGATATTTAGAGAACTAGCAAGGTAGTTCTTCACAATGTGGACAGCTGCAGAACACAATACATGTTAAGTCAAATGTGAAAAGATTGTAGCAAAGACTATCTTGAAAGTTGCAGACTTTTGAGGCATGTTCATATATGAACCAACACTACCATCCAACTTATAATCTTCACCAAGGCTTAGCTCAGTTCTAACTTACCAACTTTATCCTGTCCAAAAAAAAACACAAGAATAAAGATATAAGCAAAACCCATTAGCTGCATTACTTGCAGATATATAGAGCACAAGTTACCATGAAGGTTGGAGCAATGTAATAATCTCCTTGAAGATGTTCAAAGGACCTTGTTGCCTTCTGACGGTAATCAAACACAATATCAGCTGCAAAAGTAACAGAACAATACAACTCTGTTAACTCCAAATCACAGAGAGAGACCGAACCAAACATGAAAAGAATAAAAAAAGAGACTTAACAATCTTTGCCAAGAAAGTCTCCGATGAACACGTCATCGATCATCCCGGCTCTTGCTCCCACAGCTATGTTAACGTTATCTGACTCCGCGCCAAGCCTATAAAGATAATCCTTCCCTTCTGAATCTTTTACTTCCCATGAAGACTGCTCCGATAACTTCTTCGGCTTTGAGGCACCGTCAACAGCTCCTTTGCCGCCGTCATCTCCGGCGTTGGAGCAAGCAATGGAAGAAGGTTTTCTAAGGGAAATTGAAGTGTTGTTGAACGTGGAAGAAGATGGAAACTTGAAGCGCAAAGATATGTTTGCAAGCGCCATTAAAACGACTCCAAATCAACAAGGCAGTTAAAGCTTCCACCTTTGAAAAAAAGAAACGGATTTTTTTTCTGAATTTTTTGGTTTTTTTTTTTTGTAATTTTGTTTTATCCACAAGATAGGATTTTAATGAAGAAGAGCCATTTGTTCAAAGGATCTAGATTCTATAAAATTATGTTCTTTGAAAGAAAAAAAAAAGACATCTTTGTGTTCTTGTCTGATAGTAGACTAGTAGTAGCCAATGGTTCTCTCGAAGACAAAGTCTAGCTTTGGTCCCACGTAACTTTTCTCTTTGTTACAACTTGCAGTTGTAATGGTGATAATTAATTTCACTTGGATAAGGTTTGACACTAAACAAAGCGTTACTTGATTGGTTAGAAGGTAATCAGCAAACAAAATAATGTAAACATCCATTAAGCATATATAACTTGGGAACTTGGTTACTAACTTACTACTACATGCATTGGTACTTAACCCAGTTCATTCATATACTCATTTATCATTATTATTCATTTATCATTCGTTATATGACCATACATATCCACTTATAAACACACACGGTGGATCATACCATAGTTCTAGTGCAGAGAAGTAAAAGTTTCCTCTTTACAACAATAATTAGACTTATAGAGAGAACAATTTTGAAGTCGAGATGATCCAAGAGACAAGTGTGATCCACTTTATCAAGAGAACCAATTAACGAGCTCGTCCACTTGGCTGCCAGCTGGAGGAGGAGGCACATCTTGCATCACCTTCTCCTGTCCCTTTGGATAGTATATTCCCGTTCCTTCATGTGGGACCCAACTACTCGCTGACGATGACGTCTCTCCAGCCAGGGAGAAACCTCTCGTCGTCTTCATCTCCTCTCCTGCCCCGCAGCCGGCTCCATCTGTCTTCACCGTCTCCCTCACTATGTCGTGCGATGCGCTCTTCTTGTGGATCGATTTCCTAAGCATCGGCCTATACATATATGTTCCATGTGTAAGATTGCATATGGTCTGCATTATTCAGTATGTCATGCAAAGTAGGTATAAAGACGCGACTTACTTGACGAGCATGGTGTTCATCGTTTGTACACCACGAGACGAGAAGGTGGTAGTGGCCATGTCAATCTCTATGATCTCTCTCTTACAAATAATGTGTTTGAGAGTAATCGAATATACTTGTAGATATACAATATATTGTGTGTGTTGAGAGAGTTGCATCTATATATATACTACACACCTAATCATCAAATGTGAATGGAATTTTAACAAACGTAGAAATAAAATAAAGGGAGGGAGTGGCGGATGGGACGACATAGAGTGAGATAATCCATAATCACAGTTCCCAACGTATATTATCGTTTTAGACCCATGCCTCTCTTTGGTCATCTCCTCCACGTGGGATGATCCACTTCTAGTTTTAGATCAGTTATTTTAGAAGCATTTATACATTACGTATGCAGCGTACACAGTATAGTCTTTGGTCTCTTGTGGCGTGATTCATGGCCAACTTTGAGAACTTAAGTTATGATGGGCTAAAGCTCATTAGGATCACATGTATCAACTTAAGATTAAGAAGCTCATCTATGGCCCATGTATTGGCCTGAAATTGAGACCTCAATGGCTTGATTAAACCAATTTTGACCCGAGCATTGTTGGGAAGGTGGTCGTTGGATGAGCGTTCTGTATTGGTTTAACCAATTCTCAGCGTTCTGTTTTGATCCTGAGACTGTTCAGTTTATCCTTCACATTGTATTATTTTCTCTGTTTTTACTAGTATACAGAAATATTCCACAATCCTTATTCTTCTTCGTAGATTGGTTAGAGAATTACAGGCAAATGCCAACAGGATTTATGGCAATTGTAAGAAAAATATGGAAATTTTGAAATGAAAGGATTTGGTCCCTGAAAATAATATTAAATTGAGGTTTTGAGTAGGGAGGATAAGATTAGAGACGTTGACTTCGAACTCAAAAATGTTTAATTTCCTTCAACTTCAATCACTATCTCTCACTTTTTAATAGACGTATATATATTTGCTTTAATGGTGAAGATGTGGAGAAAAGAGTACATAAATAATATATATTCTTTTCAAACAATTTTTCAATCGTATATCTACACGAGCCATTAGTGAATTTAGACATGATAAATTAAATTAATTTAACCGCACTTCTCAGACCATTTCCTTACATTTTAATTCTTATATACATACTTTATATGCCAACGTCCTCATTGTCTCTAGACTCCACTAGAATACTATAGTTTAGAATGTATAGGGTACGTAAACCATGCACCGATTCATAAACTGTGTGATGAACAAACGCATCAATTTATTTCTGGTTACACCGAACAAACAAACAAGACTAAATACAAAAAGGATCAATATAAATTTCTTCTAAAGCGGTTCTCGATCGATAAAAATACATCCTTGCAAATTTAAATCTACGAGAGTTCATACTCAGTGATGACGAGGGTCGGGACCTCCAGGGCTAAGTCTCATGGGCTCATTAAAACCTCTCTCCATTAGCTTTTCCATATTAGCTTTCAACACTTTCTCTGCTTCTCTCATCATACGCCCACGTTTAGTTCCGTAAGCGTTCGCAAACCGCTGCTGCAGCGGCCGAGATGCTGATGATGGCGACAACGAAACGCAGATCAGGAACAAACACAGACAAATTTTCAAGTTAGCCATGTGTTATGTGCTGTATTTTTCAATATGGAAGGTGTTTATATGTTAATGTAAAATGGTATACTGGATGGTGTGTGCATGTTTCCTTCACACGCTTGAGACATTTATATATAGAATTGCATTGTGATCATAAATCTCAGTGAAATGACAATTTTTTGGTTATACATTATAAAATAGATGAGGCGGTCGTAAGAGCCAATTTATAATTAGGGAGTTTCCAACTTCTGCAAAGTGCTCCTTCGAGAGCACATCACTTCCAATACATTATATAATTTTTATCAGCATACAATTATATAAATTTTTATTAAAGTGAAGATATATATAGATTATCATATAGTACTATCGACCTTTAATTTATTCTATTTTGTTACGTCTGTGTGTGATAAATAGAGTGTGAAAAATGTTAATAGCGCAAATGATTTTATAGTGTATACCCAAAAATGAACAGGTTAGGACATGTGTTCAGGTTCTTTTGAATGATTAAAACCAGTTTATAATATAAAAAAGGAAAATATACATAGAAAAAATGACTAAGATAGCACTAAAATTTTTTTTGTTACAAATATAACACTTAAAGAATAAAAATGAACAAAATAGCACTTAATATTTTATCAAAAGAGATAAATATATACATATATCTCAATAATAAATTAATTTAGACATTAGAGTTTAGAGTTAAGAGGTGGGATTTAGGGTTTAGGGTTTAAAATTTAGGTTTTATGATTTAGAGTTGGGGAGTGGAAGGTTTTGGGGATAAGATTTCAATTTTTGAAAAATAAATTTTTAAAAAATTTTAAAAGATAAAATATTATTTTAATTATTTCAGTTTTTGAAAATTATTTTTGTGACATAAACTTAGAAAGGTGATATTTTGGAGATTTACCTATATACATATGAATGGTCTTTCGAAAAAATTGTCGTACGGAAAGAGTCAATGAAAGCCATGTGGCTGACTTTTGCCGCCATTTTTCTCCGGTTGGCCTTTTGATTAGTTGACCATATGAGTTAACTAACGTAAATCCGAAGTAAAGGATCCGAGTCATGTCTTTTGATTGAATTTTGATTCTATCGACTCAAAATAACATAATAACAGGAAAAAAAGATATAATAACAGGATAAAATAGTGTTATTTACGCCGACAAACAAAGAAAGATAGAATATGCATGTACAGGATAATAATAAGCTAAAGCAGGTATGAATCTAATATATAATCTGTGCATGTACTGACTGAATATTATAAAAGAACTTAGAGAATATGCATGAGTGAGGTTCCAAATCACTAAAGCTTCTTTCTCAGTATTTTCTTAAACTTAACGGAGAATAGGACAAAGTTAATCACTCTATTTTACTTGAGTTTATAGCAAGTTGAATGATAAAAAAAGATTATTAGCGGAAACGATTTTGGATTTTGTGAATGACACTTTAGTTTATAGAGTAAGTGAAGGCTGTGAAGCACCAATTCGAAGCTGTGGAGAAAAAGTGAATTGAACACTAACCTCAGTCCAACTATTAAAGAGAGCAGTATCGACAGTAATACCTAATTTTTTTTATTACAAAGTATTGATAAAACAAATATGTTAGATTGAATATACGAGAATCTTACATTGTGTACTTAGATATGATTAATATAGATACTCAAGATCATCTTTTACCCTATATGCTGTTTTGATTGGGTAACACTAAGCTACTAGTGGATTTTGATTTCCATAATATTTTTATGGTTGATCTTTTATGTATTTTTGAATAATTATATAAACATAGTCTGCACAGATTAAAGAATTAATTGTTCAATCTGAATTTCGCGTATCTAAAAATAGTAAGAATTTGTTTTGATGAAGTCTAAGTCTGGCGAACACACGAAAAAATTGATTATACATGAACTTTTTTGAGAAAAAAAAAACAAGCCATTCGTATTTCTTTACATGAGAATAAAATTGTGAGAATAACGTGTTCATAACAGCATTATGTATTCTATGAAACCAAGAAAATGAGATAAACTCAAAATTGTGAGAATAACGTGTTCATAACAGCATTATGCATTGAGTACACCGTTATGTTGCATAGTCACATGTTAATCATAAATCAATGAATAAAATCTGAAACAGTTTACCACTTCGATCAATATACCACAATAAACACCATAGTCCATAATATACATACATATTTGTTTTTTTTTTAAATCTCCTACTCACGCATTTTACAAAATTACTCAAAGTACTTGTTTCTTCCTACACCTATTCTATTACCAAAATAATTATAACCGCTTACATATAACAAATATACAACATAAATGTTTCGACTCCATGCATACGCTTTTCTTCTTTACTAAAGTCATGCTAATAAAAAAATAATTAAGAAGCTAATCAAATTTTGTTAATTCTCTTCATTGATCAGTAAATTTAATGTATATCTTAGTCAGTGCCGTCCTCCCATCAGGGCCGGCCCTGAAAATAAGGGGGCCTAAGGCCAATTTTTAATAATTTCACCTAAAAAAAAATTTTCTTATGGATTTGGGGGCCTAACAAAAATTTTTAGGAGCCTATATGCATGGAACTTTTTTCAAAAAATTTGGGGGCCCAAGGCCAATGTTTCATTAGGCTTGGCCCAGGACCGGCCCTGTCCCATAAGCCCTATGAAGCATGAATTCAGGCCACAAATTATTTCTATTAAGGCCATTTTGAAACAATAATTCTAGTTGAATGGTTATAAAACACCACTGACTTTGTATTTCGACTTTGTGTCGTGTTTTTAAGATTGTAGTTTGTTTATTTTATTTTGGTTAGAAATGTCATTGCAAATTATGTTTATATTGTAAGTATTTCTATCTTATTTTAGCTACTGATTTGTTAGAGCACCTCTATTAAGAATTAACGAAGGATACTCTCACACTTTCCAAAAAAAAATTAATATAATAAAGTCAAACTTATGAACCTGTCTCGTTAGAGTTCACTATGATGAACCTGAATTATCACTGTTCCGTGGACCCTACGACATGTGGTAGTCCAAAATTGATCTATTCTTTTTTTTTAAAAACAAAAGAAAAAATTTGAAAAAAATAATAGTTGTGAACTCCATCCCCAAGTTTACTGATGGGGTGCTCTTATGTCTTGTGTTTTCAAATAAATTAATGTGTTTTCAAATAAATTAATTAAAGTTTGATTTTGTGTTCAAAAAAAAACTAAAGTTTGATTTTTAATTGTTGTAAGAGAAAGTAAATACTAAGGATAATATATAACTGAGAGTCATCTGATTTTGTTTATAAAACCTAAATAGATATGTTAGTTTTTTTTATTTTTAATCTTTTTGTATAAATATATGATGAAACATAAGCCACCGCTTATAAATATGATTTAGACCAACAAATTTATCGGGACGGCTCTGATCTTAGTCAATGTATATATACATATAATTGAAATTTAATATTTCAGCAAATAATATACATATGAATATAAAAACCTACGGATAATACAATACCCAAAAAAAGGAACTTTAATGAGGTTTAGCAGGTAAAGTATAGTTGGTCCTGACAGGTGATTAAGGTTATTAAAGTTTAATTATCTACATCCAACCGTGGTCACACTCATCTGGTCGGCACTTTCTTACATAACGCACTCTATTCAACTTTTTCGTCCATTCATCTCTAAATATAAATAAATTGTCACTTTTTTTAACTTCTGCATATGCTAATATATCCATTATATTTTGAGTTAAATTAACTACTATGGGATTGAGATGGATCACGATCGCTGAACTGATCAAAGATAAACTAAAGAAGTTTGTAATGACGGTTAGATATGCATAGAGTCACTCACAAGTCACAACTTTATCACCACTTTTTTCTTTCCGTATGCAAATGATCTATTACAAAAATGCAATGAATTTGTTAATTTGTAAAGTCAACTACTTTTAAGGAAAATTAATATTAATTTTGTTCTGGTCAGCAACCTGCACTATAAGTTCGAATCCAGATAGTGATAATTAATTTGACCGTATGAAACATAGTAGTTTACTGTTATTGTATCAACATATTTAGTTTAAATCCGTATTGTTGAAAAAAGATTCTGCTAATATTTTGAGACTACTCTAGCTAGGCATCAACTCATAACATCCGGTAACCATTTTATGTTTGAAATAGCTTCTATTTGCATTCATGGAAGTGTATCTATCACAAAGTTACTATGGCTGAATTTTTTTTGTTACTATGGCTGAAGGGAGCGCAAGAATTTTCGCAACCTGATGTTACTATGGCTGAAGTTTGACTAATCTATGCAGTCACGTAGTTCTTCCTGTTGGCCATTCTTTGTTTTAATTTTTTTTTGGGCAAAGGATGGGCTAGAATGATTTAAACCTTTTGTATTAAGCAAACAAGCTCATTTTGAAAAAAAAAAAAAAGTGAAATTCATATACTTTAAAAAAAAAAAAAATCTATCACAAAATTAAAAATAAATACAATAAAAAAGTCATGTAATTAATAGAGGCAACACCTTAGGGTGAACCATTAGACTCGTCAGTGGTACAACTGAACTCATCATGCTCTCCTCCGTTCTCTTCTTCCTAGCTCATCTTCGTCCTTGTAGTCTTTGTCTTTATCAGCACCAAAAAAAGAGAGGATTGCAATGCGAGTAAGGCTTCTTCTTTGCTTATGTTGTCAGCAGGACCATCGGTTTAGGGCATGGGGCAGAGAGACATGGACCCCGGAGTCCAACTCTATTTTTATAAAAATAATATTAAAGAGAAAACCTAATTTTTTAATTAAAAATGGAATAAAGACCTAAAAGTTTGAAATTATCCATAAACATATGTAAAAAGATGATTTTGCCCAAGGGTGTCCATAAATACTCTGAGCCGGTCCTGGTTGTCAGTTCTATAGAGCTGCAGTTTCTATCTCTATTTGTTTGGTTGTCTGAAGAACAGTTGATTCTACAATGTCGGTAAGAGAATTTGACGAATCAGTGTATATGTGTATATACATACATTCTTAACCAAGAGATCATATGACCACTGGTAACATATAGATACTTCGTTCCTTTGGTGAACTTAGAAGTGTTACCAAAATTTAGTGTTGTTTTTTTTTTTTAATCTTAGGGTATTTCAGGTCTCAGGCTCATAGAGAGACCCAGACTAATCTTCAAAGGCGTGGTGTAGCTCACGGATGAACCCTCATTCTGAGTATTCAAATAGACCGTAAAATAAACTCATATCCGCGTGGCCACAAGATAAGATATAGTGGGGTGCCTTCGAATCCAAATTGCATAGCAAATCCCAAAGCTCGCCTACCACTAGACCACTATCTCGTGGTTAAAAAAAAAATTAGTGTAGTTGCTACAATTTCTTAGATTCCTAGTAAGAATCTTAAATTACGTAGAGGGATAGATGTACGAGCTCGACCGTAAGTGAAACCACATAACTTTGACTGTTTTTCGTAATTCTAGAAAATTCGTACTCGTTAACCTACTTGGCACACATGCATGCATTATGCATAGTCAGAACAACACATACGCAGACATAACATATGCACACGGAGACATGCAAATTATAAACCTGGAACCTTAAGGTTCGTTCAAAAACTTACCTAGAGAAGATAAGTAGTCAGACGAAAATGATATATACACGAACACAAACTCTAAGAAAAAATAAGATAGAAGACATAGTTAAGTAAAATGCATGCAATTTAAACGCTACGTGTCCATCTCAACACTCTCAAGTCTCACATCTGTCCTTCTTTTTGGCTTCTTTTAAACTCTATCTCTTTCATACCACCTCTATCTTTCGTCTTCACTCATCCTTGTCAATTCAAAGTGTCTGTGATTATAATGGCAACATCAGCTCGTAGAGCGTATGGTTTCGGTAGAGCCGATGAGGCTACACACCCTGACTCCATTAGAGCCACTTTAGCTGAGTTCCTCTCCACTTTTGTCTTCGTCTTTGCTGCTGAAGGCTCCATCCTCTCTCTCGGTACCGTTTCTGATGATTGATCTATAGTTTAAGTCTTTACATATGTGACATGGCTTGTGTGTTTCTTTTTCTCAGATAAGTTGTATTGGGACCATGCGGCTCATGTTGGGACAAACACACCAGGAGGACTGGTACTAGTAGCGTTAGCTCATGCGTTTGCTCTGTTCGCTGCTGTCTCTGCAGCTATCAATGTCTCTGGTGGACATGTTAACCCAGCAGTCACTTTTGGTGCTCTTATTGGAGGCAGAATCTCTGCGGTCCGTGCCATCTACTATTGGATAGCTCAGCTTCTTGGAGCCATCCTCGCTTGTCTATTGCTAAGGCTCTGCACAAACGGCATGGTACCACTAAACAACATCATACTTGTCCATTTCAGTTAATAAGCATTTAAACATTGTCTTATGTTCATGCAGAGACCAATTGGTTTCCGTTTAGCATCAGGTGTTGGTGTACTAAACGGACTAGTGTTGGAGATCATTTTAACATTTGGCCTAGTCTACGTTGTCTACTCGACTTTGATTGATCCAAAACGTGGAAGCCTTGGGATTATAGGACCACTTGCCGTTGGACTCATAGTTGGTGCAAACATATTGATAGGTGGACCGTTCTCTGGTGCTTCAATGAATCCAGCTAGAGCCTTTGGTCCAGCATTGGTTGGATGGAGATGGCATGACCATTGGATCTACTGGGTTGGACCATTCATCGGTGGTGCTTTAGCCGCTCTTATATATGAGTACATGGTCATCCCCACTGAGCCACCTACTCTTCACACCACTCATCAGCCTTTGGCCCCTGAAGATTACTAGATGGGGCTTTCCACTTTGTCTCTCTGCTTCTCGTCTTTGTTTGTATGATGAAATCACATGCATAGAATCTCTGTTTTGATGCTACTCTTTGTTTGTTGTAATAATAAGAATAAAGAGAGATACCGCAATGAGTTCTTTTGATATTTTCACCAAAACATATACGGATACAAGTAACAACAATGTCCTAATCTAAATCTATATTGACTTTCTTGTTCACTCTTGTGTCTGAAAGATGAAAAAGATAAAGAAGCTTCTTCTTCATGTTCTAAAACCTTTTAAGTATCATGGTCCTCTCATCTTTTCAACTATCTGTCTACTTCTTTCCTCCATGTGACGTTTCTTCTCTTCAAACTTCTCCCCAACTTTCTTCCTAAAATCAAACATCCTCTCCTTTGTTCCCATCTTCTTACCCTTTGCGTTTGCATCAACCTCTTCACTTGGCACAACCGATCTCTGGATACTAACCGGAACAATCTCTCCGTCGTTGCCTCCTTGTGCTGCTGTTTCCTGCTTTTCACTGCTTTCCAGGAGCGGAGTCTTGAGTTCTTCTAAGGATTTATCACTTTCTACTGTAAGAGCTGCTGAGCTAGCTGGTGGTTGTGTAGCCACAGGTTCTTCCTCAACTCTTGGCTTCTGTGGAACGTTGGTAGTTTTCTTCGTTTGCTCAGCATTTGACGGCTTGTCAGCTTTAGCTTTCGCTTCTGCAGCTTCGAAGCTCTCGTGATCACTAGTTGAGTCTTGATTCAGCCACATGAATGGTGCAACATTGCGTTGGACCCAATCATCCTTTTCAGCTATCATCCATGGAATGGTTACGCTTTCGCAGTTGGGGAGCACCATGACCTCTCGTATCCCGTTCTGCATGATGAGATTTTGTCTTTACATATTTGTTTCATATTCCTTAAGAAACAAAGGAGCAGAGTGTTTTTACCTTAAACCGGTTGATCAAGAACATAGCTACATGGCTGTTTGTGATTTTGTGTTCACCAACAGATGAAACAAGGTCGAATTCAATCTCAGGCATGCTTGTGAAGCCAAACCATAGTTGATCAGATGGAGGTTGCTTCATGTGTACACGCAGTGTCCCTCTAAGCGAAGAGACTCCTATTGACAAAGTAATTGGAACCTACAGTTCACAAACAGAGACGGTCTAAGATACTACAAGCGCTGAGAAAAAAAGGAGCTCCTATTACAAACAGAGACAAAGATTAACCTGGGAGACTTGCTCAGCGATGTTCTTAAGAATAGACTTCCACTTAGATCCATTGTTCGGAGCTGCTTTTGTACCTTTTGACCCCTTTGATTCATCTGCAAAGAAATAAATCACTTTAGTATAAATGCTTCAAAGCAGCACGCAAGATCACAAAGCAAAATGATTATATTAACACACAACCCATCATCAAGATAAACTAACCAGCTTTATCGCTTCCTTCAATTTTCACATCTTGTCCATCAACAGTTCCTCCAGGGACACTTAACTGCTTCTCAAAATCTGCAAGACCTTCAAGAAACTCAGAGGAAACATCTCCAGAAGAATTTGGCTGCAGTTTTCCTTCAGCTATGCCTTTCTGCAGATCTTCCTCTCGAGCATCAACGCGTGTCTGAACTTCAAGTCCAGCACCACCAGTGTATTCAACATCTAGTTCGAACGCCCACACACCATTCATCTCCATTGGAAGAATCCTTGTACCATGTATATAAGGTGGGAGACTCCCAATCTTTACATCACAGCAGATTAAGTCTCCTATGTAGCTGGGAATCCTCATGTTGGACAACACCCGCTGTTAAACCAAAACAGTTCGATAAAGAGATTAAAATTAGCAAATCCTGATGTAGTAAAAGATTTCATTTCCATTGAACCAGACCTGGATTCGTTCGTGCACGACATTCTTTAGCCCTGTGTTCTGTTTGACATCAAAGAACAGTCGAGAGATCAGCAAGTTCCACGCCAAACTTCCTTCATCAGCGAAAAACTTGTCTTCAGAGTCAACATCCGAAGCATGACTACCATGACTCCAAGAACGTGAGAAAGCTCCCACATCGGTTTCCTCAGGGATGTTATCTCGAATCTTTCTAGCTGGATTACTCCTTCCAGAGCTACCGTTGGACTGTGAGTCTTGGTAAGCACGTGTTGACGACCCCTTCTTCTCTTCACGGTTAATCGGGGGTAGATTCACTTTGGTTGAGCACTTTTTCGAGAACTTCTTCCAGAACAAACGAACCTTTGATGAAGGATTCTCTACCTTAACCCCCTTGTCCAATGACTCAAAACTAAAACCAGCTGATGGTTTCATAAAAGAAGGATATGCAGCATTAAGCAAAGCCATATAGCTCCGGAACTCATCTTTCAGCTTAGTCGACCAGATAAACCTCTCATGATCATTGCAAGCAGCAAGACGAAGTGCTTTACACCAAGACTCCTTCTCCCAAGAAGTCTCGAGATAGATGTAAAACACACGGTTCCCCTTGTACAAGTCTAAAGCCTTGCTCTCTACTTGGATAGGGAATCTTTTAGCCCTAATAAACACAGACACAAAACAAAACAGTTATAATGTAATATTCACTTGTACAAGAGAAGCAAATGACAGAAGATTCAAGTACCATTTTCTTGTGGGGAGTTCAGAGCCTGAAACAGCCTCAACGGAGCAACCTTTAAGAGTTATAACCGTCTTGTTGCTATCAGAATCTGTTAAAATGAGCTTATGGTCTTTGATACGAGCAAACTTTCTGATTGGATGCACCTCCAAGAGACTTATCTTCTTCTTTGGCTCTTTTGGTAACTTCTCCTTTAAACTCTCATCCAACTCCAAAACCCAAATCACTCCCTGAATACAAATGCAATAAATAAACATTCAAAGCAAACATCTTTTTGATCAAAAAATTAAAAAAGCAAACATCTTTCATCACAGTGATCAAGAACTAATCAGAATCTCATCCAAAGGAAGCACCTTTATTAACAACAAGCAAGAAAGAATGAAACTTTTTACCTGTTTGTTGAGATTGAAATCAATGGGAGGATTCTCAGAGCCGTTCAATGTTGGATCTGAGCTAAGATTCCTCTTCCGATTCAAGCGCTTGACAAGGTACAAGAAGGCAGCAACTTCAGCAGCAACGACGGCGAGTAGTCCCAGCAAGAAGCCAGTGACGAAGGCGAAGCCAGAGAACGAAACCATCTCCTCCTCCGAGAAAGTCTATAGCTTTTCCACTTAGTGTTGAGAAAGAGAAGAAGACGCGTCACGGTGTCTTCTACTTTTGAGAACTTTTGTGTCAGTTTCGGTGATGAAGAAACTATAGGCCTACTCCAGATATTTTTTTTTTCTCTTTAAAAGAAATTAGATTTCCTGAGAGAATAATAATAATTTTAATTTTAATAAATAATGTTATGTGTATTAATGTGAAGTGGGAATATTCGTTTACTGATTTTTTTCAAATCTTTTCTGACTTCTTTAATATAAAATTAGGAGGATTAATCTTCGTATATTTTACTTTGGTTGGATAATTCTTTAAGATTTTGTTACCTGTATTGTTTTAGGAATGAGAATATTCGGTTACTGAATTCAAATCATTTCTATATTTTCGAACTTTAGTTTCCTTAATGAAAACTAGGGGGATTGATTTTTCAGATTTAATATCTTTTTTTCTAAGTTTGGTTGGATAATTTTCTTTTAGATTGTTACCTGTGATATGTACATGAAAATCTACATACATTCATTTAAATTTCACAAATATAAATGCCAAAGGTTTATTAGCATTGGATCAAAAACAGTGTTGTCTAAAATTCATTTCAACACTCGTAGTTTCATACACAACTAAAATCCACTCTTCAATCGTCGACGAACTATACAGGCCATTCGTTTAGAGATTCCATTATTTTAAAATTTTTAGTGTGATAGATGAATATGCTGAAGTATGAGTTAGCCTTGTCTGTTGATTAAGATTTTAATGTTTATATATTACCAATCAACTAAGATATGCTCTACGTCCATATTTTGCAAGCGATAAATACTATATTATCAGAGATTTGGAATCCCTATAGGATGAACAGTCTATAGAAACTGAAATAATAAAATTTTATTTTATTATAAATTGAAGAAATCAACAAAACATCACCACCAGTAATCTATGACCAGTATAGCAAAAACGAACAGCTTCTTTTAAAATATTGACTCGCTAATAATGTTGTTGAGCTAGAAAAGAAAGTTTTGACTGTTTCAGTTCAACCTAATCCTTTGAAGTTCCAAGTCTCACCTAAGTCTTTTATTCGTTGAGGAATGAGTCAGACTATGTCAGAACATATCAATTCTTGAGTCAAATTTAATTAGTAACCGAAAGAAAGTAGAAACGGTATCAAAAATAATGCAAAGGAACATATGGTCAAGAGAAAAAATAATTCTTGCAAAAGAAAACAGAAAAGCGACTAAATAGAAAAAGAGAACTAGAAAACAAACAAAAGACATCAAATCTAACCAAAAAATGTTTTCATTTGAAACCTATTTGATGGATTTTCAAGTTATGTTTTATTATTTTATTGTATAGTCCTTAACATATTCTTACACATGTTTGCATTGCAAACCATATGTTCTTTACCGACATACAAGAAAGGCAGAGACTTTTATATATTCAGACAGAAAAGTACAAACCAGAGTTCACAGATCCATTTAATATATAATATAAAAAAAGAGACAGAAGAGAAGTAAAAGAGTAGCCAACTTCATTTACATGGTCTCGCACTCATGCAAGAAAAAAAACCCGCTTATTTCACATTTCACCGCAACGAAAACTCTGTTCTCTTCTTAGTAACTTCCATGGCTTGTGAGGAAACAAAAACTCTTCGGTGGCTGTTGCTAACCAAAGCAACATAACGAGCCAGACAACAACAAAGAAACACACAGAAACAAGGAGCTTGAAACAATAAAGAACACTTCAGGGTTATGTTTTTTTTTAGTGTTTGGAAGAAAGAGTAAAACGTTAAGAGGACCCCTTTGACTGATCTTAAAAGTTGGAGTTTATGAAGAAGTTATAGTCATGGTGATCAACATTTAGCTGTTTCAACCATGAATCTGCAGAGCTCTGAAGGTAAAACAACCGGTCCTGGTCGAACCCTGTCTTTCCCCATAGATCTCCTTGCATTTTGTAAGCAGCTAAACCAAAAGGAGGCAATGGGATTCTCTTGTTTACAACACAACAGTCTGGTTCTTCCTTGACTTTGTTGTTGCTAGAATCTCCTTCCACCACATTATCTGCGCTTTAGAGCCGTTAATAAAATAAACAAAAACTGGTGTTTGTTTCTTACGTTAGTGAGAGGCAGAGTGATTGATAATACTTACCTTGAAAAGATGAAGACAAAGTATGATAAGTTAAGAAGCCTGTCGTCAAGTCCATCTCATTTTTGCAGCTTGGGATGTGATATATTGGGTACCTTATTCATCAAAAACCATCACATATATCAATCTGAAAACTAAGAAAACGTACATTAACGGTTGTGTTAACTAAAGACTGAGTACTTACCACGCAACAGCCATCCAACTTGCAGGAGACATATCCACACTCCTTAAGGTCGTCAGTCCCGGATATTTCTCAGCCAACTCGTTTATCTGAAGACAAATCAAGAACGATACTTTTGCTTCAAAAACAAAGCTCATTAAGTTAAAAAGAAGATAATGTGATCACGTAGAGAGAAAAGAGAACCTTGTCGGTTAAAGGAACCCGCTTGTAAGGAGGATCTTTTTCAATGTACTTAAAGTCAAGGTAACCAAGTTTTTCTCGCAGCAATAGACTACCATCCAGATCAAAAACCGAATCTTCAGAGACAGCATCCCATGTTTTGCTTGAATCATTGCTCATAGATCTTGACAGCAACTTTTCACTCTCACTGTCACTCCAACACTCACTATTCTCAGATTCAATCACCTCATTCAGGCTCCTGCAACACAAAAAAATAACATTCAGCACAAAAACAAAGACACCATGCACGTCAAATAGCTAGAGACCTCCATTACCAAGCCACAAAGACAACATATTGTTAATGAATCAAGACTTTAGATAAGTACCTGGACATTAGAGCAGTCTTGTTAGTGTGTATTTGGATGGCAGATAGATATGGGACGTAATACTGCATAACGGTTTCTCCATTGCTTAAATCAACTTGTGATCCAAAACCAAACGCACTCAGCTCATCATAATAGTCCCAGAGATCACAAAGTCTGAAATAAGCTATCTCCTCCTTCCCCTGTTGCTACCACAAAACAGTAAACATCACACACAGTTTTGCAAAAACCACTAATTATATTACATAATGTTATTAACACCTAAATCACCCCCAATAAATAGCTCTGATGAAACTGTTCGCATCATTTCAACCAACTCAGCAACAACATGGTCTTAGCATTCATTGGTATTGACATGTATTGAACAATAAAGCTCTTTGATCCCTAATCACAGACACACAGAATGAGACAGATGCAAAGGATATACTTAGAGCATCAAGAAGATTCAAATCAAATCTAGTACACTTTAGCTATTTGATTAATGAATATAAAATAATATTCTAAAGCAATTCTGTCGCAGGTTTCCACGTGGTAGTATACAATCCATGAAAATGATGTGACTATTAGATTTCTCTTATTTATTTTTCTGTGATATGGACCATGCAATTATTTGTCTGTCTTGTCAAATTTCATCTGAAAATCCACAAACAAATCATTTAAAACAAAAAAAACACAAGTGTGATACAGTTTGATTCAAAGTTATGTCATTTGTTTATCAAAGACAGAGTTTTGAAGAGGAGACAGTAAATTAAAATCGTTTTTTACCTGAGGAAGAGAGAAGGAAGGAGGCTTAGGAGTGACTCCGAAGAGAAACCTCTCTAGATTTGAACGGCCTTTTGATGAAGAAGACCACCACCACATTCTCTATGTTCTTCTTGACTCAATCTCTTGCTGAGATCAGATCTTTTAAGCGTAATCAGAGTCTACACAAAAGTTTGGAAATGTAATAACTATGGTCTTCTCTCATTAGTCTCAATATGGTAGACTCTCTTTTCTATAAACAACTTCAGATGATTCCCCAAAAACTTCTCTTAAAAACAAAACCCACCAAAGAACGAGAAGGATTCTTTTCAGAAATCCACACTTTCGATTTGAGGAACTAAATGAGAATCAGAAAAGTAAGTTTTTTTTTTTTAATAGAATTTTGTTACTCTCAATGGAGACAGAGAAACTGAAGTGAAAGATGAATAAAGCTTTGTGAGTAGGATTGGTCTGTATTAATGGAAGAAGGAAAACGAAATAGAGAACGAAACGCTTCTTCTCTCTCTTTCACTCACTCTGATCCTTTTTTTCCTATTTATTAGCTATTTAATTTTCCGGAAGTATGAAACTGAAGACTTTTGTTTGATCTCTATCTTTTTCGTCGAGTCTAATTAATTAATTAATTAACTAAACAACTCGTTTTTAGCAAGAATAAAAAAGAGGATTGCATATTCCTTATATACGCAAATTTGTTTTATATTTATTGAAGAATTTTTTGAAAATGGAGACATTATTACGTCGTGAAAAAAGTAAATTGTTTTTATTTTCATTTTTGTTTGTAATCGAATATATTATCATTATGATCTTCTGCTTCTATATGTTTCTTTTAGAGGAGAGATTAACTCTAAATACGAGGACGTTAGACATTACAATTTACTTTTTTGTATTTATGTGGTGAGTGGTAAAGCCTTCTAGAAAAGCCACTTAAGTAGATTTTAAAAAAAATCTCGTAAGTTTTATCCTTTACTTAAAATATCAATGGTTTATTTTCTATAAGGGTTTCGTGAGATATAAATGTTCTTATTGAGAAACTGTAGACACCAATTCAAAAACGCAACGAGTTACTTTTGTGTGTTTTCAACATGTGTTGATTAGTTAGTATAGGTAGATATTAGTATTAGTGAAATTTTGTATAGAGTTTCTGCAGCTCTAGTAAATAGTATAGTCAATAGTGGAAGAACATTGATAAAATTTTAAATATTGAATAACCAAAAACAAATACCAAACAAATTTGAACATTACATTCCATCACCTAACCTTGCTATGTAAGTATTAACTCGCCAGCAATCATTTCTTTTAGTTTGTATGTTTTCAACCACTCTATAAATAATCAAAATACCAAACTAGTATTTTATGTCTTCAGAAATGTGTCCAAACTTAATATTACATACGTTTATCGTTGAAATATATTCCATTAATCATGTATGGTGCTGTACGATCGTATATAAGTTAAGTATGCTATAAACATCTCCTGTTTGGTTAGTTGTGTATTGTCCGTTCGGGGACATCCGATAAAATTGGAACGATACAGAGTAGATTAACATGACCCCTGCGCAAGGATGACACGCACAAATTGAAAAATGGTCCAAATTTTTTTAACAAAAAAATAAAAAATAAAAAATAAACATGTTAAGTTAAGTATTATCCCTTTGGGGACATCCGATAAAATTGGAACGATATAGAGTAGATTAGCATGGTCCCTGCGTAAAGAAGACACGCACAAATCGAGAAATTGTCCAAATTTTTTTTTACCAAAAAATAAAAAAAAAACATCTCCTGTATCAATTTTAACTGGAAAATCTCATGTCTGATAAATACAAAATAACTTAGATCAACTAATCTCTTCTATATAATGTAAACCGTGTGTTTTGGTATGTAATTAGTCTATTAGAGGTTAAGTTTAATTTGTACACAAATAATTCGAATAAAGTTTACTGTCTACTCTGGAATGAATCTTGATTTAAAATGAAATGGAGAGGACAACATCTAGTAGAATCTTGTTGAAGTCGTACATCAGAAAAGTATGAAAGTGACATTGACTATTTCTTTAATGGTGCATGTTAATTTTATTTTTAGGTGGGCAATCTTTAAGACTCCAACTATTTTCAGAAGCATCCGCATAATGACAATTACGAAAGTTTTTGTAAGAACATTAATGGTAGCATATGGAAAACTAGTAATCCTATTCCATTTTTACTCTAAATTTTATTTTAGAATAAAATCTTCTCTAATCTTATTCTATATATAACTTCAAAATGAAATAGTGACTAAGATTATTCATTTATGGAATAATCTTACTCATAATTCCATTTTACAGTTGAACTTTTTTTATTTATAAAATGATTATTTTAATCTTGAATGCTTTAATTATTTCATACATAAATAACATTGAAAATGATATAATAACATAAAATTTTGATATTCCACAAAATATCCTTTATAATTTTAGATAAAAAAGCATAAACTAATAAAAATTTAAACTAAACATTAATAACCTAAAATAAATATAAAATAAATAAATAATTTAATAATCCGATAATTCGTTTTTGGAACTACCAAAATTGAAGTATTGTTCAAATGGAAAAGATGATTTTGTTTATTTTATAGGTCAATATTTCGATTTGATAGCATTTGTATTTGTTGAATTTGATATATACACAAACATTTGGATCATGTACAAAATTTAAATTACAAACAAAACTTTGTTATCTTCTTTATATTCTTTTAATGTATAATTTTTATTAAATTAGAAAATTGTATATGATAAAAATTGCACCAATTGAAGTTGAAAAAATGTTATATCAATAGATAATCATATTGCATATGATGAAATTGTATGATTTCATAAATTTGTTATTTTAATTTAGAAAAATAAAGAATAAATAGTCTTATTGTTCATTACGAAATACATTAGTTGATTATATGTGAGAAAATATTCTGATTCTCACTAAGAAAATAAAATATAGTATCTTATATATTTTATGATTTATTTTAATTTGAATAATAAGTATTTAATTTAAGAAAAATATATTTTATGAGAGTTTTGTAAACATAAATAGTTAGGTTAATTTTTTTTTTATAAATTGGAAGTATTATTAACAACTATTAACAAAAAAAAGTAGTTGGAAATTTTTTTGAGGTAAAAAATATAATAAAACATTAAACTAAAATTTAATTCTGTTTTAGAAATACGTTATTTTAGAGTTAAAATAGAATAATATATTATAAAATAACAGCCACATCCAAAACGCCATCATTGATTTTTACTGTTGATTTTTAACCAGAGAAAGTTCTAACTTAAAGATTGTCTCCTTTTTAAATAAATGAGATGTTGACATTTTTATCCAAATTTAAATTCAGTTTATTTGGAGAAGCAACAAAAAATTAGTTCGGAAGAATTGATTTTTGAAACCGTGTTCTGTTAACATAAGTATAAATTATATCTTGAGGTAATATCTTTGCAAAACGAAAAAGTAAATGTATGTACGTAACCTTTTTGTAACATCACATAGATATTATTTTATTTGTTATTTTGAGCATTTTTTCTGTTTTATGTAGTTTCAGAAACTTAGAACACTTTTAACGTAAAATTATAGACATGAGTATCTTAAGCTAATCAAATGTGTACTTACTATACTATTTATATTTACTTGAAAATTTAAATCGAGAATAAAATTATATATTTGTTGTAACAAATATAAATATAAGGGAGGATGTGAGAGTTTCTCGTGAAAAAAAGTGTGGTGAGTATTTTTACAAAAAAAAAAATAGCGGTGAGTAGTATCTGTGTATCTGATTCTGAACACTCAAGGTTGTGTGTTGTGTACTGGACTGGACTGGACTTTCTGTTGGACGCGTGTTTTCCAAAACTGCGTCAGTCTCTCGCGTTTTGGTCTTTCTGTTTTCATATTTTGTTTTTCCTTTATTTTCTTTTACAAAATAAGTATTTATGGATAAACTTCTAATATTTTTAATTGTAGTTTGCAAGTTATAATAGCTGGACTCATGTTTTGGTATATACAGTTGTCTAGTGTTGGATTTTGTAAGTAATCCTAAGAAGTCGATTAACTACAAATTTTGGATGACTCCATCGACTTATAGCATGATTAGCATCCAATCAAAGTGATCAATGATTTGGATGATTCCATCTTTTTATTCATGTTTGTGTTTTGTTGTTTCGAAAAAGCATTTTGTGTATCAATGATTTGAAGTATATTTACACGTGGGGAAGTAGTTCTTTTTTATTATTTTTGGCTCAAGTAAAGTGGTTAGTTTTTAGATAAGTCACGTGTCCTACCATTTGTCGTTTCCGCATCACACTAAACTATGAGCGCTATTTATCCATTGATTTTATAATCTGTGTACTTTAGTGAGATTGTATATACAGGTCGTCTTCATGATTATGAATATGTTGGACCGTGTGATGCGACGAATATGGTCGTCTTTAGTGATGTGACTACCGGCTAAAGTAATCTAGTCAACAATATCGCTTGTGCTAAGCTCAACTGTTTAGGCTCATTTGTTTATGTTAAGCTTCAAGAATTTGACTCAAAAAAAAAAAGGTTAAGCTTCAAGAACATGTGCAAGAAGCCAAGAAGGGCGAGTGGGCGACATCTCCACCTGGATCTGTCTGAGATGACAAGTTGCAGTCGCAAACCCCGACAAAACAATACAAATCGCTCGACTCGAACAAAGTTTAGTCGAAATTTGGGCCGAAAATCTTTAAAAGCCCATTTGACATATTTAACAAAAAATTTAAGTAATAAACGTATATCATATTGGAACACACATGACTGAAACGACCCTATAAGATTCCACACTTTTTTGTGCACAAAAAAAAAAAATCCACACTTTCAAACCATCTTTAATAGTATAGTTTCTCCTTGAAATTGGATTGTAATCCTTTAATCTTCAGAGTGTTTAAAAAAAGATCCTTTAATCTTCTGAAATACCCTTACAAGACTTTTGGGTAAGAGACCTGGAGTCCACTGTCTTCAAAAATTACATACTTTGTTAACATTCGTGAATTTCACTATGGCTAATCTCCCGCATCTCATTTGAAATATCTATACTATATTAGATTTGGATTTATTACAAACTTCCAACTTAAAATTAATTGGTAATTATTAGATTGATCTTAATCCTTTATACATTACTTAAAGTTTCATTAAATTTCTAACTTTTGATATATTATCCATAATACTCTTTCTCGAGATGATGGTTCTTATCGAACATAAATCACAAAATTTTAAAACACTTATACTTGATCGAACGAATCAAGTACAGAAACTATACATAGTCTAAAGATTAAACACGACCTTTATATCCGGTCAAAAAAAATAATTAACTAATTAGAGGTTTCAAATTTTTAAGATATGACTCTGATATTATTTCGATTTAGATTTTAAGTTGGAAATACATAATAAACCTGAATCTAACAACATCTTTGCATATTTTTTTTTGAATAAAAACATCTTGGCATATCTTTTTTTTTTTAATAAAAACATCTTGGCATATCATACCAAACCATGGCCTAGAAAAGAACCAGTTACCAAATGTCATGATGAAGTCTCTTATTTTACAAGTGTATATATTTCAAGAATATGAGGTCTCTAAGTATTAGATATACATACTTTTTTTTTGGTAGATAAAAATTTTAAATGTGCAGCAAACTGGATAAAATGGCATTAATCTTTGGGGTACAGTTGTCGAACCTTTCTTTAAGTTTTATGAAGCTTTTTACTATTTTCACTTTATGAAATTTAGAAGTTTTGTTTGTAGTATTATAAGTTAGAGATTGTGAACCAAGAGTAGAGATGGCGTTCATTTGTTTATAGATATAAGCTTGCCAAACTTTAAAGAAGCATTTGCGATGTTCCCACAACTCGTCATCCACTAACAATTGATCAGATACGCGTTCTTACTTTTTTATATGTAATGAATTAGTTAATAAGAAGACAAGTGATACTGGGTTAAGTATCGATTGGATGATCATTTGCTATTTGGTATAGTTATATATCGCATTTATGTCGTGTCATTACTAGTTATTCCACTACTGATAGTGTCTTCGGTCATTTTATGCTTCTTTCATCAGGTTGATGCAAAGCGAACCAAATAATCTTCTTTCTTATGTCACTTTGCAACATGATTTGATGTTGTACGTTTAATTACTCACACTCGGATGCACATAATCATAACTTGCAATAGCTATTTCGTTATATATTATTCAGATTTCAAATTATACATATAGTTTTTGTGAATTCTGATTGACATGACTGGAACATAATACTTTTTTTGTGTGAATAATAGTTTCAGTTTTTTTTGGTAACAATACTACACTATAATCATTTACCCATTTAGTTTGCCTTTTTTTTTTCTTTTTCTGGTTACATGTATTTTCTTTTATCAGTTTGATAGTCCTAACACGTTTTATTTATTTATTATAGAAGTACTATATAAAAGACTTTTGTACCAAAAAAATGTAAAAGATTTGTGGAAACTCTAGGCACCAATACAATCACATGGAATCTAAGCAGAATATGCCATAGATTATACATTTTTGATTCTCATCATAGATCTGTCTACGTATAACAAATTCTTACGCAATTTATCATCAGATACGAGAAAACACATGAAAACGGAGCTTTAAATTACGAATATCCTAAAAAATAGTATACCTTAATCAAGAAAAGTTATTGGATGATTACATTAATTACGATAATACTAAACATAATTCTAACATTTTCACCCTCATGATTATATAATACTTCAACAACAAAAAAGTTATGTGATTGGAGTTTTGTATCATATAAGTTTGAGCTAATGCCATCAACACAGATAATTAATATTCAAGGCAGGTTCATGAACAATAATATATATGCTGTTTTCTTAAGTGGAGCCAAATAGTAAGTTCGAGATTAGATATGCAAGATTCATGTGGGAAAACACTATGTCATGGTATCAACGAAAGAACGTGTTATATACGCTATTAATCAAATTAAGCCTAGTTATGAACTTATGATTATGATGATCCTCGTAACAATCACACGAGTCGATTGTAAAGAATGCAAGGAAATGTGGAAATAATTAAGCAGAAAATGTAAAATAAATAATAAATTTCGTGAACAGTACTACAACCCTCTCTTTTTATAGGGATAAATCAAAAATAAATTAGGGTGAAAGACTGATACCATAATATTAATTATATCAGTATAGCCTCGAAAACGACATTCAGGAATTTTGCGTTGTATTTGATATATATATAGCTCGCAAAAGCTTATGATTTGATGAACTTAGGTTACATAAGCAGAAGAAATATTCACATGCTAGAAAATAGCTAGGCAAGAGCTAAGAATGAAAGATATGTACATCAAATATACAAATTATACAGAGGTTTAATAGATCTCTCAACCCCCACGTAATGTCCTAATCCTACTATTTAATCCACTTTCTTCATGGCCTCTCCGGATGATCGCACCTCTTTAATATAATAACTATATCTTAATCATGATTATTATAATACTCATTAATGATCCAATTGCGCAACAGCCTTTTTAGGTTTCTAGTAATGGATAATTTAAACGGAAAACTTGAGTAAGTTCAGTGTTCCATTGATTGTGCAGACAAAACTAATTAAACTGAGCTAAAAGTTTGCGTTTCTTATCAAGGAAAAAATGATTACGTTTCTCATAAGTAATTACTTTTTCTATCTATTCTCACTTTTTTATATTAGAGGTTAGATTTGTTTGTTCTACATTTCATTTTCAAAATCAAAATTTCATCAATGCTAATTTTTAATTTTATCATATTAATTATATGTGTAGAAGTTTTCTTAATCCATTGATTTGTTAATAATTTAATTTTGTTTTTATACTGAGAGGTTTAAGATTCATGTGAAATTATGTCTAATTAATTATCATTTATGCAGATGAATAAAAATATTAACAATTTCAGCATTACATAAATATTATTATGAACACTTAGTGTAGTGAATGTACAACTTTCAGACGTATATCCTTATAAAATTGTAGAATTGTTTGCACTCTTTGTAATTTATAGTAGTATAACAAACTTTGTTACAAGTGTGTATATATATAGATAATCTATTTGTACATATAAGGAAAGCAATTTACATGTTCATCAGAATTCGACTTCATTAAATCGTGTTCTCTCTCGTTGTAGAGTTGGTTATGGATCGGACCTTATGATCATCCAACCGATGATAGAAAAAAAAAAGAAGAACCACTTTATAAATCTTTGATTCAAACTTGCGCATAATCATGATTGGTTCAAATTTTTCTTTAAACTATTTACTTTATTTTTTCTTTTGGTAAAGACTAAAGAAATCCAGTGTCTGTCAATCGTAGAACCACATATTATATCGTAAGGAGTGTGTATGCCTTATTTACCATACCGATACGTAACACTAAAGTACTTACGGATGAATACGTTCTCTTATACAAAGAGAGTTTCTTCTCAAATTCAAACTCGGCCAAACCATACAACTGAACCTAACTCTTTGAAAGCGCGATCAAACAAACGTTTGATGAGTTCTGGAACCCACATGCATTGTTGCCACATCAAAGAGTTAATTTTGTACTTTCAGCCATGTGTTCTCCTTATGCATCATAAGTTTCTTTTCCTTTTCTCCTCAGTCCTCATGCATATTATGTGCATTCTAACCATAACTCTTGTCCTTTGTTATATTTATTTTTTATATATTAGTGGGAACTAAAGAGTTACGTGACACACTTTTTTTTTAGTTAAAGTTTTGGTAAAGAGTTACATACATAAAGGAATGTTACTAGTACGATAATAATTCTTGTTTTTCTTTCTTTCAATTTTTAATTAAATCCTCAAGCTAATGAGTGTACCAATCAGACGCAACTAATAATATAACACACAATATAAGAAAAAATATAGTGACTCATTACCCACAATTGGCTTTTATTATACAAAACGCTGCTCGACCATGTGTATATAAACGGTCTCTTACTTAAGACATATCAAACAAACAAAACAAGAACCTAATAACTTATTTACACCTGAAACAACATAAACAAAATATGAAACCTTCTGAACAAGAAGCTCCCAATCTTGCGGAGACTCTATCAAACATATCAAATGATTCATCAGCGTCAGAGAAAGGAGAAGCAACAAGTCAGCAACCATCCAACAATGGCTATGCACTCACAGTTGATGAGGTGATAGAGCAACACATTGGAGCACTTGGTTTGGCGCAGATCATACATGCTGTCTTGGTCTCTATAGCTTGGACCTTCGATGCTCAGACAACTCTTGTCTCTATTTTCTCCGACGCTCAGCCTGCTGCAAGGCTTACCGCAACGGGAGCCATCGTGGAGGGCTCTTTGATGTGTGGAATGTCCACCGGAGAGTGGGAATGGGTCGGAGGAAAGAGAGACACTATTGTTTCTGAATGGAATCTTATATGTCAACATAAGTTTCTTGTTGCTCTTCCATCTACTCTTTTCTTCATCGGTTCTCTTTTCGGTACGACTCTTAACCCGGTTTTTTGGTTTGGAGAATGCTTGTCGAGGAGAACCATTTTTTTTGGTTTGGCTCTGTTCGGATTCTACTCGGCTTTGGGATAAAATTTTCATATAATTAAGGAGAAAACCGGAAAAGAAAAAAAAATTGAATCCACACAACAAATTTAAAAGCTCACTTCCATTCTATATTCAGTTTTTAAAATATTTCAGTGAAACCTCTATAAAGTAATAATGTCGGGATTACACCAACATTTTATTTTTTTATTAATTTAGAGATATATTAATTTATCGATATACTAATCGAACCAAAAACTCAATTTGAGATTATAAGATTATATTATTTTATAGCGATATTTAGTGTATATTAATTTATCGAGTATTAATTTATAGAGGTTCTACTGTATTCATTTCAGTTTTCATTTTCTGTTGATTTAACCGTTTTGAATAAGTGGAAAGTTAACTATAAATATTTTATAAAATACAAAGTAGTAAAAAAAAAAACAGGTTGGTCCAATAGTTTAATTCACTTCGGTCAGTTCATGTGGTCCAAAAATCTTAAATCAGTTTGTAACTCTTTACATGATTTTAACCCGAAAAAAAACTCTTTACATGATTCTTATGTTGGCTTTTGTTTTCTCCGACAGGTTCTGGAGTTTATGGATACCTTGCTGACTCATGGCTTGGTCGGAAAAAGACTCTATTTCTCTCTTGTCTACTAACATTCGTCACCGCTTTAGCCATATCCTTTGCCCCAAACATTTGGGTATACGCGTTCTTGCGTTTCGCCAACGGTTTCTTCAGATCTGGAATCGGTTCCTGCTGCATCGTGCTAGCCACCGAGGTCGTGGGCAAAAAATGGCGTGGACAAGTAGGGCAATACGGTTTCTTCTTCTTCACGTTAGGGTTTCTATCTCTCCCACTCATGGGTTACTTGGAGAGAAAGTCATGGAGAAACCTTTACAGAATCATATCCGTTCTTCCACTTGGATACGCTCTCTTCCTCTTACCCTTTGCTTACGAGTCTCCTCGTTGGCTTCTTGTCAAAGGACGTAACAAAGAAGCAATGGTGGTGTTGAAGAAACTGGCCAGGCTCAACGGGAAGCAACTTCCCGCTGAACTTAGCCTAGTTGATCCGATTCAAGGACGAGGAGATCAAACCTCGTCCTCCTCGTCTGAGAATTTTTGGAAAACGAAATGGGCTGTGAAGAGGATTATGATGGTTATGATGGCTGGTTTTGGAAGTGGTTTTGTTTACTATGGGATTCAACTAAACGCAGAGAATCTCAACTTCAATCTCTACTTAACCGTTGCGGTGAACGCTCTCATGGAGTTTCCAGCGGTTTTCATTGGAAGCTTTCTTCTTGGGGTGATGAACCGTCGTCCATTATTCTCTAACTCATCGTACCTAGCTGGAATCTCGTGCTTGCTCTGCGCGGTTCTCTCGCTTCAGCGTGTGACAAGAGCCATGCCTGTTGCCAAATGGCTGCAGCTTGCGGTTGAGGCGGTTGGGTTCATGGCGTCCTCGACGGCGTATGATGTTCTGTATGTCTATGCGGTTGAGCTGTTCCCTACAAACGTCAGGAACTTTGCGGTTTCGCTTCTGCGTCAAGCGTTTATGTTAGGAGCGTCTGCGGCACCGTTGTTAGTTGCTTTGGGAAGGGAGAGTGCGATGATGTCGTTTCTTGTATTCGGTGTTGCGTCTGTGATGAGCGGTGTGGTGAGCCTCTGGCTAAGAGAAACGCGAAACGCTCCGCTTTATGAAACTTTAAGGCAGCAGGAGAAAGCTGAAGAGGTGGAAAACAGAACAGAAGCGTCTTCATCACTTTAGTTATGTTCTTAAAATAATATTTTCATGTCAAATAATTTGGAAAAATGCAAAATCTCCATCGCAATGTAATGCAACGTTGATGAAACGTTAGCCTAAATTAGTCAGAACCAAAGGCTATGTTGCAAGAACTGATTGAAAAGACAGAACACAACTCATCTGATGGTAAGCAAAAAAAAAAGTGATCTAACCTTAATAAAAGGAACATTGGTGTCTGAACAATTGATAACAAAAACATTGTCTTTCTGCTCGCAAAAGATTAGAGAAAACAAGAATCTGACAGGTGCTCAAAAAAAGAAACTGGTGAGGCTCTCTTAAGAAGCAGGAGCTTTGGGCTGAGCAGCTTCTTCAGCAGCAGGAGTCTCAAAAGTCTCTCCCACAACAAGATCAGGGACATCATCATCATCCTCTTCTTGGATAGTTGCTGGAACATTAGCTCCACCTGGTGCTTGTTTCTGGAATTGCTCTGCTAGCTTCTTAAGGTTATCCAAGTTATCAGTCCCTGAGATTACCAGAGTCAGATAATAGTTAATACAAGAGATCATAAGTTTAGAAAAGGACTTGGAGAGTAGTGTGCATACCAAGTTGGCTGATAATCTGAGGAAGTATGTCTTGCAGTTCTGCAGGAACATTCAGATTCTGAGATTAGAATACACAAAAAAAAACAGAGAAAGAGTATTTACAAAACACTTACTTTTGGTCTGTGGTGTACCGCTCACAGCCCATGTGTTAGCAGCAATAGAAGCTTGAACTGTAATAAACAACATAGAAATATTAACCTAAATGCAGAGAGATTTATAATAAAAACTAAAAAAAAAAAAAAAAAAAAGAGATTGGAGATTATTTTACCCTTAGGGTTAATGAACTGAATCACAACATCATCCTTGAAGATGTTAACTTCCTCAATACCGGGGATGGAGTTAACACCAATTCTCTTAAGAGTGCTCTGGAGCTTCTTGTCATCGGTCGTGTTTGTCTTGTGAACAGCCTTCTTCTTTCTGAAATGAGATTAAAACAAAACAAAAAAATAGTTTTAGCCAACATAAACATTGCTTACAGAAATAAAAAAGACTTTTAATATATATACCTTCTAACTGTTCCTTTACCGCCAGTGCGGACAGTGTTAGCCATCTTCATCAACTTCTCCCTATTCATCTGTTTGTATCAAAACATTACACAAAGCTTAAATCTTTAATACCAAAATGTATCTAATAACACAATAACTAATCATTGTCTAATCAATTAGATTTATGGGTATGATTAGGAAACAGGGCAGTGAGAAGAACAAGGGTTTGTGTCTTTACTATGAGCTTAACACCTAAGTTACAACTTTATCAAACGATTAGGTATTACATTCCTTGATATTATCAGACAGTACTTTATCATTTAATTAACTTGTCGGAAAGACAATACTCAGTGACAGACAGTAACACGAATCAATAAAGAAACGAAATGAATCGAGAAAAGAAAAAACTGTAAACTGATCTTGAACACTTCAGTTAAATCAGAAAGCTTAGATTAGTGAAGTGGAGGTTACCTTTGTTATTCGATTTCTAGGGTTCTTTCTCCGACTAAGGGTATAAGAAGAAGATAAGAGAGAAAGGGAGATCCAAGCGGCGGTGCAGGGTTTAGATCTTTATGTAAATGCAATGCCTAATCTCTCAACTGTTTGGGCCATGGGCCTAAATCTCTGGCCCATTTCACATTCCAAATTTTTAACTTTTTTTTCTTGTCAGTAAGCACATTAAGAGTTCTGCAGAATTATAAGTACAACTGTGATGAAAAAGCAAAATTTAACAATAAAGTTTTGAATTTTTGTCCAAAAAAAAAATAATAATAAAGTTTTGATTCTTATGTAATCATGTAGCTCACCAACAAGAACTCTAACAAGAAGAATAAAATGTTATGTCCCAAAATTTCTTCCAAAAAAAAATTATATGAGAAATTTCGTTACAAGTCCTTTCTAAGGTAACAGACACATTTGATCACAGACATTGTTTTTTTTCTTCTTTTCTTAAATCTTTCAATTAAGCTTGGAACTCGAGGAATAGCTTGAGCTTCTGCAACAACATCTCGTTCGTTCCAAAAACCGGTTTCTTACTCCCAATCCAATCTCTACCAAGAATCCCGGTTCTGTCACTATTAACCATCTCATCGCGGAATGTATCAAGAATCTGGTATATCGATATCCTCAAAACATCTGAAACTGCATAGGCATAAGAGTATAGCGCCCCGCTTCTCTTTTTCATCGGCTTAACATCTTTTCTCACCATACTAGAGGTTGCCCATTTCATACTAGCAGGTCCCAACAGTTGCTGTGACGACTGCAGATTGTTCTTTTTCCCCATAAACGTTTCAACCGCTAGCAAAAGAGAGAGAAGCGTTGAGACAACGTCTGCGTTTGCTCCAGAGAGTTGTGCTACTCCGAGACTGTCTTCCTTGTGAGAGATTGAAGTGAGGGATGCACTTGTTTGAGCACACCATGCATATAGCTGCATGTATCATACAGAGAGCAATGCGTTTCAGCTACCAGAAGATAACACAGAGAAAAGGTAAAAAAAATTGAATTGTGTTTTTACCTGAAATGACTTGAGTGATTCACCAAATTTAGGATCGATGTATGATTCAGTGGGAAAGCCATTTTCAGAAAAGGTGTGGTCTAGCCCCCCAGCTAACTTGGAGGCAAGCTCTTCTAAAGGCTTCAAGCATAGAGTGATGACTCTTTTGTAAGTCTCGCTGGACTCGGCGAAGAAAGCAGCACGACGCCAGGTGTCAACATTGTTCTGAGACACCATGTAGAGATCAAGGTATGCAAGATACTGCTCGAGGGAACCCGGAGAACTCCCTTCTAAAGCAGCAAGAAGTGGCTCACTTGGATTTGTTTCTGCTGCAGCAGATCCTTTTGGTGGAGCAAAAGCAAAGCGTTTTGTGTGCAGAACCTGTAAAACAAAATGCCAATCATGACAAGCGTCTTTTGTAAGTAAAATCTGGAATTGTGGATAACATTTATGTTTTGTACACATATAACATGTAAGAAGAAACACAGAGACCAATGTCTACACACTAGGCAAGGAGTAATTAATCTAATCTAGGAAGAGTAAACACTTTGATGAGTAAAATTCTAGTCTGCCTCACACAAATCACAATGTTGAAAGTGGTAAGTACATACAAAAGGCATGCTTCTATGGATACCGATAGAAATGTTTATTAGTTTGATTACACACATCAAAAGACACAGAAGTAGAGGCATCAAATGTATTTGACATAAAAAGGAAGAACTGGTTTTCAGATTCATCTCAGTCGCGTTCGGCAAAACTTGAGAGTAAAAGTGAAGTCCTAACTCTTTTGCAATCTACATATTACCTCGACTAAGTTCACTAAAAACATTAGAGGGATCTCTCTCTATACGTTCAGTAAAAGCAGATGAAAACAAACCTGATGAATATGGTGAGTCACTTCCCAAGAGAGAATCAAACAGAAACTCCCCGCATAAGAAATAACCTGCTCACCCAAAAACCTCGAAACAGACACAAGCCCACCAGACCAATCCAACAGAAACAACAACATCACCGTCGACAACACATAAAGCACACCAGAGAGCTTCAACGCTTGCGTTAACGCCGAAGGTAAACCAATCTTGAAACTAAAAACCGGTGGACGCTGCTTAAAACCAAAAACACACAAAGTAAAAAAAAAAAAAAATCAACAAAAGACAAAAATCGATGAAATCAAGACAAAAAACCTGAATGATAGGAAACTCCAACACCCATCGCTGCTTAGCCACAAAGAGAACCGCGTAAAGCAAACCAGTCACAAACCCTCTAAACCCTACTCTCCCAACAACTCCATTCCCCAAGCAGAACACAGCCGCCGAGCAGAACCCGGCGAATCCCGTCGCGGAGACGAAGAGGGAGATGCGTAGGGAGACGCGAGCGCGGCGGCGGAAGTGTGGATCGGAGAGGTGGTGGCGGAGGAGGGCGAGGGGGAGTTGGAGAGGGGAGAGAGGGGAGTCTGAGGTTGGGGAGGAGAGGAGAGAGAGGGAGATGGAGAAGATGAGGTTCGAGGCGTGGAAGACGAGGAGAGTGAGGAGGAAGGAGGTGAGGGAAGTGGTGGAGAAGAGGAAGAGGTTGAAGAAGAGGAAGATTGATGTTGAGGGGATTGATTGCCAGATGAGGAAGGCGGCGAAGCGGTGGCTGATTACTGTTTCTGGTGGTGGAGGTGAAGGCATTTTGTTGGGTTTTTTTTTTTTTTGAATTGAGTTTTGGTGAAGTGAGCGGAGGAAGGGGGAAGGAGGAGAGACACGGAGACGATGGGTGTAGGGTGTGTAGTGGTTTGGACTCCAAAGTGCGTTTTTTTGACGCTATTATTACAAGGCTCTTTATTAGCCCATTGGGCCGATATATATCAGATTCGGTTACTAATACTTTGAATTAACATGATTTAATCATGAAATTGAGTATTCATTTTTGGGATTGGTTTGAATCTACGAACATTATCTCGGATTCTATTTTTTCAATTCATTTTTGGTATTTGTTTGAATCTAGGAACATTTACTAGGATTTTATTTTTCAAGTTTTTGAAAAAAAATCAATCCAATACGGATTAGATTTAGTTATACTTGATAGTTGAAATACCATCCTACAAGATCTGTTCCAATATATTTTACAGATTGGGATTGAATATGGAATCAAGTTTTCAGCTAGGGTCTCAGGGTTCAATACTAATGTTCATGGCTAACTGATAGATATTCAAAATTATTTTGATATTCATTTTAGTTTCAGAAATCCAAATGCTTTCCATACACTAAACTATATCAGTTATATAACCATTCATCATAGTTTTTATTTGTTATAACTTCTTACAAAAATTGTTTTCAAATACTTAAAAAGAAAACTAAATAATACAGCATGGAGTTATGTTGCATCAAACATCACCACGTCGGATAATGTAAGTTCCTCAAGTACACCAAAACAACCCAAATTAAAAAAGTTCTTAAATCTCAAAGATAGATAAATCACCTAGTAGTGATGAAACCGATTGACATGTATCACTTATTGGCAGCACAAACATTCTCCAAATACCACTCATAAGTCTGCCGAAGCCCATCTCTAAGCGAAACCTTAGGCGTCCACCCCAAAGAAGCAAGCTTCGAACTATCCATCAGCTTCCTCGGCGTCCCATCAGGCTTACTACTATCCCACCCAAGCCTCCCTTCAAACCCAACAACCTCTTTAACCAACTCCGCCAACTCTCTAATCGTAACTTCCACACCACTCCCTATATTAACATGCTCCAACCCACTGTACCTCTCCAACAAGAAAACACAAGCATCCGCCAAATCATCCACATGCAAAAACTCCCTCAACGGACTCCCACTCCCCCACACCACAACCTCCTCACCTCCACCCACCTTCGCCTCGTGAAACCTCCTCATAAGAGCAGGCAACACGTGCGAATTCTCGGGGTGGAAATTATCGTTAGGACCGTAGAGATTCGTCGGCATTCCCGAGATCGCGTCCCAATTGTGTTGTATCCTATAGGCTTGACACGTCTTGATCCCTGCGATCTTGGCGATGGCGTACCACTCGTTGGTCGGTTCAAGCGTTCCGGTTAACAGAGCGGATTCGGGGATCGGTTGAGGAGCGAATTTGGGGTAGATGCAGGAGGATCCGAGGAAGAGCAGCTTCTTGACGCCGTGGATGTAAGCGGAGTGGATCACGTTGGTTTGGATCTGGAGATTGACGGAGATGAAGTCGGCGGGGTAGGTGTTGTTGGCGTGGATCCCGCCGACTTTGGCTGCTGCTAGGATTACGTAGAGAGGCTTCTCTGTGGAGAAGAATGATTCCACGTCGGATTGACGGGTGAGATCGAGGTCGGCGTGTGTTCGGAGGAGGAGGTTTGTGTAACCTAATTGATGGAGTTTGCGGACGATCGCGGATCCGACTAGGCCGCGGTGACCAGCGACGAAGATTTTGGCGGATTTGTCGGTGATCGAGGACATCTCTGCGATGTAACAGAGAGGTCACGGGTTCGATGCGTATCAAAATCAATATTGACGACATTTTTTTTTTTTTAAAGTTTAAGAACATTCCGTTGTAGATTCCATACAAATGACGACAGAGGAAGGATTTAATTCAGATTAGAGATAAATAAGGGACATACCTGAGCCGATGGTTTCCGCCATTTTCGAGTCTTGTGAAGGTCAAAGAGACGAAAGGTTATGGAAAAATCTGAGAGATCGTGAGACGAGTTTGGTCAGCAATTAAGTTTTTTATTAAATTTTGGGAAATTGAATTTCTGGAGGAGATCTGGAACTGTGACTTTCTACAAAGGTAACGTTAGTTTGTATGAGGCTTTTTTCAATATCGACGGATCCGGATTGTATGGGCCTATACGAGGCCCATTTATTTTGAATGGCTAACGGTATTGATGATATCGTATTATTAAACCGAATATTTCGTGGTCGCGCACTTGTACGAGGAAACTCGAAAGTCTATTAACCCATGCACGTTTTATTCTTACCTACCAAAATCGTTGACCAGGAAGCCGATTATAACAGTCGAACTGATTTGGTTCAGTCTAGTTGATTTAGCGTCATAGCGTCATAGCGATTATAATTTTTTTATTTTCTTTTGTCAGCATTGGAGTGATTATAACGATTATAGTTTTATTTTGTTTTGTCATTTTCATAGCGATTATCACTTAGCAAAAAAATCTCCACCGTGTTCATTTAAATGTTAGGCTAATTGGGAAATTAAACAGATAAGAGATACATTATTCTTTGTTTTATTGAAACACAAGAGATACTTTATTCAATATGTAATCTTCAAAGGAAAACAACACATAGAGGTTTTATTATAAGTCAAATTGTAAACCTTGAGTCTTGTCCACCCACGCAAAGTCTCACATAGTCTTGGACGAAATTTCAGGAACGTTAGCTTTCTTGAACATAACCAAGAACGGCTTAGAGGTTAAAGCCAAACGCCTGACGCCTATTTCATCCACAAATATTCCGACATTCCTGCATCTAGGACCGCCAGTCTCAAGAGCGGGAGGACAGAACACAAACTTGTAAGCATCATCTCCACATTTCTCGATCTGGAAGAAACTCTTCATCGAGGCTTGTGGACCAGCCACCACGAAGTTTTGATTCCTCTCCTCGTCGAACTCACCTACTCGCCAATATGTTGACTGGATGCAGATCGTGGCTCCAACGTCCGTCTTGATGTTAAGGTTCATTGATTCGGGAACGAACGCAACTTTGATACTCCAGTTTGAGAATTTTACGGGAATACCTTGGTCAACTTCGGATGATTCTTGCACGATGTCGAGAGGACATATCTCGTCACCGCGGCCGCGTAGGGTCAAGCCGCCGCCTCGGCCGCGGATGACGGGGAGAACATAGTAACTGCCGCGGAAAATGGTGTCACCGTCGATGTCAAGAACCGCTCCATATGTGTTTGTGGCTAAAACTGCGGTTAAGGCAAGAACGAAGTAAAACGTAAGATTCATATTGTATTGTATTTTTGAGTATTTTTTTGTAGTGATTTGGGTGTTTGGTGGATGAAGAAAATACGAGTTGATGAAGTGCATTTATAAACGTACTAGTGTATAGCTAATGGTGACTGGATGAGGCGGCTTTTATATAACTTGTGAACTATAAATTCTCAATATTTATATGATTTTAAGCATAAAAAATACACATTGACAAGATGATCATATCTTCTTATATTATACACAAGTTTATTTAATTTCTCTATTGCTTATTTTGTCCAGCTAGATTGTCTTTTTTTTTTTCTTCTAAATTTCATGTTTTCTTGAATTTTTCTTTAAAAAGCATAAGAATTATTCTACAGTTCTAGTTTGATTTTGGTATGGTTTTCATTTATCCGTTCCCGCAGCTTCTATCTTCAATCTTAAAATGCGTTCGTTTGATTATATTTTACTCCTTTCTTTTGTCAACATCTTTCTTCGTAATGTTACGTTTTTCCCAATATAAATGGCATGCTTTTTTTTTAACAATATAACTGGTATGCAAACGAAGATTTGTTTATGTTCTTTTAGTGTCTATTGCAGTTCAGTTTGACTAAAGTCTAAACCAAACAAAATGAACACGTAATTGTAACTTTAATAATCCATAGATATCATATGTTTTTCTTTCTCCAAGCAAAATTAGTAGACCAATAGAAAACGACATATATTGATTTTACTTTTAGCAACCCGCAAAGTCTATTCTTATTGCAATGTTTATTTCCAATTTGCAGTTATCCTTATTTTAACATTGTTTTAGTTTTTACCAAAACAACATTGTTTTGGTCTCTATTATATTCGGTTAAATATGCTAATAAATATTAAATTATTTGTCGCTTTTTTTTAATCGGAAACCTTAGTTCTAAAATGTTGATGAAAAATTTTTTAGTTCTAAAACAAATTTAAAACTTATTTATCCAATTTATATAGATGAAATAATAATTTAGAATTTAGAATTAATATTTTGCTAGTTTAAAATGATAAATTTGAGAAATGATTTCACATGTATCTCATAGTTTTGAGAACCTTTTTAATATATACTGTTATTTATTTTTAAATTCTTTTTGAGAACTCTTCCTTCGTATTAGAGATAATCTATTTTTGATGTGTAGTCATTCGAAAAAAAAAACTTTTTCTGCCTTCTGTTAATTTCCAAGTTACGTGAATCTTAAACTATAGAGAGAATTGAAAAAAGAAACAAAGGAAAGATGTTTTATTCCATATATGATGATTGATGAAAAAAAGTAAAAAGTAAACACACAGGCAAGAGTTTTATTATTAGTCTTAGGTTTAAACTCTTATTTTCTTGATATTGAAGTTTCTCTCAGATAATAGACATGGTCTTGGACGACGTCTCTGTCTCAGTAGCTTTCATGAACACAACCGGGTATGACATATAGTCACCTAAAACCAAACGCCGAACGCCATATCCATCCCTAGCTATCCCGACATCGTGGCAACCATAGCCCTCAAAACAATACGTAATTTTGTAGCCGTTACGGAACTCTCCAATTTTCTTGATCTTGAAGAAACTCATTGATGAATCTTCTCCAGGTACTGGCTTAGGACCAGCCTTTATGTAACAAGTGAAAACGCGCAGGTAGGTTGAACTGACCCACCAGTAAGTTGACTGGCCACAGGTCGTAGCTGCGACGTCCATCTGGATGTTGAGGCTCTCTGCTTCAGGAACGAATCCAACTCTGGACTTCCAGTTTGAGAATTTTACGGGAATGCCTCTGTTGACCTCTGAAGTTTCCTGCCCGATAAAGATGGGACATTGCATGTTAGGAAGGGAGACGAAAGATAGGCCGCCACCTCCAGTGCCGGAGATGGCGGGGAGAATGTAGTAACTGCCGCCGAGTATGGCATCACCATTAATGTCGAGAACTGGATCGCCGGGGTATGCGGTGATAGGCAAAACAGCGGTTAAGGCAAGAAGGAAGTAAAACATAATGTTCATCCTTTTTGAGTTTAGTTAGTTGACTAGGTTTGAGTGTTACTGGATGAAGAAATTTGAGTTCATGTGATCGGTATTTATACACGGATGTATACTGAGATCTGAGAATATGCCTGCCTTTTTTAGTATTCATGTTTCGTCCACTTTCCTTGCACGTTTTTTCTTTTCTTTTTTTTGTGCACCCTTGCACGTTTCTTTAATTTGTTTGATTATTTATCCCTTATTTGTTTCATATGGGGATATGGAAGTTCAACTTGATCTTGGACCGTTGGTTGACGAATAATATTGTGTAAGTTCACTATAGCTCTGGTTCTATAAGTTTTTGATTTAAGCGTTCCTAAAAAAAACAGCTAAAAGCTCCCTTAGCTTCTGTTAATTTTCTCGTTTTAATCTGGTTTGAATTGAACACCCTTGTCCTAAAATAGTTTAACGGTCGATAGTTAAACACATGAGTTTTCTTTTTCTTTTCTTTTTTCTGACACAACACATGAATTTCGAAATTTTTATAGAACTAATATGCTATAAAAACAATATACTTTCATTAAACTATTTTATAAAACGATTGGTTGAGCAGTAGTTTTAATCTGAATTGTGAATCATCTAGATTATACACTGATTTGTAAACGCAATTTAGGTTTATAAATTAAATATTCGTGTTTCACCTAATCTAAACTATTTCAAACGTATTCAAGATTATACACTAATTGTAAACGCAATTTATTTTTAATCTGGATTGTGTATCATTTTAAGTTATACACAATTCGTGTTTCACCTACTCTAAAGAACTAAACCCGTTAGGGTTACAAGTAAGTAGTTTTAAAAGTTTTTATTTATCTAAAATGTATTTTCTATTCAATTTTTTACTACCTTTTCATGTCAACCTAAATGCCATGATTGCCTCTAATGAAGTTTTATCTTAGAAAGAAATTTTGATTTATCATACAAGAAACAAATTACTTTTTAATTTGTTGTAAATTTAAAATGAAAAAATTTAACAAAAAGTATGGTTAAATATAGACAAAATATAACTAGCTGTCTATATATATAGAACTATGCGAGTACGAGACGCTGTAGCTAATACACTAAAAATTGAAAGATGAGGAATATTGATCGAAGCCGCTCTTTCTCCTTTGTATCAGGCAGGCGTTGCCATCGAAAATTAATTGCTCTAAATTCTTTTTTGTTTGTAACTAATTCTAGAAAGTTACTATGAAGAAAAGTATTTACAAAGAAAAGGTAATCTCTAATTTTATGTTTTTCAGAATTATTTTGGCAAAAGTGGTATATAATTATTTCACCCAGATTCTCTTTAATTTAAACAATCAACACGTCGAAAAGATGATCTTTATAGTATAGATTCCACTTTCCAAACACGATTCGATAATTTTTTTATTTTTAATTTATAATGGATCAACTTTACTAATAAAATGGATATGTGCTTCAGGAGTTCCATTCAGTAGTTATCAGTAATAATTTATCTGTCCGTGTAACGTGTTGATAGCTATCGAACCCTAATACAAACATTGATTGTAACTCTATGCTTGATTCGTTGTCTGCACATGGCATGTTTAGTGATAACTCTTGTTCTCTTAATTTCTTAGTTTTGTAGTCTTTAATATACATAGCCTTGGACGAAATCTCTATCTCATTAGCTTTTCACGAACACTACCGGGAATGGCTTAGGGGCCTTTAAGCCAAGCGCCATATTCATCCACAAATATCCCCTTCCGGCATCGATGCAGTCGTTATCGTTAGGACAAAACACAATGTTTTAGCCGCTATGAAAATGTTCAGTTTTCCTTATTTGAAAGAAACTATTCAACGAGTTTACGACTTACGAGGATCGTTGGTTGCTTCTTTTGTTCGTCTACAATTCTAAGCGAACATGCTTCATACATATGTCTTACCCACCAGAATTCCAACTTTCACCAGGACTACTTTGACACAGGATTATCATGGGGTTGGCACTCCTACAGTAAAAACTTTATAAATTCAATAATGTCACAAATATAAATTTTATTGATTTATAAAGTAAATCATTAACAAAATAAACCACATCTTGATGATCTACTAGCTTCCAAGGAGTTGCCTTGTTATCCAAACCATAGATTGATTCCCTTCCTATATAATATTATTAGTTTCGTGGTCACATGGATATTGTTCCTCTGCTTAAGACTCATTTGAAAATTCGAGGAGAGTGTCCATTCATGGACTACACTTTCCTATAGGTATTAATTTTGCTCTTCCACAGGTTTGAGATAATTCCGAATTAATTAAAAAAAAATAACAAAAATATTTTTTTAATTTTTGATTTAATAATTTATAATATCTTTTTGTAAAATAAATAAGTAGTCAATTTAGTTTATAATTTAAATAAATTTAACTTTGAGAAATCCCTTGGATAGCATTTTTAGTTTATTTTCAAAAAAATAGTCTTTAAGGAATAAAATGACCAAAGTAAGTTTTTATTAAAGAATAAATATGTACTTCTACCCTTGTGTTAACTAATCTAGACTTACGGTTTAGAGTTAATCTGTGAAGTTTTAGGTTTAGGATTTTAAATTTTTAAAAATAAAATAAATATTACAAAATTTTAAAAAAAATCTATTTTGATCATTTTACTTTTTGAATGCTATTTTATGACAAAAGCTTTAAAAATTATTTGAGAGAATTGTCCTTTAACTTTCATGTTATTTTATTATATTTATTTGATGTCTATGCGATATGTATTATATATTGTTTTCTATAATCTCGCCAAAATATTCTAAAGTGTTTTATAAATTCAGTTATATTTTTGTGTATTTATATATAATTTATTTATTTATAGCTATTAATTTATGATTTTGATGGGATTATACATATAAATATATTTTCTACAAAATTATTATCTTATTATTTCTCGATTTATATCATCTTAGAATTGATATCAACAAAATTTATTGTTTTATAGTGTTTATGAAAATTATCGACTATTAATTTATAGAATTTCTGTTAATGGTATATACTGTATTGTGTAAAATAAGTTAGTAGTATTTGTTTTAAACATTTTGGTGCGTATAGGTTAATTTCTAAATATTTTCAGCAATTTCACTCGATATCATATATGTGCATGAAACGATCGTCTGTGAAAGTTGTGTGGTGCAGAGGTGTTAGATAATCTATTTGATGGTATGGTAAATTGGAAATAAAAATGTTTTTGTTTAATTTCCAAGTTATGTGAATCTTCAACTAGAGACAAAACTGAAAAAATAAACAAAGGGAAGGTGTTTTATTCCATATATGATGATTGATGAAAAAAGGAAAACAGTGAACACAAACAGAGTTTTATTATTAGTAGTAGGTTAAAACTCTTATTTTCTTGATACTGCAGTCTTTGATTTCTCTCAGATAATAGACATAGTTTTGGGCGAAGTCTCTATGTCACTAGCTTTCATGAACACAACCGGGAATGGCGAGGTAACGCCTAATAAGGTCAAACGCCGAACGCCAGATTCGTCCGTGGATATACCGAGATTCATGCAATCGCCATCGTTAGAACAAGACGCAATATGGTAGCCGTTATGAAACTCTCCAGATCTTTTTATCTGGAAGAAACTCCCCCACAAATCTTCTCCAGGTTTCGGCTTAGGACCAGCCTCTACGTAAAAATTCATGATGGACAAGTTTGACGGAACAAGCGACCAGTAGGTTGACTGAACGCAAATCGTAGCTGCACCATCCATCTCGATGTTGAGGTCTGCTGATTCAGGAACGAACCCAACTCTAGACCTCCAGTTTGAGAATTTTACGGGAGTGCCCTTCTCCACCTCTGAAGACTCCTGTCCGACATAGAGAGGACATTGCTTGTCACTAGGGGGGCGTACGAGAGTCAGGCCGCCACCTGCAGGGCCGGAGATGGCGGGGAGAACGTAGTAACTCCCGCCGAATATGGGTTTACCATAAATGTCGAGAACTGGCGGTCCACCGGCATTTGCGGTAGCAGCCAAAACAGCGGTTAGGGCAAGAAGGGAGTAAAACATAGGATTCATTATCTTTTGAGTTTATGTAGTGTTGATTAGATTTGAGTGTTACTGGATGAAGAAAATGTGAGTTCATGTGGTCGGTATTTATAGGCGGAAGTACATTGAGATGTGGGACGATGCCTGTCTTTTTTATTATTCATGTTTCCTCCACTTTCCTTACACGTTTCTTTAATTTTGTTTGATTATTTATTACATTATGGTTTATCCTGATCTTGGACCGTTAGGTTAACGTAGATGATTATGTATGTTCAGTTCTTCACTATAGCTCTGGTTTTATAAGTTTTTTATGTAAATGTCTCAAAAAAGAGCACCTAAATGCTCTGCTTAGTACTGTAGAAATTCTGTTAATTTTTTTGGTTCAGTTTTGGTTTGGTTCGAAATTGAGCTTCCTGATCAATGCTTGGTTAACCGTTGATAGTTTCCACACATAACATGTGTTTCCGATTCTTGTGATATGAGTGCACGTCTTTAGAAGATAAGGATAACAACAATGTTAATTTAACAAGGAAAGACACCAAAACATATGCTTATAGTATTAAAAGAAGCAAGACACCAACGCATATCCTTACAGTAAGTCACTTTGAGCCTCGTGTTTTCAGTGAAAACTTTTCATATATTTTCTCCGTGTAATTAATTTTGTGAGGGATTTATTTTGTTGAATAAGTTGTTTAAGTGGGACAGTTTTAAAGCCGTAACTTCTTACTCCATAGATAGTTTAAATAGTACAATTACCTTATTACGCATGAAAATTCCTTTATCATCTAAATTATACAAACGTTGAATTTACATAACCGAAAGGACTAAGCGGGCTAGGGTTGAAAAATATTGGTCATGCTTTGTATTTCTTTTTCTTTGAATGAAGAAACTGACAAGTAATAGCCTTAAAAGGTTTTATTTATGGAACTGAATTTTATATTCATATTTTTGGGTCCTTTTATACCATAATTGCCTCTAATATAGTTTTATCTTAGAAGTAGTTTTGATTTATCACAAAATAAAAACAAACCAGAAAGTAATTTGTTTTTAATTTTCGAATAAAAAAATGAATGAGTTAACAAACAATATGTTTTTTTTTTTAATTATACAGAGATGTTCTGGTTCCACAGAAGTGATCCAGACTAGACATGTGTTGTCATGTGTCGATCTTCTGTCTTTATGTCTTTGATGATGCTCAAATGTTAATTTCTCAATGGCTGGGACTCGAATATCTGGTGGCTTCACCGTATTGGACTTTTTCCCGCAAGTTAATCATTACCACGCCACGAATCCTGGTTAACAGTATGGTTAGTTGTGGCTTGTTTTTTATTCATCCTATTTTGTTTTTAAATATTGACAAAATATAGCTGACTGTTTCTATAAAAATGGTATAGTACTCGCGAGCACGAGGTACTGCTTTCTCTTAACTTACAAAAAAAATCATCTAAAACAAGTGTTGACATCTACAACTAGTAGCTAATTCCTTGAAAGCTACTAAGGAAAAGATGTTTTAGCTGTAAAAATGTTAGTGTTACAAACTTACAAAACAAAAAAAAAAAATCCGTAAAAATATTATTACTTTAAAGTTTTTTGTTTGAAACACTACTACTTTAAAGTTTTAGTGAAAAATTTCCTAACAAAATTAAAACCGGTACTTCTTTTCAGAAGTATTCTGCAAAAAAATTCTTAAGCTTAAACATGTTGGAACACGTCGAGAAGATAATCTACTGTAAACTCCACTTTCCAAGCACGATTCGATATTGTTTATTTGCCTTTTTTCTATAATGGATCAACTTCACTAATAAAATGGATATGTGCTTCACGAGTTCTATTTAATATTAACTATAGTAAATCGAATCGTAAATCGTAATACACACGTATCGATGATAGTCAATGCTTTGATTCGTGGTCTGCACATGTCATGTTTAGTTGTATGTCTGCTATCTGCTCATTATGCACTGTAAGCTCTTTGTTACACACAAAGCTTTATTTAACTTATTGAAATGTTTTTGGATCTCGCGATAATGGTAGATTATATTTTGGAAATGCGTGTGGATAAGTGATAACACTAATGTAGTATAAATCCATTACGGCTTATATGGATAGTTGGTCGCTTCTTTTGCATATCCCGACGTCTATGCAATAGTGGTATTTGATTATTTCACCCTGATTCTCTAAAATTTAAACAATTGAACACGTTGAAAAGATGATGTTTATATTAATATAGATTCCACTTTCCAAACACGATTCGATAATTGGTTGTTTCTTTTTTTTTATATATATTATGGTCGACTTTACTAAGAATAGGGATATGTGCTTCACGAGTTCTATTAAAGTATTAAGTACTATATCTAGCCATGTTGATAGCCATCGAATCCTATGCTTGAGTCGTGGTCTGAACATGACATGTTTAGTTGTAAACTTGTAAACACAATATAGTTTTTTATTAGTTTTTTTTTGCTAAAATTTGGTGGTAGTTTATTATTAGTCGTAAGTTTTGATTCTCATTCTCTTACTTTTCTTAGTTTTGTAGTCTTCAATTTTTTCTCAGATAATAGACATAGTTTTGGACAAAGTCTGTCTCAAACGAACACAACCAGGGAACTGCAAAAAAAAAAAAAAAGCGGGACTGACTGACGTAGTGCTTTTAAGCCAAACTCCGAACGCCATATGCATCCACAAATATGGCGCATTGATGCAATCGTTATCGTTAGGACAAAGGGCAATGTTGTAACCGCTATGAAATTTTTTTGTTTTCTTGATCCGGAAGAAACTATTCAACGGATTTTCTCCAGGTTGTGGCTTAGGACCAGCAACTACAAAGAGGAGGTAGCGACCCACCAATAGGCTCACTCTTGTGATATAAAAATGAGTTTCCTCAGATGGTTGGTTCTTTTGTTCGTCTACAATTAATCATGTACATTCAGCATGCATATGTATTACTCACCAGAAATCGAACTTTCATCGGAACTACTTTGCCACAGGATTATCATTGTGTTCTCTCTCTCTCTCTCTCTCTCTCTATATATATATATATATATATATACTGGTATTTGTTAAAAAGCTAGTAGTATTGTTTAGAAAATTTTGGTTTAGTTTAAAATCCAATATGTTTTCAACAATTTCACTCGATCATATATATATATGCATGAAATGATCGTCTGTAAAGGTTGTGTGGTGCAGTGTTGTTAGATAATCTATATGATGTGTATTCGAAAAGAAAAATGTTTTGTTTAATTCCCAAGTTATGAGAGCATCTACATTAAAGACTCAAGAGAGAGGTTCACACGCATTTCAAGGAGAAAAAATAATAAAATAAGATTTTCAAAAAAAAAAAAAAAAAAAAAGACAATTTTGGTGAACTCGAGTCAGAGAAGTTCTCTGGCGTGAACCGGTTCACTGTTTTTTTCGTGGGCTCCATGCCATGTGGCGGTCCACGAGTGGTCGGCTAATTTTCTTTTTTTTTTAGCAAACAAAAAAAATAAAAATAAAAATAATAACAAATGTTTTTATGAACCCCATCGGCCGGTTTATGAATGTAGATGCTCTGAGAATCTTAAAATAGAGAGAAACTTGAAAAAGAAACAAAAGAACCATGTTTTATTCCATTTATGATGATTGATGAAAAAAGAACATTTTTCTTGATATTGCAATCTTTGATTTCTCTTAGATAATAGACATAGTTTTGGGCGAAGTCTCTGTCTCACTTGCTTTCATGAACACAAAAGGGAATGGCGTAGAGCCTAATAAGGTCAAACGCCGAACGCCATACTCGTCCGTGGATATCCCGACACTAACGCAACCACCACCGTTAGGACAAAACTCAATATAGTAGCCGTTATGAAATTCTCCAGATTTTTTGATCTGGAAGAAACTCTTCCACGAATCTTCTCCAAGTTTCGGCTTAGGACCAGCCTCTACGTAAAAACTGAAAATGGGCAAGTTTGACGGAACAACCGACCAGTAGGTTGGCTGGACGCAGATCGTAGCAACATCCATCTCGATGTTGAGGTCCGTTGATTCAGGAACGAACCCAACTATAGACCTCCAGTTTGAGAATTTTACCGGAATGCCCCTCTCCACCTCTGAAGTTTCCTGCCCGATATAGAGAGGACACTGCTTGTCAGCAAGGGTGACGAGAGTCAGACCGCCACCTGCAGGGCCGGAGATGGCGGGGAGAACGTAGTAACTGCCGCCGAATATGGCATCACCGTAAATGTCGAGAACTGGCGGTCCACCGGCATTTGCGGTGGCAGCCAAAACAGCGGTTAAGGCAAGAAGGGAGTAAAACATAGGATTCATTTTATTATGAGTTTATGTAGTTGATTAGAATTGAGTGTTATTGGATGAAGAAATCTGAGTTTATGTGATAGGTATTTTATACACGGATGTATACTGAGATTTGAGAAGATGCTTTTCTTTTTAGTATTCATCTTTCCTCCACTTTCCTTGCACCTTTCTTTAATTTTTCTCTTATTCATTTCATATGGGGAGGTAGAGGTTTAGTCTGATCTTGGATAGTTGATTAACAAAGTAATAAAGTAATAAAATAATAAAACCTATGAACCCCTCTCTCCTAAAATTCACCGCAGTGAATCCCTCTCTCATGAGGTTCAACACGTGGCGGCTCGAAATTGGTTTAGATTTTTTTTTTGTTTTAAAAAAAAAAAAAGAATCAAAAAGAAAACAAAAAATTTTTAATAATAAAAAAATGATTCAATGAATCCCAAGAGGGGTTTCATTGATGTGGATGCCCTTATGTATGTTCACTGTAGCTCTGTTTTACAACTTTTCTTTTATTTGAACAAAAGGTAAAAACAAAAAAAAATGTAAAAAAGAACAGCTCCCTCTTAACTTCTGTTAACTTTTTTCTGTTTAATCTGGTTTGTTCCGAAATTCAGCACCCTTGTCAAAAGCTTGGTTTAACGGTTGAAAGTTTCCACACGTGTTTTTCGACTCTTGTTATATGAGCACAAGCAATTAGGGAAAATCTCCATAATAATACGAGTTTTTTAAATGAGTCAAATATAATATTAAATGATAAAAAGGTCAACAAAAATACTCATTTGACAAAAATATTGGTTGTTTGTTTTTTATATATTCGTCGACTTTACTAAGAAGAGGGATATGTTGATAGCCATCGAATCCTAATACATATATGATATATTGATTGTTATTTTTTTTTTTTTTTGACCAAATTATTGATTGTTAATGCTTGATTCGTGGTCTGCACAGGACATGTTTAATTGTAAACACAGATATAGTTTCATTATTAGTCGTAAGTTATAACTCTTATTTTCTTAGTTTTGTTGTCTTTAATTTCCTCAGATAATAGACATAATGTTGGACGAAGTCTCTACCTCGTTAGCTTTCAACGAACACAACCGGGAATGGCATAGGGCTTTAAGCCAAACTCCGAACACCATATGCATCCACAGACATGGATGGTCCTGAACATAGCGAAGTAAAACACTGGCCTAGGATCCCTTAATTTTTTAGAAAAAAATTACATGAAAAAGGACTTTCTAATGGCCATGTCGGAGGTAGCGACGCACCAATAGGCTCACTCTTCTCGTGATGTAAGAATGAGAGTTTCCATTACGACTCTCACTCTCTCTCTCGTATTTGTAAAACTGTTAGTAGTAATTGTTTTTAATTTTCAAACACGTTTTCAACAATTTCACTCGGTCATTATGATCGATCATATATGCATATGTGTGGTCACTCGAAAAGAAAAATGTTTCTGTTTTCCAAGTTACGTGAATCTTAAACTAGAGAGAGGACTGAAAAAAAGAAACAAAGGAGATGTTTTATTCCATATATGATGACTGATGAAAAAAAGAAAACAGTGAACACAGACAAGAGTTTTATTATTAGTAGTAGCTTAAAACTCTCCATCTTCTTGATATTGTAGTCTTTGATTTCTTTCAGATGATAGACATAGTTTTGTGCGAAGTCTCTGTCTCACTAGCTTTCATGAACACAAACGAGAATGGCTCAGAGCCTACAGCCAAACGCCTAACGCCATTTTGGTCCCTAGTTATCCCGACATCGTCACAACCCCCATCTTCAGAACAAAACGCAAATTTGTAGGCGTTACCAAACCCTCCAGTACTTTTCTTGATCTGGAAGAAACTCCTTGAAGAATCCTCTCCATGTTCTGGCTTAGGGCCAGCCGCTATGAAAAAGGTCATAATGGGCAAGTGAGAGGGAGCAACCCACCAGTAGGTTGACTGGACGCAGATCGTAGCTGCAACATCCATCTCGATGTTGAGGTTCTCTGATTCGGGAACGAACCAAACTTTAGGCCTCCAGTTTGAGAATTTTACGGGAATGCCCATTTCCACCTCTGAATCTTCCTTCTGGATATAAAGAGGACATTGCTTGTCACCAAGGGGGGAGAGACTCAGGCCGCCACCGCCAGGGCCCCTGATAGCGGGGAGAACATAGTAACTACTGCCGGCGAATAGGTCGTCGCCATTAACGTCGCGAACTGACCCGGCGTTTGCGGTGGCAGCCAAAACAGCTGTTAGGGCAAGGAAGTAAAACATAGGATTCATCCTTTTTCAGTTTGTGTAGTTGATTAGATTTGAGTGTTACTGGATGAAGAAAATGTGCGCACTGTGGTCGGTATTTATACACGGAAGTACACTGAAATTTTTGAAGATGCCTATCTTTTTTTATTATTCATGTTTCCTCCACTTCCTTTTCACGCTCTTTAATTTGTTTGATTATTTATTACATATGGTACGTTTATCCTGATCTTGGACCCTTTGCCGTTGGTTAACATATATGATTATGTATGTTCTGTTGTTCACTATAGCTCTCTGGTTTTATAATTTTTTTTGATTTAAACGTCTCGAGAAAAGGAGCACCTAAATGCTATACTTTAGTGCTGTAGCGTCTGTTAGTTTTCTTGGTTCAATCTAATTTGGTTCGAAATTGAGCTTCATGATCAAATGTTTGGTTAACCGTTGATTGTTTTCACACATGTTTTTCGATTCTTGTAATATGAATGCACGTCTTTAGAAGATAAGGATAACAACAACAGAAAGAAAGAAATAAGCCCCTGAATTTAGGGTTACTACAACAGAAAGAAAGAAAGTCATCTAATCACATTAATGACTTTTATTACTAAAACCATTTCTTCAGAACTTCATGAAATTAAAAAAAAAAAAATTTCCTAATCTAATACCATAAATTTCCTAATTTAGGATAACAACAACAGAAAGAAAGAAAGTCATCTAATGTGATTAGGGTTGTTAACGTCGCCATTAACGTCGCGTACTGACCAACATCTAGGACCCACTGCCGAGTGGCTGAGCATGGAATGAAGATTAAAAGAGAACGCTTAGAGTGAAGCTTTACTGAAATGTTCCATTCTTTCCCCAAATAGGATTCAAATCTGCAAAGACTTTCGCCGGAGATGGAGGACGTCCATGAAAATAAGCTACCAGATGATCTTTCCAAATCGTAGAAGAGACAAGTGTTATAGAATCTGGAGCTCGAATAGACGGAACTCCGTCGGAGGTAAAAGTTGGAGAAGCCACTTTCGCCAGCGGTTGATAGATTGCTTTAACCTTCGAAACCCAAGAGTCTACAGCTTTCACCGGAGGCGAGACTGGAGAAGAGGAAGCCAACGGAGCTGCCGTCCCTGCTCCTGAAGGAGAAACCAGGGGTTGATGCTCACCGTCAGGCGAAAACGAAGATGGAGGAAGGTTAATCTCAATATCTGACGAAGGATGAAGAAAAAGCAGATCTGGAGGGACCGGTTCAGGCCGCAACACCGGATTCAGAGACGAGGACGACATCGGAACAAAGGAAGAAGGAGGGCAATATTCTCGCCGGAGAGCGTGAGGCGGCTCCGACGGCGGTGATCGAGTTGAAACCCTAATCACCTTAAGAGTCGCATGAGAGCGAAATTCAGGGGCGTATTTCTTTCTTTCTGTTTTTGTAATTAAAGACGTGAAATTAAAAAAAAAATTCCTAATCTAATACCATAAATTTCCTTTTAATATTTACAAAATTTTGATATTGTATTTATTTTACTTTTAATAGTTATAAAAGTTATTCTAAAAAAATCCTCTTAATTTTATGCAGTTTGATTTGATATATATTAAATTTTTGTCAACATATACTTAAATAAAAGAAGTAGATACAAAATCCTGCTCGAAATTATAATGTTAAATATAAATTTAAAACAAATAAACTAATCTTAAATTTTATGTTTAGTTAAACCTTAAAAAATAAAGCTACGCAAATAATAAATCTAAATGTTATCAAATTTTTATTTTAATATTATTTTGATTTAAAATTGTTATTTCTGTGACGCAAAAAAACACTTAATTTTCAAATAAAGAGAATGAAAAGTTACAGTATGGTTAGTTGTGGCTTTTATTTTTGTTATCCTTTTTTGTTTTGAAATATAGACAAAATATAGCTCACTGTTTGTACAAAAATGATGTAGTACTTGCGAGCACGAGGTATTTTAGCTAATTCAATTCTTGACTGAAAGATGAGGAATGATCGAAGCCGCTCTTTTTCTTAACCATTCCTTTTTATCAAACAAGTGTTGACATCTAAAATTAGTAGCTCTAATTTCTTGAAAGCTACTAAGGAAAAAGTGTTTAATGAAAATTTTCCAAACAAAATTAAAACCGGTACTTCTTTTCAGTAAGTATTATGCAAAAGTGGTATTTAATTATGTCATCCAAAATTTCTTAAGTTTAAACATGTTAGAACACGTCGCGAAGATGATCTAATGTAAATTCCACTTTCCAAGCACGATTCGATAATTGTTTATTTGTCTTTTTTCTATAATGGGTCAACTTCACTAATAAAATTGATACGTGCTTCACGAGTTCTATATAGTAAGAGTATTAATTAGTAGACAATAACATAGCTATCTAGACGGCCTGTTGATAGCTATCGAATCCTAAATCGTGATACACATATCGATTGATAGTCAATGCTTTGATTCGTGGGCTGCACATGCCATGTTCAGTTGTATGCCTGCAATTATCTGCTCATTATGCACTAGTATGCAATGTAAGCTCTTTGTTACACATAAAGCTTATTTAACTTATTGAAATATTTTTGGATCTCGCGATATGGCTTAAATTATATTTTTGAAATGCGCGCGGATAATTGATAATATACTAATGTAGTATACTTTATTATCTGCTCACTTCTCCTGTGATTAAAAAAAGAAAAAAGAGAAATCCATTACGGCTTATATGGATAGTTGGTCGCTTCTATTGTTCGTCTACAGTAAAACAAGTACATTCTTCATACATATATATATTTCTCTCTATATACTCTATATGCTGAAGTATTTTGTTTGAACTGCTATATACTGAAATTTGTAGAACGGCTAGTATAGTTTGTTTTTAACATTTTGATATAGTTCAATTTTCAAACTTTACAGCAACTTCACTCGATCATATGAATAATTGAAAATGAACCAATTTTCTGTAGAAGTTTGGTGGTGCAGTGGTTAGATGATGCACATTTTAATATATATGGTCATTCTAGACGATTAAAATGTTTCTGGTTAACTTCCAAATTATGTGAATCTTAAACTAGAGAGAGGAATAGATAAAAACAAAACAGAGGAAAAATGTTTTATTCCATATATGATGATTGATGAACAAACAAAAAAGTGACACACAAATATATCTACTTAATTTTGTAATTATATATCTACTGAATTTTGTAGTCTATATATGTTCCATTAGCATTCACGAACATAACCGGGAATGGCGTTGGACTTAAAGCCAAACGCAAAACGCCAGATCCGTCCACAAATATCCCCACATCTATGCAATCGTATTCGTTAGGACAAAACGCAATTGTGTAGCCGTTATGAAAATATTGAGTTTTCTTGATCTGGAAGAAACTCTTCAATGAATCTTCTTCTGGCTTAGGACCAGCCACTACGAAGAACTTCTTAGTGCCCATGTCGGACTCAGCGATCCACCAATAGGTTGACTGAACACAGATCGTAGCCTTGACATCCATCTTGATGTTGAGGTTGACTGACTCAAGAACGAACCCAAATCTAGACTTTGGATTTGAGAATTTTACAGGAATGCCCCTGTTGACATCTGAATCTTCCTGTCCGATATAAAGGGGACATTGGTTGCCACCACGGGGAGAGAGAGTCAAACCGCCACCGGAGAAGATGGGGAGAACGTAGTAACTGCCGCCGTCGAGTATGAAATCACCATCAGTGTCAAGAACTGGTCTTCCGGCGTTTGCGGTCGCGGCCAAAACAGCGGTTAAGACAAAAAGGACGTCAAACATAGGATTCATCCTTTTTTGAGTTTATGTGATCGGTATTTACTCACGGATATGTATATATGCACGTACAGCTCTTTAAAACGTTACGCTTAGGTTTTTATTTTAAATTATTAAGTTTAGAAAATTAGCAAGTATATTGAGATTTGGGAAAATGCCTATCTTTTTTTACGTCACTTTCCGTACACGCTTCTTTATTTTATTTTTTTATTGCTAGGGAACACTTCCTTAAGTTATTTGTTTATTCATTTCTTATGGGGAGACATAGTTTTAGCATGGTCTTGGACGTTGGTTAACCAATAAGATTATGTATGTTCACTATATCCCTGGTTTTGTAAGTTTTTTTTAAAGAAAAAAATGGACAACTTAAAGTTCCACTTAGTTCTGTATCTTCTGTTAATTTTCTTGGCTCAATCAGGTTTGGTTTCAAAATTGGGAACCTGGTCAAAAGTTTGGTAGTTTCTACACGTGTTTTTCGATTCTTGTGATATGAATGCAAGTCTTTGGAAGACGGGACAACTAAACAAGGTTTATTTATAGAAGAAAGATATCAAACATATGCTGATAATATGGAAGTCAACTTTAGCCTCGTGGTTTTCATAGACTCTCCTCATGTGATTAATTTTATGAGGAAATTATTCAAGTGGGCAGTTTTAAAAGCGCCAACTTCTTTTTTTTTTTGAAACTGTGAAATTCCTTATTACCCTCAGTTACATAAACCTTTTATTCATCCAAATTACACAATCCTTATTCAGCAATCTAAGAGCATCCGCAACGAGAATCTTTAAAAAGGAATCTTTAAAAGAGAGTCTTTAAAGGGGAGTCTTTAGGAAAAAAAAAATTAAATAAATTGATAGACCTCACAAAAAGTTAAGAATTTGATTCTTAAAATCCTTAAATAAGGACTGTTTCTTAACGAATCCTTACTTTATTTGCGGGTCCCCAGGACACGTGGCAGCCTGCAAATAGTCATCTTTATTTTATTTATTTATTTTAAAAAAAAATCCCAAATATCTTTACAAAATCTAAAATACCAATTTTCTTAAGGACTCTATGAGTATCACCGTTGCGGATGCTCTAAAGTATTAAACCGTTAAGGATCGAACAATGTTGATCATGTTTTTCTGTGAACACTGTTAATCATGTTTGTTTTCATTTGTGGATATTGTTTTTGTTATCCCTCTTTTGTTTCTAAATAAAAAATTGAAAATAGCCGACAGTTTCTATAAAAAGGCGGAACGATCGAATAACCCACGAGTGATACTGAGGTGGGGTTTGCCAGCTGTATTTTTTTTTTTTTTTTTTCGTTTACTTTTTCAGAAAAAAACAAAAAAAATTGGCGAATCACGGCCCGCCACGTGGCGAACTCGTGACGAACCGGGTTCACCACGACGAACCCACGCGCGCCGAGTTCGTCACTATTCCCCTCGGTAAACGTGTGAACCTCCCCTTAAATCCCCTAATGGGGTGCTCTAAGCACTTCTTCTTTTCAACCATTTCATTTTGCTAGTGGTTGGAAGCGAAAATTGGTAGCTCTAATTTTTTTTGAAAGCCGCTAAGAAGAATCAAGTAACCAAGAACAGAGAACAGAAAATCATTTTTGATGATCTGTTCTAGCTTCCGCGAAAGAAAAACTCAAAATCTTTGTCAAATCAATTTTCTATTTTCTGTTCTTGTTTTTTTCTTTGCGGACGCTGGAATAAATCTTGACAAAACACGATATTATATCGTGTTTTGAAACTGTGAAATTCCTTATTACCCTCAGTTAAATTCACAGTTTTAGAAGACACTGTGAGGAAAATGTGGCTGAGGAGAATCAAACTGTAGGCTTGAGCTTCTCGCCTAAGATTTTATCCACCACTCGATAAGTATATCTTCTGTGTATTTTAAAATGAATTTCGATATATCTATATATACCATATCTCCGCAAATACAAAATCCTTTTTTGGTTCCGGGGCACCATGCACACATGACATAGCACGTGAAGCACAGTGAGTGCGCCCTAATACAAATATTGATTAATAGTCAATTCTTGATTCGTAGTCCGCACACAGCCGGCATGTTTAGGTGTTTCTTCCGGGATATAATATAATTTATATGCATTTTTATGCATTCGTTTACAGATAAAGCTTTATTAAAGTTATTGAGAGGTCTTCGATCTCGCTTCTTGGCTAAAAAAAATGGAGATGTGGATAATGATGATACCAACTACTAAATGATTAATGGAAATAGCCTATAACTTATTATATGCTCATTCCTCGGGTTGGTTAAACAATTGTACACGCCGAGAAGATGATGTTTTCTATATAGATTCCAATTTCCAGCACCATTCATAATTAGTATTTGTTTGTTTTTTTCCTATTATGGGTCAACTTTACTAATAAAATCGGGATGTGTTTCACGACCTCGGTTTATTTAATTATATATTTGGTAGCATTTGTTCTTAACGTTTTGATATAGTGTAATTCCCAAATATATTTTCAGCAATTTCACTCGCACATATATGCCTGAACCAGTCGTCTGTAGTATTAGTTCTATTGTGTAGTGGTGTTAGATAATCTATTTTGTTATATGTGGTTATTCGAAAAGAGAAAATGTTTTGTTTAAGTTCCAAGTTATGTGAACTTTATTTAAACTATAGAGCAAATTAAAATTTAATACAAGAAACAAAGAAAAACTGTTTTATTCCATTAGTGAAGATCGATGAAAAAAAAGGAAACAAAGAAACCAGATAGAGATTTTTTTATTAAGCGTGAATTACAACTCTTATCTTTTTAATTTAGTCTTTCATTTCTTTCAGATAGTAGACATAGTCTTGGACGAAGTCTCTGTCTCATTAGAGTTCAGGAACATAACTGGGAATGGCGTAGAGCTTAAAGTGAAACGCCTAACGCCATATTTGTCCACAACTACCCCGACATCGATGCAATCATTACCGTTAGGACAAAACACGATATTATAGCCATTAAGAAAACCGCTATTTTTCTTGATCTGGAAGAAACTCTTCGATGAATCTTTTTCAGGTTCTGGCTTAGGACCAGCCACTATTAAAGACTTCACAACGGGCATGCGGGATGCAGCGACCCACCAGTATGTTGACTGGACGCAGATCGTAGCTTTGACATCCATCTCGATGTTGAGGTTTTCGGATTCAGGAACAAACCCAACTCTAGACTTCCAGTTTGAGAATCTTACCGGAATGCCCATGTTGGAATCTGAAGGTTCTTGCCCGATATATAGGGGACACTGCTTGTTACCGAGGGGGGTGAGAGTCAGGCCACCACCATCAGCGCCGAAGAGGACGGGGATAACATAGTAACTGCCGTCGAATATGGTATTACCTTCAATGTCGACAACTGGTCCCCCTGCGTTTGCTGTCGTGGCCAAAACAGAGGTTAAGGCAAGAAGGAAGTAAAACAAACGTTTCATCGTTTTTGATTTTGTGTAATTGATTAGATTTGAATGTTACTAGATGAAGAAAATGTGAGTTCATTTGCTAGGTATTTATACACGGATGTGTGTATACATGTACAATACAGCTTTGTATACGCTAGAATATTGTTTTTCTTTGTCAAATTTTTTTGCTATTAAAACGAAAATTAGATTTTGATCCACACTTAAAGAATACAAGTTTTTTTGTATTTTAAAATTATTAAATATTATTATGTTACAAAATCGTATTAAATTAACATTTTCCCTTAAAAAAATATTTTTTGAATTAATTTATTTGAAATTTTGAATGTACACTCTTATGTAATTCACTATTAAATCTAAGTTATTTTATTTGGATCCAAAAAACTAAACCAATAATATGTAATAAATTTAGCTAATACTGCAATTAGATTGTTCATTACTTCATTTATATTAATATAGATTCCACTTTCCAAGCACGATTCGATCATTGGTTTTGTCTTTTATAATGTGTCTACTTTACTAATAAAATGGGCATGTGCTTCAGGGGTTCGATTTAGTAATACCTAATAACCCTGTTGATAGCGATCGAACCCTAATACAAATATTGATCGATAGTCAATGCTTGATCGTGGTCGCACATAGCATGTTTAGTTTTTTTTTCTTTGTAACTGGTTGTATAAAAGCTAATTTATTAAACTTATTGATATGTTCTTGGATCTCGCAACGTGACTAAATATTTTGGAGATTCAGATAAATGATAATACCAACGTATATGATTAAAATGATTTTAGCAAATAACATGATAAAAATGATTCATTATCTGCTCACTCCTCGTGTTATATAAAAATGAGAAATCCATTACGCCTTATGTGGACTTGGTCGACTCTTGTTCTACAACTCTACACGTTCATTCGTCATCTATTACTTACCGAAATCCAATTTTCATTGGAATACTCTGCCGCAGTATCAGTACCGGACGGTAAATACTAGGACCGTAAGCTCAAACAGAAATTATGGGTTAATAGATATGTTCTTAAATTTTAAAAATGATAAGTAAAGGAAAAGATTTCTACTACTATTACCACTATGCTTAATATTCTATTGCAAACCGAAAATGGATCTATGTTTTAGTACCACCAAAGACGGAAAATGGTTTATTATATAATATTTAAAGCGGATATGTATCTATGTTTTAGTACCTATTTAAATGCCCTGGAAAAAGAATCCATCTGCGGATTTGTGACTCTTCTTGATTCAATTAGGTTAAAACAATTAGTTTAAAAAAAATAGCTTCTTATTTTGTACCGAAAGTTCAAACTTCTAATAATTGGTATCAAGACGGCCCTGCTCAGGATTACCATTGTGTTGCCACTCCTTTTATTCTCTCTCTATATATACTGAACTTTGTATGCAGTTAGTATGGTTTAATTTTTAACGTTTTCAGTAATCTTATTCAATCATATATGCATGAACCAATCTTCTGTATATGTTTTATGGTGCAGTGGTGTTAGATAATGCATTTTAATACGTGCTCATTCTAGAATAGAAAATGTTTCTATTTTATTTCCAGGTCAAATGAATCGTAAAACTAGAGAGAGAATTAAAAAGAAACAAAGGAAAGATGGTTTATTCCATAAATGATGATTGATGAACAAAGAAAACAACACATACAAATAAGAGTTATATATAGTCGTAAGTTATAACTCTCTTAATAGTACAGTCTTTAAACTCTCTCAGATAGACAGAGTCTTGGTGGAAGTGTACGTAGCTTTCTCAAACACAACCTCGAATGGCGTAGAGCTTAAGACCAAACGCCGAACACCAGACCTGTCCACTTTTATCCCGACATCCATGCAAGCTTTATCCTCAGGGCAAAATGCAATCTTGTAACCGCTAACACTATCTCCAATTTTCTTGATCTGAAAAAAACTATTTGCCGAATCTTCTCCATGCTCTGGCTTTGCACCAGCTGTTATGAACATTGTCCTAAAGTGAGATTCCGCTGCAGTGACCCACCAATAAGTTGACTGAACGCAGATCGTAGCTCTGACATCCATCTTGATGTTAAGATTCGCTGATTCAGGAACAAACCTAACTCTAGACCTCCAGTTTGAGAATCTTATGGGAATGCCTCTGTTGACCTCTGAAGGGTCTTGTCCGATAAAGAGGGGACATTGGTTCTCACCACGGGGAGCAAGAGTCAGGCCGCCACCTGTAGGGCCCCAGATGCGGGGGAGAACGTAGTAACTAGTGCCGCCGAATATGACATCACCATCAGTGTCGAAAATTGGTCCGCCGGCGTTTGCAGTCGCGGCCAAAACAGCGGTTAAGGCAAGAAGGAACAAAACCATTGGATTCATCCTTTTCTTTATGTATGTATAGTTGATTAGATTTGAGTGTTAGTGGTGAAGAAAAGGTGAGTTCAAGTGATAGGTATTTATACACGGACATCAGGACATGTATTATGTATACATGCACACACGTTGAGAACTGAGAATATGCGTATCCTTTTTACTCCACTTTCCTTCCACGCTTATTTAGGTTTTTTTTTTCAAAATATTTTGCAAGTTGTATTTGATAAATTTTTTTTTTTAATTAAAACAATTGAACATGTCGAAGATGAGCATTTATAATATAGATTCCACTTTCCAAGCATCATTCTCTAATTCTTTTCTTTTTCTGTAATAAAATGAGTAATAAAATGAGTATGTGTGTGTTCAAAAAAAAAAAAAAAAAAAAATGAGTATGTGCTTCACGAGCTCGATTTCTTCTATCTAAAATATGTTGTAAATTATAACTAAAAGACAAATTTTCAGAAATAATTGGTCATCCTCTCTACGTGAAGGCTACTTATCTCCTCTTGCTGTGAAATCTCAGATTAAAAAAACACAAAACATGAATTATTATTAAAAAAAAGGATGTGTATCTTGTGGTCATGTGCTGAATGAAACTAAATCATATTGTTTTGGACATCTATGCGGATATGACGGTGTTGACCATTTTTTTTACAACTAACGGTGTTGTCAAAGAATAGTTTTAAGGGATTTTATGGAAATTGTATTTTCTAGTCAATTCCTAGACATATACTTTATATGTTAATTAAATGCCATATTAACCTTTTATTTAAGAGCCTTTACTAATTGTTATCTTAAATTTTAGTTCTGTTTTATCATAAAAACAAATTAGGAAATAATATGCTTTATAAAAAGGTACAGTAATAATATACGAGCAACTTTAGCTATACACTTTTTGATTGAAAATTAAAAACAACCCAAGAAACATAGGAAATATGTTTTATTCCATATATGATGATGATTGAGGAACAAAGACAACAGCATACATAGATAGAGTTTTATTATTAGACGTAAGTTATCACTCTTATCCCCCTTTATTAAGTGGTCCTTAATTTCTCTCAGATAATAGACATGGTCTTGGATGAAGTCTCTGTCTCAGTAGCTTTCACGAACACAACCTCGTATGGGTTACCGAATGGAGGGGTAGAGCCTATAACCAAACCCCGAACGCCACCTTCCACGTTTGTACCGACATCGATGCAATCGTTACCGTCACTACAATATACAAACTTGTAAGCGTGAAAGTTTGCACTAGTTTTCTTGATCTGGAAGAAACTCCTTGACGAATCTTCTCCTCCAGCTTCTGGCTTAGGACCAGCCGCTATGAACAACGATCTCCAGGGACTGGGGGCTGGAGTGACCCACCAATAAGTTGACCGAGCGCAGACCTTAGGTTCGACATCCATCTGGATGTTGAGGTTTTCTGATTCAGGAACGAACCCAACTCTAGACCTCCAGTTTGAGAATTTCACGGGAATGCCCCTGTTGACCTCTGAACGCGCCTGTCCGATAAAGAGGGGACATTGGTTGCCACCACGGGAGACGAGAGTTAGGCCACCACCTGTAGGGCCCCAGATGAGGGGGAGAACGTAGTAACTGCCACCGAATATGATATCACCATTCACGTCGAGAACTGGCCCGGCGTTTGCGGTGGCAGCCAAAATAGTTGTTAGGGCAAGAAGGAAGTAAAACATAGGATTCATCTTGTTTTGAGTTTATTTAGTTGATGAGGAAAAGGTGAGTTCATGTGATTGGTATTTATACACGGATGTGTATACATGCGCACACATTGAGACTGAGAAGATGCGCATCTTTTTTTTACTACACGAGTCTTTATTTTGTTTGCTACCAATTCTTAAAATTATTTGTTTCTTTATTTTTTGTGGGTTTTAGCCTCGTTAGTAGGCCCTGGTGGCTACCACGTGTTTATGAATCCTAGAAAAACGAATTTCGACGCATGTTTTTGGATTGTTGTGATATGAGAGCAAGATTTTAAAAGAGAGAAAAACTATAGCTCACTGGTCCTAAAAAAGTTGTTATAATACTATACGAGCACGTGAATGTTGTGTTATACAATTCATGATTGAAGAATGAGAAGTGATCTAAGCCACTCATCCTCTGGACCATGCATTTTATAGAACAAGTGGTTGCTATCGAAAATTAGTAGCTCTAAAATTGATGTTTACAAGAAAATGTTTTGGAATTTGGAGTACCATTAATGGTAAAAACTCACATGTGTATTTTTTTTTGTTATCTCTTTATTAGTAGTATTAAAAGGCCAACAAAGCACAAAAATTAAAATACAGGCGGGACCCAAAAGGAAGGGCCCGGAAGAAAAAAACGAAACTGCGGAAAACCTAAGAACATTCACAATGGTGTTATTCATAAGAGTCTTTAGTTTTTAATTTTTTAATTATTATTTTTTTATTTTTCTAAAAACAGAAAGAGATATCACTCAATCGCGAGCCGCCACATGTCGTGGAGACCCGTAAATAGTGCAAAGATTCTCTAAAAAAAAATCCTTATTTAAGGATTGAATCCTTAACTTTTGATTATATTCATTGATTATTTAATTATTTGTTCCCTAAAGATTCATGTTGAGGATGCTCTAAAAAACTCAAATAGCAAGAAGCCCATGTGTATATTTTACCAATATGATAACAATACTTTTTAAATAGTTTAAGTAAATGATTAACTCATAATAATAAAAGAAATCAGAAATTGTATAAGAGCATGTCCATTGGTTAAAATCTTTGATGAGTTCTAATGATTAGTTTAATAGTTAATTATGTATTTTATGAAGTTTAGAACATTTGTTAATGTAATTAGTTTTATCAAAGTTCAAAGGAGAATTCCTTTGAAGTTTTTTAAAAAATTTAGAAACTTGGACATTCTCATGATGGTTTTAGTTGCATCAAGCATGATAACAAGACTGTGGAGTACGCAGTGGGCTTTTGGTATTCGTATAAAACTTTAGTGCAAGTTTTAAATTGTACGACGTCGTTTGATTTTATAGTTTATGCACGTCAACTCTTCATTTTATAATGGACATGGAATTAAACAATTATACATATCTTGAGTAGATGATCATCCAGTATTTAAATTGCAAGTACCTTTCACGAGCTCTCTTAATTTATTGGACTCGTGCTTTGGGAGTTTTCACTGCCGTTGATGCACATCAAATATGTACACTGAATTTGTTACATCCATGATCCAACTACAAAGAAAACTATAAATAAAAATATGAGAATCTCTTAGATACTCGAGTTTATTGTTTACAGAGTAAACTAACAAATTGTGAGTTTTATTTCAAGTCACTTATAAGACCAAAGTTTTCTTACATATTTGGAGAATGTGTGTACTAGAGAGTATGTACACACTTAGATAGAATATAAGAATCATAATTAATTTCCTTTTTTACAGAGGTTGGCCATTGATCCACCTTTGAAACATGATAAAGCTTTCGTCTGGTTTGTACTCTGGCGTGTGCCCACCTCCCTGTAATCAAAATCCACTACTCAATATAAAGACCGCACAAAAATATGTTGAGTGGAAATGAAAAAAAGAAAGAAAGAAAAGGAGTGACTTGCTTTGATAGTAGCAAATGTCATCTTATTTGCATAAGTCCTTGTGTATCTGTAAGTCAAGAGTAATCTAAACGTTAGTTTAATGGAAGGGATGAACACAAGACATAGACAGTTAATGAAAGATGGGTGTAACACACATACCCAGCGATTTGATTGTTGATCATCCATGGCCTCCAGTCATCAATAATAGAATAGTTGAGAGACCTTATCCAAGCTTGGGTTCCAAGGTAAGGCACTGCCATATCATGATCCCCACTGTCACCAAACAAAACGCACAAAATTTTAAAATCCTTGAATCATTTAGGAAACAAAGATATCAAAAAATTAATAAATGGTAAAAACTCTGACCTGAAGATGAGAGAACGATAACCACTGATACTGTTGTTCTTATGGTAAGGTACGCTGCTTATAATGTCATTAGTGTAAGGAAGATCCCAGTTACATCGTATCCATTCTTCTATACTCTCCTACCAATCATATAAATCGCCTCATATATATAAGACAAGACCAAATCTCTTAAAGTAATTAGTCATATATATACCTCATTGATTTGAAGAGCTTTGCGTACGGTTTTGTCATTGACCCAGTAGGTAGCTAACAAATAGCGATAAATCTGCAAAAGCAAACTTATGTATATATATTATTTGTATATGGTGAATATATGCAAGATGAATTTACTTACATAGCAATCTGGAGTCTCAGTTGTGCACCAAGGTAGTTGTATAATATATAGGTTTAATCCATCTATACACTATAAAATAACACAAAAGAATTCAGAATCTAGGGATGATCACTAACAAGGCAGAAGACACAATATCAACCAAATCAAAGTCCTAGTGTACCTTATGATATTCTTGAACGAGTTTCAAGCATTCTGTGTCACTTGGATCAACATTTTCATATTCTCCTTTGCATGTTCTTTTCAGTGACTGCATGCGAACATGTTAATTACTTATTTTCGTTGTGGAAGCAAAAGCAAATGTAATGATGTGTTCATACCTCGTAGAGTTCATCAGAGATGAACGCCATACCATGAGCATATGGAATACGGTAGTTAGAATCAGTTTTAGGTTCTGTTACTGGATTACCGAGCACGTAACCCTATATATACATTGTTGGCATTGACCAAAAAATTATCAGTTTTTAGTGCTTGGGAAGACATATATTTATATATATGAAGATCATCTCAAACTTTTTAAAGGCTTGCATATTTGATTGGTTACTACTTTTTCTAATTACACATCTTATATAAGGTAAGGTTTTTAATCTTTTGACGTACTCCAAGGTCTATCAATGCTCCACACACACACATATATATATATATTAAAGAAATAACAAGAACCTGAAGATTTATTGGAGGATTGCAACACTGGTAATTTCCTGCATCATCATCATGTTTCTTCTGTTATAGAAGTTTATTGAGAGATGAAAAAAAATGATACTGCGATCCCAAAAAAGGGGGAATAATGATACTATAAGTGGGGCTTTAGGGTTCATATCAATACATAAAAACAAACATATATACCTTTTGAGATTTCATGAACGAGAGCCGGAACAACCATACCGGAATAAGAATCTCCTGCTACATAAAAAGGGTTGGAGGAAAATTCTTGATGCTTGCCTAGCCACTGCACAACAATAACAATAACAATAAAAATAAATAAAAAGGCCCCTAAATGTCTATATGCACAAAGAACCTTAGCTTTTGTCATTAATTTTACCTTTTGAAGAAACTCATGGATCCGTTTGGCTTCTCCTGAATCACTAGGTTTGTTAACAAGATGGGTTCTAGAGTAGGAGAAGCCAGTTCCAACAGGCTGTTCCAAGTATATTATGCTTGAAGTCTGATGAAAATGATTAAAAAATTTAATTGATTAATCGGTTTTCAAAATCATCATATACACCTTTTGTGTTACCTTTGTCCATGAGTATGTAGTAGAGACCAAAGATGGGACGGTTCCATTGTAAACCTCAAGCTTCATAGCCAGAGGCCCTATTGAATTCACTCGAGCAGAGATCAGAGACACAAAATAACGAACTGAAGAAGACCATTGTTTTATATTTTACCATTCTCAAGTAAAAGGCCAGAGATGGAAGAGCATCCAGGTCCTCCACTTAGCCAGATAAGAAGAGGGTCTTCTTCAGAGTTCCTCTCGGACTTGATGAAGTAGTAAAACAATTGCACTTCCTCCTTCTCACCAACACCAATGTAACTTCATTCACAAGAAACAATAATAACCTACTTAGAATATCTAAAAACTCAAGGACTCAATTAATCACAACAAGAAGAGAAAACAAACCCGGTTTCAAGCTCAAATGGGAGAGGGCCATCAAAACCAGGAAGATACTTGACGATAGAGGAAGAATCAGCAGTTTGAATCAAGAAGACAAGTTGAAGAAGCAGAAGCAGCCATTTCAGAACAAAGGAAACATAGTCGTTAGCCATTGGTTTTTTTCAAGTCAATGGCCTTTAAGGACAGGACATGTTATTGGATCTTTATTCTAAAAACCATAAAAAGTCGCCTACCCACTCTTCATCTTTCGGGTTGAACTTGTCACATTATTTTAATGGGAAAATTTTTCATGCCAGATCGCCAAGTCGTATATAATAGTGTTAACAGAATACAATATTACCTGTTGATAGTCCTCGCGCTTGCCATGAGCATATATATAAATTTTTCTTCTTTTCATTTCTTAACATGATGTAATTATTTATGTTATCATATTCGAATTTCAGTATGGGTAGTGTTACGTCGTTTTCATGCACTGTAAGCAGATGTAACAAATTTTTTTTTTTTAACACAAACTTCATTAATACTAAAGCAGAGGGTTGAATGTCTAAGAAGATCGATTAAGGGAAGAGTCCTTCTTAAGGAGATATATATATGGAGGTCTACTCTCAGTTTAATTTTGTTGAACGATCGATTAAGCAATTCTACATTAAGTTGAGAAGATGAAACCATCCTAGTATTTAATTTACAAGTTCCTTTCACGAGCTCTTTTTATTTATAGGCCTCGCAGACACTGTCACTGAATTTGATACCATCCAGCTATAAATAAGAGTAAGAGAATCTCTTAGATAATCAAGCTTACGTGATCTTTGTTTTGTTTTTTTTTTTTTTTTTTTTTTTTT